AACTCAGAACATAACATTAGTTCTTGAAATCGTTCTATTGATAACGATTATACTATGTACAATCACTAATAAACCCCGAGATTGTTTCGACGATTTTTTTATCATAAAATAACTTAGCAATTTAGCTACAAACGACTAAGTTAAACTATTATATCGATACATATAAATTGGATCAAGTCGAACTCAACCTATTGTTGAGGGTAATGACAACTTGGTTTCCAGCACTACCTAGTCTTATCATATATGGACTCATTGCATGTTCTTTTTTTTTTCTATTTAATTATTATAGAACTATATTTAATGTATTAAAAGGTAATTGTTAACCTTTGGTTGGACTCAAAATTTGATAATTTCACTTTCTATACAAAATTGATATCGAGAGTGGCATCACATGACCCGTCAGTGGCTGCATTGTGTCACAAGCAACGATAAACCACTAAGTTATGCAAGTTTGATTTAATTATTGATATGCAAAATAGGATGAAATTTCTCTTTTTGCCACAATCATTGCCCATTTTCTTGCAACTTAAAATAATAAAAAGATATGAAGCAAAGATGTATTAAAATATTTTATTGGGCGGGATTCCTTTTAATCCTGGAGATACACATGTGTGTGAGGGGGGAAAAGGCATAAATTTCCAGCAAAAAAGAGGGGAAATGGAGACATATGAATTGAATAAGAAAAGTATTAGTGTAGAATAAGTGGATTATGACAATGGAAAAAATAGTTTATTGGAGGATACCTAAGGAGTTATTATAAGGAAATGAATACTCATTTGATTTATAGATGATTGTTCCGACTTTAATGTATAAGGTGTGGTGAATCTTACTTTTTATCTAGTCATGTTATCTTTAAATCAATTTATTTGTATTATAATGAGTATAAAACTATGAAACTCTAATTAGACATATAATTGAAGTAAGCGATAAAAAAAGTCTCGTGGCATGACTCATTTACATTTGATTCATCGCACGTTTAAGTTTTTTTTTTTTTTTTCATTAGGATCCCCTCGTAGTATGATTGTAGTGAACTCCACAAGACATGCATTTGTACGGGGTCCTTGACCTACACACCAAATCCACAACTAGGACGAGACTGCCTTGGCTCTTAAACATTTTCTCTTGTATTTGTGAAATTTGTTCTAGGAGTTCTTCATATATTTTGTTGATAAACTACATGGTTGGATATTTCATTATGGTACAGTTATTTCTAGATGTCATAAATAGTTCATGTCTACACTAGGCTCTCACAACTTTGATCAGTTTGGCAAAGTTAAGTTACATAATTGCTTACTACACGAGTAGTGAGTGAGTAACCAAACGTTCCATGACATATATAATGTATTTGGCCAGGTTGAAGTATGTTATACATTGACGATCTTAATATTGAACTATTTCGATAAACACTTCACACAAATTTGAGCTGTCAAGAGAAGTTTAGAATTTGCACCTATGTCAACCGTATAGGTAGAAACTATGACCTACGAGCCCCCAAAAGTACAACCAAGCACTCCAAAAGATTGAGGTACTCATACATTGCCATTCTTTCAAGGTTTAACCCCCATAGTGGTGAAAAAGCTACATAGGATTGTGGGGAGGGAGAGTAAACAAGTTCCCCCGAAAAAGGTTTTCCAAGAAAGAAGTTTAGAATCTGCACCTATATCACTCGTATTGGTACAAACTATGAGCTACGTACGAGCCCCAAGCACTCCAAAAGATTGAGGTACTCATACATTGCCATTCTTCCAAGGTTTAACCCCCATAGTGATGAAAAAGCTACATAGGATTGCGGGGAGGGAGAGTAAACAAGTTCCCCCAAAAAGGTTTTCCAAGAAAGAAGTTTAGAATCTGCACCTATGTCACTCGTATTGGCACAAACCATGAGCTACGTACGAGCCCCCAAGCACTCCAAAAGATTGAGGTACTCATACATTGCCATTCTTTCAAGGTTTAACCCCCCATAGTGGTGAAAAAGCTACATAGGATTGTGGGGAGGGAGAGTAAAGGAGAAGATGCAAAAAAAAAAAAAAAAAAAGTGTTCCCCCAAAAGGTTTTCCAAGAAAGAACCAATCTATGCAACATGCTTGAACACACATTTATATAGTACAATCAAGTGTGTATGATGATGCCCTATAGAACAAAGTCAAATGTCTCTCTAGTCTCTACCCATCTTTTGTTTTTCTCACAAGCTTTTTTCTATGAGGTGATGGGGATTAACAAACATTCCCTCCACTTTGTCCCTCTTCTTTGGCAATTAGTGTTGTCTTTTCCTTTTTACATGAATCAATTTCCTCCCCAAAATCGAATAAACCCTAAATTCCCTCCTTTTGGTTGGGTAATTGGGAGAAACGAAATCAAATAAGCCCACTCCCTTTCTTTCTTTTGCTTGCTTTTCTCACGGGGAAGGAATATAATGCCAGAGAGAGAGTGCTTCCTTTTGGGCCCCACTCTTCGGTCCAATCAAGTGGGCCCCGTTCTGTCTGGGCCGCGGGCCGCCTCCCTCCATATTACTTCCCCTTCCCACGAAAAATTAAACCAAAAAAAAAAAAAAAAAGAGGAGGAATTTGTTGCGTGAATCAATCGAATGGTGACGTGGCGGTAGCTTTTAAAGGGGATGGGAGGTTGTTGCTGTTTGTTGTCGTTGAAGTGGAGATTTGGGCCCACCTTTTCGATCCAAGCCCACTTTGCTTCAATGGCACACTTGTCTTCCTTTTTCATTTTTTTTTATAGCCCATAGATAAGAATGAGATTGGCTAGTTTCCACCACCGTAACACATTGTTAGACAAATTTCATATTCGATAAAACATAAGAGAGATTCACGATCTATTAAAAAGAAACATGTTATTGTGGATGAGTTATTGTAAGAGCTCTAAAGTTAAACTTGTTCATTGTGGAGCCGTGCAAATGACAGACACGAATGACTTCCCGTAAAGTTATCATGATGGGGGCCAAAAAACAAAACCGTGCAAAACTAGGTCTAATACGAACAATATCTTGATCAGTAAACATCGTAATGTTACAATATGGTTTTTTTTTTTTTTTACCTTTTCAATTATTAAAGAAGGCACGATAGCTATGTAGAATTGTAGATAGATAGCTATCAATGGAGGGTTCTGTTGTGTTGTTTTCACCGTGAGGCGGAAAAGCTTTAACCCACAAATGGATAGAGATGCTCTCTGCCATTCCCATGGTGGTTTCTTTGTTTGCCCACCCCAAACTTGGCTACACATTTTTGGTCCCCCAAACAAGCAAAAGAGAGGCAAACTCAAAAGATACAAAGAAAAAGACATGTAGAAGGTGGTGTGTAGAAGAGGGCTCAAATCTTTCTTTACTACTTCCCCTATCAACCTTCCAAGTTCTTATGTAAATCATAACCTTCTTTTTCGATTTGGGTTGATGGTGTCGAGGATTTACGAGGCGGGTTGAATGATGCATCGTCTGAAATGACTTGATTGTAAAGCGAACATGTTGCTTTTTGAAACGGTTAGGTTTTGAAATGGATATAGTTCATCGTATTTAGAGAAAAGTGGTTTTTTGTTACAAGCGGAATGTGAGTGATGAAAATTGTATCAATGCGCATCTCTATGGATATGCTGCAAATGCATTGTTGCGAGTAATTCACGACAATGCACCATATATATAATTTTCTATCGAGCGATTGCATTGTGTGCGTGTGTTCACGCAACGCACCCTCTAGCCTCCAAAAATGAACAATCCAAACGACTCATGTGTTCAAATGCGTCAAGGTGTTTTTTATATCCGGAAACGAGGTTTGCCAGGGTCCGAGCAGAAAATCTCTCGGTCTCAGAAGACTACAGTGTCATGTCAAAAAACTAGTCGATCCCAATAACACGAGTCGCAGAGAAATGTACCTTTGTTGCCATCGTGCCATATATTGATATCCAATGAGGGAGGGTGACGTACCTTTTGTTGCTACGAAGTTGACAAACAAGAAAGGGTGAATTGGGATTGTCCTATCATTGCCTTAAACATGCAACTCGATATCTCTTTGCATTTATGTAATGCCAAAATTGCTGGTGAAGATAATGTGTACATTGTGGGCAAAAATGATAGGTAGCTAGCCAGAGAAGGGGGAAAGTGGGTGTTGATTGATCAATTTAAGTAGGGCAAGAGAGTGGTGGACCTAGTGGGTAATTTGACTCAATCGAGTTATCGTTGGTATGAGTATTGGTTCAGATCCAAATGAACTTATGTACACTCTCAGCTTAGGAGTTGTTTGCTTGATGGATTTGGATACATCATGAATTTCGTCCAACTTTATTGTTTACTTCATATATCCAGGGGTAACAAATCCGTGGGACTCACAAACTTTGAGAAGTCTAAATCTGTGTGCTCTATGGACTTGAAAATCCTACCCGATTAAGTGGGTAATAAATCTCGGATTTCAATTCCGAGATTCTCAAACTAAACCATTCCTTTTTCTTTGGGTTTCAGTTTTCAGAATCATCAAACACAAAATATAGGAAGCAAACATGCCCTGAACTAGCTATAGCTATCTAGCTAGGCTAACTTTCATTGTTCCTGCAGGTTTGTCCTGTGTTATATGATCAAATGATGAAGAACAATTTCATAATAAGCTCTATCTGCTCTGCACGACATGAAAACATTTACGTGAGGGAGAGAGGGATTTGTCAACGAAACAAGCAACTCGTACAGCTTCGTCCATAGCTTTCCATTCCCATGAAACACAAACAACGAAACCCTAAACCAACACGTACAAAGCCAAAACGAGCTAGCTAGCTTTCATTGGTGATTCGCTGGCTGGATCTATGAAAATTTAACGAGTTAAGCATTCAACTTCCACGTTGTTGTATTCATCTTTGGCTTCTCATGTTGCTCCCATTTATGGAAAAACCCAACCACGCAATAAAACGAGTATGTTAGTTGGGGAACTTGGATTATATCACTAAAATATTATACCGCTAGGCACTACCTTGTCCGATATGACTTCTTGGTTCGGTTACGAAGCCAATTATTTCGGTCCTAATCTGATTTATTGTAAGTAACTACGTACATCTCAGTTTTGACCAATTTCGTAAACAATTTCAAATGGAAGTATCAGACTTTCTTCCTTAACCATAGCTAAGGCTTATACTCATATGAGAATTTTATACACATTTTCGAGATTATTCCAACTTATGAATATCTAATAAATTTATGGAAATAAGCGATATGTACTCGTAAGGAAATTATTGAATAATTAATATAGAACCTTAGAACATAGTGTGTCAACCCTCATAAGTCATAACTACTTTATCAGCTTTTGCCCATGCCAGCAAAACCATAAGTTACGAGATAAGCAATGGGGCAGTGATGTCAATGCGATGTCACGTTGCATATTGTGAAATTGACTTTTTTTTTTGGGTTGTGATAATGGTGACACTATTAAGCCGATGAAATCGAGAGAAGCCAACGCTATCAAATCGCTCATAATCTGGAACCAAATTAACTTAAAGCAAACAAATCCAGTTGTTGCCAGCCAACCCAACTTTAATTGATTGATTTTGCAGTTACCATTACTAAGTTCAATTTCAACGGAAAGAGAAAGCAAGCAACGATTCGATCCTCAATAACAGTTCCTTTGGGTCACCGTAACCACTACACCGATTCATTTTATACTATTCGACTAATAATATGGATTCCATCTAACGGTCAACTATTAACAATGACGAGATAAGAAAATTAATACGCAAAAATCAGAGGTATCATATTAGAGAATGATTCGCAGAGCTCTTACTGTCAAACAATGTTACTGTGTGGCTGGCCGCTGGCGTCAAACAGAGTCTAATTGTATTCTGTTTGATTTAGGAGAGGATAAATTGAATTAATGGCTTGAATGGGACCAAGTCTCAGCCTCATTTAGCTATTGGAAGTTCCGTTCAACATCCTCCCAAGTCCCAAACCGAAAAATATGGTTTCTAATGAATACTGGGTCCAAAAATGTGGAGCTTTCAAGTTTCGTTTTCCCATTTCAGATAGCTGTCATTTTCCATAAACCCCATTGGGAACTCCAAATTTGACCATCTCCTGCAACAAATCTTAAATCGATATTCAATGCTGCAACAATAAGACAAGGACGCGAGTTAGGAATATGAAAGCAGGCCAGCTTGACAGATTAAAGCACCATTCCTAATAAGCTTCCTGATAAGGAACTCTAACTGCATTTCACAACACCAACAGATTAAAGGAATGGGTAGGAGAAATTTTACAGATACAGCACCTGAAATTGCAGAGATATATATGTATGTATTGATGACATTTTCTGAGACTACTACTGGGACCTAACATGAAACCTGGCAACAGCTCTAAGAGCTTATACATATACTACTACCACAACAAAATGGGTACATAACATAACAACACTCATACAACATTCCTCAAGAGAAGATCATTTGACAAGTAACTGGCAAAACTAGAGAAAGGTCTGGTTTGTGTCTCCTTTTGATCATCCTGCTTCCCGTTCAAGTACTCGAATTCTTCCGTCCGTCCAAGCTTTGACCTGTCCTTGACTCATCCGTGACATCTTCCTCATTGCCTCCTGCAGTCTTCTTCTTCTCTGTTTCTTTCATACTACCAAATACTCAGATTCTTCAGTCCATCCAAGCTTTGACCTGTCCTCGACTCTTCCGTGACTTCAGCATTGCTTCCTGCAGTCTTCTTCTCTGTTTCTTTCATACTATCAGCTACTATGCTAGGATGGGCTGGGATAGAGGCAGTAGGGGGAACCTTATCCTCCTCTTTCTTGACTTCGACACAAGACTCTTTCTTAACTTCTTCAGAACAATCTTTCTTAGATTCAACAGGAACTGATTTAGGCTCAACCGGCACACTCGGAGTAAGTTCTTTCTTAACTGCTGCAGGGGAAGGAGCAGCAGCAAACACCGGCACGGCCTGCCTTATGGTAACAGGGATGACGTTCCTTCCCATGGGTGGTGCATGAACCGCCTGATGAGTGGGAACCATTGAAGGCTGCTGGTGACGTGGGGGAGGAGCAGCATAACATGGTACTGCATGCCTTATGGTCACGGGTTGAACAGCATATGGCTGCTGCATAGGGATATACGGTCTATTGGCTCCTGTTGCTGCTGCTGCATGGAGCTTCTGATGACTCCAAAGATCCAGGACATTTGGTGGCTGTCTGAGCGCTAGTAGATGACTATCATTTGTTGAGGTAGGTCTTGGAGGGGCAAATCTGTCACTTGTCGTTGTTGAAGTGGATCTACAGTGCTGAGAATGTCTCTCATTTGATGTGGTTACCATCATAGACCTATTCCTACTTGTCTTGGGATAAATGAGGGGTAGGATTCTCGATGTTGTTGCAGGAGCAGGTTGAGGACTGGTCGGCCTTGGGCTTTGAGGTGCAAACTTCTTTTGAAATGGAATTGGGACTTTAGAAGAGGAATTGTTTGCTATTGTCATCATTTCCTTCATACGATAGTTCTGCAAGGCACGTGCTATCGTTATCTGCTCCAGCTCATCGCTGCCCTCTGGTTCGGATGCTGAACTGGACTCTTCCTTAGCCACTGGATCAGGAAGAAAAAATAATAAGAAAGAATTCAACTGTTAGCAATTATCGCCGAAGATAACTGTATCAGTCTACCAGGTGGTAAGAGCTACTGCACTACCGCATGAATGGAAAGAGATAAATACAGACTTACATTGTTTAAGGGATGACCAAGCTGCCATTGCAGCATTTTTCTCCGCTTGTTTTTTGTTCTTGGCTGGATCTCCTGTGAAACTAATTCCAGCCAATTCTACTATCCCCGTAAAAACAGGTTGGTGACCAAGACCGGACCTATATGTTGTGTACTGTGGCAATGGAGCACTGACTCTCTGAGCGATCTCCTGCAAGAGATTCTTGTACACCCCCGTTTCATCCTGCGAGAGAGGACTAAATATCAGATGACACAACTTCCAGAGCAGGAGTAACAATGCATTCAAGTATAGACCTAAAAAGGTCAAGAACTTGATAGCATATAACTATGTGTTGGCAATTTAATATTTTCCAAGCCTCCAGACTAAAGGAAGATATTAGGAGCACAGCCATGCTTGAGAGCCCACTGAAATCAGTTCCACAAGCGTTTTGCAGAATTCCAGTCTAGTGTGAAACCAGAGCTGGTATATGGATCCCAACAGACAAAAGTATGGCAACAAAAAAAAACATGGCCAAGGCAGTGATGAAGGAATATTCACCGAGTAACAGGGATAGTAGTAAGTGGGTATGAACTTAAAGACTTTCTCATCTGCATTTGAGATTCCAACTATTTTTCCCCACAATAGAATATTGGAGAGCTCTCACTAAAGTCTCCATGTCAATATTCAACACCAATTTTTAAGACAATAGTTTTAATTGAACCTCACCAAGATACCTAACAAATCTACAGTAAGAGTCACCGGCATTCAATAATCAAATGGCTGGAAGAAGACTCAACAAGCTTTGTTAACACGCCATATTTCCCTAAACCTCCAAATGGATCACAAAATTTCAACCATTATCTGTTGGTCAACTGAGAAGATAAGTCTTGGAGAGAACCAAAATCCAGGCTCCATTTCAACTAATACACCCAAGTCAGAACTTCAAATTTCAGTTCATTGGTTCGCAGTCATAAAGCCAGCACATCCAAAGCTAGAATCAAAAGATGACCTTAGACAGGAGCACTGTCAAAGTGAGACATTTCCCTCTTTGTAAATTTTTTCCACAACTTATAGTATCTAGATTACGTAAGAACATATAGAAGCTTTTCTGGATAACTTTCCTCCGATTTCTCAGCAACCAATCAGGGAAAACGTGGATTCATGATGGAAAGCTCAGGCATTTCAGTGACACTAATACCCCCCAGCTGGAGAAACCAATTACTCAAAGCTCTTCCCAAAAACGCAGAAACAAAAGCAAGGACCAGATTCCGTCCTTGGTTAAGGCCACCAAACAACATGACCCGTATCCACACGACACGAGTCAAAGTAAAACAAAGAAACGGAAAGCAAAAAGGAAACGAGCACAAAGATACCATTTCTACTGGTCCGGTCAACTAAAGTTCAGCAAAGCAAATGGTTTGCAGCCTAAGTTGAAATCCAAGGCACAGCAACAGAATCGAGGAAGGGGCGTTTCAATCCATTCACCAAACCCACCCACCTACCTACCCACAATTTAATATCGCCGCCGGCGGCCGGGAATCCAGCCGATAACCCCGATCACGAACCGAAGACGGGAAGTAAAATCAAACCAGCAAACAGCAGAGCAAGCAAAAGGCAGGTCAAACGTCGAGCAGAAAACAGAGATTTCACCACCGACAAGAAGTAGTGAAAGCACATACCAGAATGCGGGCGGCGAGAGAGTGAGAAGGCCCGCGGTGGGAGAGGGATCCGAGCGCGACCTCGGCGGCGGAGTGCTCGGCCTGGCGGAGCGTGGAGCAGTAAGAGGGGCTTTCGAAGATCTCGCCGTTGAAGTTGACGGTGGCCTTGAAGCGCGGCGCGTGGTCGGGACCTTCCCTAATGCTAGTATAGGAAGGGAGGTTGAAGCAGCTCCGCTGCGCCAGCTCCTGAAGCTGGTTCTTGTACATTTCTTCCCCTTGCCTACTCAGCACGAATCTTCTCCTCTCTAGTCGTCACTCTTCCCCGCCGCTTCCCATATCCGATTCTTCGGAGTTCCCGGCGAGTGGGTTCGAATCGGGTCCCCGATCGGCGAAATGGGTCGGGGGGAGATCGAGCGAGCTCTACTGGGTTTGTTTTGGTTTTTAGGGTTTTGATGTCTTTGCAGATAGAGAGAGAGATGGAGAGGGAGACAAATGGGTGTGGAGGGAGTAATGAGTAAAATCTGATAGTGCGGGGAAGGATCATGGAAGGAGAGAAAGAAATGGATTTTTCTCTGTTTTTACATAAACAATTAATATTTGTAGGTTCTTTAATGTTTGTTGCTTTTATTTCGTTTCATTTTTTAATATATTTTGTCAAGAAAATTGGAGAACTTATTAAATATTTTATTTAATGAGTTTTATGTGGTTTAAATAGGGATGGTAATAACATAACTATAACATGTTAAATATGTATTGGGTTTCAGAATAGCAAATCCAAACGCAAACTCAATTGGTACTCATGGCCACGGATTTATGTGTTTTCATGGCTTCGCCCTTATGAACATAACTATACATTGTTTCTCCAAACACTCACATTGTAATATTGGCAAAATTTTATTACAAATATATATTTATGACTATGATACTAGTAACATTCATAAATAAATTCATATTATTAGGTTTATACTATCATACATACTAATAAGTAATAACATCCATAAATTATCCATATTTTCCGTGTTGTGTTAGATACATTATGACGTTGTTATGGTGTTTGGGATGCTGATACGATAGAAAAACAGGTTGAATTTCGACAAAACTCAAACTCAATTTAATCCGCCAATTTTAAAGTGGGTCGAACCCGACTCAACCTAAATATCATCAATACTGAATGTTACCGATTTTAACCAGGTTGGGTGTGAGATTGGATACCCAAATTTTGGGTCAACTGTCAATAGTCATCCCTAGGTGTATTGCTTTATTGGGGATGGGGAGTCAACTGAACGTGAGGCTTTTTGCATGGGGTTTCGATCTCCTTTTCTGCTTTCCTCTACATTTTTGCCTCCTCTCCTTTATTTTCACTCGGTTTTGCTTTTTTCTAGGGTTATTAAAGCCGAGCCGAGCCGTTCGGCCCGACCGGTAAAACCGCCACCCGGTCATAAAACCGGCTCGAAACAGTCTAAAAGCCGCTCCGGTTTTATGTAGCGGTTGGCGAGCGGTCGAGACGGTTAACCGTCCGAGCCGATTGAGGCGCTGGTCCGGTTTTTGCCATTCAACCACTAAATTTAATTAAAAAAATTGCATAAAATTGAAAATTGAAATAAACAAAAAAAACGTAGGGCTCTCAAACTGAATCCTTATTTCCATTTCACAATTTCGAAGGAAAGAGATGAGCTCTGATTAATAAATGTCCACTATTTATACTGATAACGTTTATTAAGTACCGATTTTTAAACGGTCTAATGTCGGTTGGACCACTAAAGTGCGAGCCGTCCGCATTACCGGGTCATGCTCCGGTTCGGTTATGACAACCTTGACTCTCATTCACAAATCACAACGGACTAAAAAAAGTGATGACATGATCACACGCATCTGATTCTTCCATTCGATCGGGCATGCTTAATCGTTACCTTATAATCACGTCGGCGAATTCGTTGAACTCGATTACAAATTTTGTAAACGATCGTCTTAATATATCCACTTCAATAATTTTAAGATGTAAATGAGAGTTTACGACGACAACACTCTCAAGCATCGATAGTATCGGCTTCTCGTCTAACCTTCTTGTACCCCCCAACCGATTGAAAACGGTAACTACAAGTCAATATGAGAAAGCAGCACTCACATATTTGTTAACCAATTTTGCATCATTTTTGTGACAGAGTACCAAACCACAAGCCCCATTTGTCGTCGTTCTCCGCCGGTGAGAGAGGACTGTACAGTACTACTATGGATTTGGGGAATCTCGACTTAGACGGGAACTACCAAACTACACAGCTCCAACGGGAAACCATTATCGAAATTCTCGATAGTGGAGTCAATTCATGCACGTGATTATGTCTTCACACGAAGATGAGCCATAACCCATAGGTCACAAATCACAACACAACCAATTTCATCATCGCGGTGTTAATGGACAAAAGGGTGTCAATTTTGCTGCAATGCTCACAAGTCATAACCTCACCCATCGAATTGCTTGCTGGTCGTTCGACAATATCGTTGCCTGATGAGACTTCGCTAGTGATGACAATTTGAACCCGTTCCCCGTAGGTATTACCCTACTGAATCCGCGATGGAACGAGTATTACCCGAACCGCAACATCGCAGAGCAAAGTATGGGTATCTACTTCTGACCCGCCCTGCACCGTTCTAAACTCATTTTATTTCGATTTCTTTATGTTATCTATTCATATTTCTCTTATTTCGACTTTTATTCAACTAGTTGGAGTCAATATTTCAACTTGTTAGACTCAACTACTCATTCTATTTTCAATATTTTTCTTTCATAAAGTGTTTTCCCTTTGTTTTATCGTAAAAAATAAAATTTGCGTGTAACATGCAAAAGTGGACCGACCCGCCCACTCCAGTACCCCACACAAATTTTACCTGCCACGACCCATAATAGCGTGAGTGAGACAAAGCATGAAAATTGAGGTAACCGCCCCACCCCATTGTCATCGGCCCATCACTATACTTCTCTCCGCCTCCCACTCTCGCATTATATCTACTAGCATTTTAGCCCGGCCAATGGCCGGAAGGTGTCTGGATGTCTGCACATTACTTCAAGAATATTGCTTTTTAATTTTAGATAAACTAATTTCTAAATTGACATTTTTTTATTTAATATAGAAGAATTTTATAATTTTATATAGCATTGGTGGTATAGGGTTTTGTCTTTATGGTACAACTTGAAATTTTACCTTTAATGTTATGTGACAACTTCATATTGTACCTATACTATTTTATGGTACAATATGAAGTGCATGAACTTGTACATTTATGTGACGATACAATTTTAATTTTTAACGTTATAGTACAATCTAAACTTATACATTTAACGTTATAGTACAAAGTTGTACATTAAAGTACAAATTCTTTATAGCATAATAGAAATGCTCTTTAATATAAAGAATGCATGTTTGTAAGCGATGACATTAAACTCTTAATCGAAAAATATTGTTTATTTACTAAATCTATCGTGAACATACCTTAAAAATTCTCATTCTTTAAATATTATGTCAATTTATGATGGTTAAACTCTTTAATATTGACCCATTCTTTTGGGGGAGTATTTCTATAATTTTATTTGTTTTAATGAACTGGTTGTTTATCAAGTTTCAGTGTAGCGTCTTATATAACGATTTGTATAATTGAAGACAATCAAATCCATAATCTTGAATAATATATGCTCCAAATTTCTGGTGTATATATGCTCGTTCGGTAGTTAATCAGTGTCTAAAACTGTACTATACTGGTAGTTCGACCTAAAAGGTCTCATACCAATAGTTAAATCGGTTGGCAGCTTCAAATGATATGAAATGGTTGAACGATAGTTAAACCATGATTTCAGCACCAATATCCTATGTTGATTTTTTAAGTACAACCTATATGATTTATAGCCCTTATAATAAATTTGTTTCTTAAAATTTGTGGTTTCAAATTTGAAAATTCTTATTGAAATAATGAAATTTTAATGTACTATAGTAGGAACTTGCACACTTTTTTTTTGTACTTTTGCTTGGTGAATATTATCCTGAATAAATTACCCTTTTATTTTGTTATTTTTTCTGGTGGGTGGGTAAATTTGAAATGTAGGTAAACAAAAAAACAAACAAAAAACGGGAAAACAAAAACAAAATAAGGGGAAAAACTAATAGTTCCGAAACTTGCGGGCAATGCTCCGAGGCTTACGTGGCAACCGGCTTTTTCCAAACTGTTTTAATATTTTGTAAGATTCCCATTTTTGTGAGCAATTTATTAACATGTAAAGAAAGTAACATCAAACTCGACCACAGACATGGCCCGCTCCCACATATAACGAGTAGAATTAAATACGTTGTTTGACATTGTTGGAAGGAGCAAAGCAAGTCCACCTAATTTATTTAACTACAAAATTCAATGTAGTAATAATTCATTAGAAGAAAAAAAAAAATATGACCATTTGAAAGTTCGAAACCAGATGGGTCTGCCATAAACTTGACTCGAACATTGTGACCAACAATCATCGAAAACACGAAGTGAACCTCATCGAAGCAGGACACGAGGAGCTAGTAGGCAGATTAACAGAGCAGGCGAGGGAGCTAATGCACAAGTACAGTCGCTAAGTAGCGCACAAATTTATACATCAGTGAACTGAACAAATTGGCTGCTAACTGAGCTACCGGACCGCACTCAGGCTGCGCGGCTTATGGATCGGCGAGAAAAGAGCAGTGAGGAGCAGACTAAAGCTATTAGATTTATTCAACAGACTGGACATGGAAAGGAGGGAAAAGAGCAGTACTCGTGTACAAAAAAAGAATGATTTAACAGATTACTTAGGGAGGGATAGGAATTGGATGTCACCAGGAGAAGGGGCTTGCTCCCAGTAGAAAGATCTCATTCTCAACATCTTTCACCCATTGGCACACCTTGTTGCACGTCTTTATAGCCAGCGCCTGCAAATTTTCGGTTTCAGCAGACCAAAATAACAGAAGTTTCACGCTTGTGAAACAGAAGCAGGAACAGAAACGTGCCGACGAGAGAGGGAAATAAATAGAGATGTCTAACCTTGTCTGCAAGTGGATCGAATGCCGCGTATAGTTCAAAATCAGGGGTGACCCAACAGAGCAAAACTGCCATGGAAAAGAAGCAGAGATTCTCACCACAGGAACTTCTTGCTGTACATCTTCATTCAAATTATCTAATAGCAACTATGGGAGCTGGTGGGAAAACAAGTTTACCATAGTTCTCATCTCTTCTAAACTGGGTTTTGTGTGGTCCGATTCCTTTGCTATGCATTGAAACATATAGCTTCTGGTAAGCTCTGTACAATCTGCCACGAGAAAGCATCCATGTCAAGCACAAAACTAGCTGGGGGGAGGTCAAACAAAAAGGATCAATTACGACGAAGGAAATTCCGCTCAGAATTACCTTTTCTGCTGCCGGTGGGTATTAATTGGTGAGGAGAACTCAGATGACACATACTGATCAAGATACACACTGCGATATAAGAAATGCCAAAGTCCAGCAGGACCACCAAGGCCAACAAGTGATGATTCCCTGATTCTTTCAAGAGTCTCAGTGTGTGGCTTATCTTCAACACGAGAAGTAGATCCAGTATGCTGCTGTAGATCAACAGATAAATCTTCAACGCGCATCCCACCATCTAGTGTGGATCTCTGAACTTCGCTAAGTACATTTGACTTCAGAAGTACTGTTTCAATACGAATCCTAAAAAAAATTGGCCAAACTTTAAAGATCTCATCACATGTGTATTTGCAGTTCTCTTGAAAGAAATAAGGAAGAGCAAATAAAAGAAATTCTGCTGCGAGGCCACATTGATTATAAACTAGGAACTGCAGGAAGACTTACCTGCAATCTTTAAGATGGTAGAAAGCATCTGAACGGGTTGTTAGCAATATCAGGTACGTGTCAGCCTGCAGGTAAGGTTTGTAAATGACAATGGTCAGCATTGAAAAGTGGTCATGGGCACTATATGCTAAATTGGAAAATAAAGACTACATAAGAAATAATGGATTGGTCACCATCCAACAATTCTTACTCACATCAAAATAATGGACATAAGCATGCAAAAATGCCATAGGATTGTATCTTGGTAAGCAAATTGGTGAGAAAGATTCAGAAGTCCTGCACAAGCCCAGTAACTAAGTAAGCTAAAACATATCCACCCTCAACAACAGTCATTATACAGTCAAGCACGAATAATCAGGACAATAATCTCGACCTCCTTTTAAACTACCAGTAAAGCTGTATAAGGACGACCGTATTAGCAAAATATATTTGTACTACTCATGTTGACGCGATCAGCTTAGTTTCCAGAAGACAAAGTCAAGCCTTCTTGAAGTCAAGTGCACTTGCCTAAAGGACTCAGATGACATTATAAAATTTCCAAGTAGCAGCATGTCGTCGGGATGAAGAGAAGCTTTCTGGGCGCCAACAAGACTGATAACCTGAATTTTAGTTTCAAGTCAAATATTACTCTACCAAATCAAGGAAATCTGACAACAAGAAACAACTGCAACTTTTAAAGAGGTACCTACTCTATGTTTACACATTAATAACGCAAAGAGGACACCAGAATCAGCAACATCTTGCAATATAGCACCAGCGGCTTGTCTTGTTGCATAAGGAAGAGGAAGACAAGAGTATGCATGAAGAAATGCAGCTGGATTCCTGATTCAAGAAAGAGTACCAACATTCATTAACTACCAATTTCCAGAAAGACGGAAGAAGAAATTAAGAAAACCTAAAAATGTTAATATACTCAATTACATGAAGTTCACTTATGCTAAGGAAAATTCGTCTTTTCATTTGTGCCATCTTAATTGGTATGCACTCTCATCATACAACAGGTGCATCAAAAAGGTATTGCAACTTACCAGTTATGCGACTAATCTACCAACACCTCTACGCTTTTGGAATTTTTAATTACCAATTACATGCTTTGATCGAATTCCCCTCGATTAACCATAACACTCCAACCAAGGGAGTTCGGAATTGAGATTCACACTTTTAAATTAAAAGGTAAGGGGAAGAGGCACATACCAACTAAATGAGTGGATTAGGGCTGAGAAGACAACATCTGTTCCTCCAAGCAAGGGTGTCATGTCAAACTTCGGGTTTTTCTCGAAACATCTATTTAACGATTTGGTTAAAATGAGAATCATCTGCATCCATTTAATAATTAATTCATGAGACTTGTATGATGACTCCGGCAAGTAAGTCCTCCACATTGAAAACCACTAGGAAAATCAATGCACTAAGAAGTCAAATGGTGGAGAAGCTTCAAGTACCTGACCATATACAAGCTCCAGTTGTGCAACCAGAGACTCGAACGGTTCTTCTGTACAGCTGATGCATACAAGGTAGATCGGTCCTTTTACAAGAAAAACCACCTGGAGGAGGAATTCAAAGGAAAACAGTAATATCAGTAAATTACAGTGCTTGTACTCCGAGAAAAATTGTTGCAACACAATATGAAAGATTGTGAGACTGCTTTCAGTTTTCCATCAACAGAAAATAATGTGTGGGATAGAGAACAAATGAAGCACCCCAAATGCAACTATAACCAGAATCTTAAACAGCATATCAACTCGCAAATAGTCATCTCCAGTATCAAGGACTTCGCAAGTAGGACACATAGTCTAGAAGATTTAGAAAGAGATTCTACTTCGCGACTTGGTTCAACACAGAACTTAAATGAGAAAGCCGTAACAGAAACATGACAAACCTGGTGCATGCCTGCCTTAACATACTTGACTCGATCTCCCCTGGAAAGGAATATAATTAAGGCAATTGTTACAGCTCAATGAATAGCTAGCGTTAAAGCAAATCCTTTCCAAAACAAAATGAATATAAACTATAGGACTTCATTGTGTTATCCAAAGTACCCATTCTCTACAAAAGATATGATGGCTTGCAGAGTTGCAGAGAATCCTGCCAGCTTGTGCTCATCCCCATATCTAGAAGTTGATAAATTGACATCAAGTAAGCATTATGTGATGGTGAAAGGCGACTAGGTGATCACTAGAGAAGCTGAAACTGCACGCCTGAGGAAATCATTCATAGGCATTTGGGACAAACCTTGAATATATGGGTTTTCCAGAATTACTCAATATAAAGAAGTGTTTCTTCCTCTTTCTCCATGAAATAGAAGCATCATCCTGCACTTCATTGGTACAAAGACAACATTACAAGAGTACATTGACTAAACAACTTCTCTTTACGACTTATGGAAATGAGTTAATGGATTACAACACAGAATCTGAATACTATCTTGAGAATCCTTCATTTCAGTCTTAACTGCTCTCCCCCATTAGCTTGCCCACTTCGTTGCTCTGAATTAGGATGAGCCAACATTTTCTTTCCTATGGACACTCTTCCGTGCTAAGCAGGAAACTATATGAGCACAATTTGATGAAAAGTTGATCCAGAAGTTCAAGTCCATTATATCAAAGCTCGAAATGTTCAGAGACCTAGCTTATGAAGCAGATCCCTCCATTTCATACCTACATTTCCTAACTAGTTCAAGCTGCAGGAAAAAACTAAGTTACCTCATCAACATGCCGCTTCCCAGGAGTCCATTCCGCTTGCGAGTCCATAGCACCTTCAGCGCCATCACCATCGTTCCCAACTTCCTCTATCTCGTCTTCTTCGCTGGCGTCGTCAGCTCTCGAAGCGCTACTTGCACCGCTGCTACCTCTCTCACCAGCATACCCACTGCTGCTCGGACTAGCCGGCGCCTCCACCTCCAATTCCACCTCCGAGTTCGCCCTCCTCCACACAACACCGCCGCCGCTACCACCATCCCCATCGCGAGCCTCGCCAGAACCTATTCCCTCCTCTCGATCGCTGCTGTCGCGATGACCGTTGTCCTCGACATTAACGACGCCGTCAACCGATCCATTTCCCGAACCCTCATCTTGCTGCTCCTGCTGCTGCTCGGCCGCAGATGCGTCATCGGTCCGCGCGACACCATCCGAGTCTTCGAGAGTTAGCGACGATTGGAATTGGCTCTCGAGTGGCTGAGGTTTAAGCTTAGGGTTTGGATCGTCGGACGCGGAGGAGGAGCTGGAATCGGAAGACGACATGGTTCGCAATTGCTGAAAATCCGCGAGCGGTTATCAGAAATTGGCTCTGCAGCGGCGGCGAAGAGAGTATGGATTGGCCGTTTCTGCGTGTTTTTTTCTGGCAGCTCGAGCAAGTGTTGCGATGGCGGTTTCTCGAAGTTCTGCAAATGGAGAGACGGTAGAGACGGGGTTGGGGAAGACGATCGGCTGACTCTGACTCTGAGACCATTAGCTGGATTCTGGAAGCTGGACTTTGGATCCGGGTCTCGGGTCGGCAGGGAAACGACGGGTGGGACGTGGAGTGGTTGAGAAATGAAAAAGGCCCTTTGGAGGTTGGGCTTCCATGGTTCGGCCCAATTCAACCTATTCCCGAAGCCCCAGCCTCAAATAGAAGCCCAAATAGAAAGCCATCTGTCAGTTCGTCGACGCGAAAGTAAAAGAGCAAGAAGTGACAACATCTTGTCAACACTGTCGACAAGAAAGCCCAAAGGCCCACGAAGGAATATTAAATCCCCATCAGCTTTGCTGAAAAACGACAGATGGAAACACATATTAAACGACACCAACCATTGGGCGAGGGCGTCAACGAACTGTCTTGATCGACGGTCCCACGCCCCCTTTAAAACAATCAGTTTTCGCAGATCCGACGGTCCATATTATTTCTCTTTTTTCCCGTCTTATTCGACGTAACATATTATGTAACATGCAAATAATAATAAAAAAGAAATAAAAAATAGTACCAATGACCTTCTTCAATTTTATTAATTAAAACCATTTTGTACGTTTGATTGCATTTTATATTTTTTTATAGGTTTCGATTTGCTGTTAGTTGACATGTAACCATTAGACGTGAACATGACAATTTTTTAAACGTATCAATTAATCTGGATCAAACAATATTATAGCTTAGTGAATATGTATGTATAAAGTACCAATTTTGTGTTTATGACTTTATATGAGGGTTATAACCATCATCCCTCATTCAAAATGATGGTTTAGGTAGAGTTAAGTTACAGTTCGAACCCTCAATAATGAGTTAATGACCGTTAAAACTTCGGGGCTATCAACTTTTTATACGGTAGTTTTGACTTTATACAACGAATCATGACTTATCATTTCATCGTTAGTGACTCGTTAAGTTATCATCAAAATTTCTCCATTACATAGATGAGGCTATGTCGACCAAGTTTCAATCGGCATTAGATTATACCTAAAATAATCTTTCATATCCCCTAAATTATGCGTAGAACTCCTTCAGGTGCAAAACCTTCCTCGTCAATTCACTATCCATTTCTTTTGGGGTGTCGAAACCGCCAAACCCTTTTGAATCTCCGTTTTATTAAGATCAACAAAAAATTTCGGCACGGTGCATGTTACTTGAATAAGCTTTCAGTGTTAAAGATGGTTTAGTCAACTCGATCGTGTTATTGATCGATGAATAAGAGATGAGCATTGCACCACTCCACAAGAACAAATACCAACAAGTTTGTCGTAAAAGAATGAATGGGCCATAAAAGATTTGTGCCTATTTCTTTGTCAACAATTCGAGGTACTGGAATACGAGTACAGGCTGTACTTATCCAATTCGCCACCGTGCTTCCAAATTCAACACAATGTTATCATTATCTCCAATAGTTTCATCTATTACAAATCAAATTATCATTAACCACACTAAAACTCTGCACAACCCAAAATATTTTACGTGAGGTTTCTGTAATTCCCAAGCTATTGGCATATGTTGGGTATATGACTCGGATCCCGCCACGCCAAGGAAAAACCGACGCACCGTTACTAAAGGAGTTGGGCGCGCTAGCACCGACGCAACCAAAAAGGCGCACCAGAAAGGTGCACCAGCACAGCTACCAAGAGAGTTGGGGGCATCAGCACCGACGCGACCAAATTCACAGCCCAAACACCGAACGACGACGTTCGAGTCTAGCGTTGACCAGATCAGCAAAACTGTGGAAAACGACGCTGCGCCCCTCCCGATGAGTGGTCACCATCATATTCCTAGCCTCCTAGGTATAATAAGAGGCTAAATGTACTAGTCGTAGGTAGAGGCATGGTCTAGACCTCTGAGGTATGGTCTAGACCTCTGACATGTCAGTAGTCATGTCACCATGTAACTCACTCACCACCATGTAGCCTATAAATATGGCATTTACTCTGGTGGGTAAGGGGATCAGATTTTGCAGACTCTATCTCTAAGCAAAGAACAAACTTCTCTCTCTAAAAGACACTCTCTCAACTCCATTCTTCCTTCCCTTTGTTCCTAAGTTCTCGGTTGATTCTTGTTGCTTATTCTCCTCGACCCATTCTCGTGAATCTCACTCCTACACCCAGTTAGGTTCAAACAGCATATTTTGATAAGCGCCCTGATAAAGTTCTCTCAAAGTTAAGTGTATTTATCCTCATTAGCTAAATCTAATTACCCCATCTATTTGTTCTTATTTCTGCATGCAAAACCCTAATCTTTTTATAATAGTGTGCTCAAGATCCAATATCTAGATTGTTAATCCATTTTTTTATTAAGAAATCACACTTTGCCTGCCCCCCGCCATTACCACCCAAATTTATTCTCCACCATTAACAAAGCACAAATAAGCACTTAAATTTATCCACTTCCACTTAATTAGCTTTCTCTTTTGGGATTTGTTCTGAAATTTCACTCCTTTTGGTGGGCTCTTTTCATAAGTCACCACTTTAGTACTTTACTCAATCCAATTAAGTTCCAAACCGCGCACTTCACAGCATCTTATGATTTAAATGATCCAACCACTAAATTGACATAGTGATAATGTCGGAAAAAGTAACACTCGTCATATTCTATGTTCAAATTTTGTGACTAACAATTAATCAATGGTGGGATAAGGATTTAGATTGAGAAGAAAGAAGAAAGAGAGAGAAACGTGACAGTTTCCACGAATTGAACATAGATCTCGGAGCGAGGATGAAGATAAGGAGACTTGAGAGCATTCATTCATGCCACTTTTAAACGTTTTTCTTTGAAGAATCTCAACATATTAATACACATCATAACCAATTTTGGTCAAGAAAGAGATAATTTGTAGTCCCATCTGAATTGCACATAGCTTTACCATCGATAATCTATCTAAAAAGAAGATAAAAATCAGTCACTCCAACAAATATCATTGTTATTTAACATGTGAGTATATAATCAAGCCCAATAAGCATGTACGAGTACGAGACGAAAACAAGCACAGTTTTAAATCCAAAATATTCAGTCAAAAAAGATTCAAACGGTTCGATTAGCTCAAAGATGAAGCTAAAAATGTCACTCTCCAATCAACATTATGCATATTATAATAAAGACGATTTACTCACCATTATGCATATTATAATAAACTAGATTTACTTTGATGGAAGGGAATTTTGTCATATTGTTTAACATATATGAGTTCTTAGTTGGCAGACGGTGGAGTATCTTATGGACTGTCAAATCATTTTAAAATATAATTATGGATTTGCATTATCACCACCCTTCTATATGAACACATAATAATAGTTTATGTCATATGCGGTTTAGATTTTCTTGAACAAATCGAACCCTAATATTCGCAATTAGCAAGGCAGCCTTATCCCCACAACCACAACCCACTTCCACTGTTTTACTTCTTAATTATGATTTTTTTGCTTCTTCTCCCTTAACCTAATGAAATTTAGGTTAATTCAAATAATGTTACAGCATTTAATGGGTTGTATGAAAAATTGAACTTGTGATTTTAGCTTGTATTTTCTTTCTTTTAAATTATATTTCATCCATAATATAAATAATAAATATGCAATTAAATAATTATCAATGATAAAATCACATTTCCACACATAAGTCATAGAATACATACATTACTCAAATGTTTAATCTCATAATAAGTACTAACATAAAAATCTATGGAGTTTGCAATTATAGTAATTCAGAAATTCGGTTCTCGGTCGAAAGGACCTTGATTTCCGAAATATATCATTTTCCCTTCCGAATTCCGAACCAAATTAATGCTATTCGGTTAGGGTCGAAAGGATCTTGATTTCCGAAATATATCATTTTCCCTTCCGAATTTCGAACCAAATTAATGCTATTCGATTAGGTAACGTACCGAACCGTATGGCCACCACACCACTACTCCCCACCCAACAAGAAAGGAGACTTCTAGCACAAAACTGTTATTGACCAAGGGCAAATGATAATAAGTGTGAAAGTTACTAAAATATATCTTGAATGGAGTGGAATATTTCTGATGAAATATATTAATAATACAAATACAAATAATTGATGAAGTTAACAGATTGATTAAAAAAAACTCAATCCCCTTCATCAATCGAACCAAGATAAAAATTTTAAAAAGGGTAAAGATTAGGAAAAATACCCAATCTACCGACTACCGGCCTCCTGTCACAATCCCCTCTCTATAAAAACAACAAAAATATAAAACTTTTAAAAATTAAAATTGAAATCCACCCCCGCAAAAAGTTAATAATTATTCCCCTCTAATTACTTTCAAAAAAAAAAAAATGAAAATTTTCAATCTTGAAACCCAGTTTTCTCCCAAATTGCATTTCGGACCCTACTCAGATCCCTCCCTTTCAACGTCCTCCCCACGCCTTCGTGGACGGAGAACGACGCGATCCTCGTCCTCGCCATCTGCCTCGCCAGGAACTCGTGCGGCGGCACCCGCATCCCGCCGCCGTCGGCGTAATCATCGTCCAATTCTTCTCCCTCCTCGTCGTCGTCAAACGGATCCCGGCGCTGGTTATCCCGGTACTCATCCTTCAATATCTTCGACCAGTCCGGTATGTTGACCGGCAGCGACGACGCGGCGGATCCGAACTTCACCGCCGCCACCGTCGACCGATTCTTGCCGCCGATCCTCGACCCGGCCTTCCGGAACTCCGGCGACTCCACGGCGGCGTGGTGGCGGTCGTAGATGTCGCACTCGTCGAGTTCGAAGGAGGAGGAGTCGTGGTGGCTGAGGAGGTGGTGGTGGTGGTTCGGAAGATCCACGGGGAGGAATCGGTAGTTCTGCCTGGCTAAGTAACTCTTACTCGCCGCCATCGAATTCGCGAGAAGAAAGAAGAAAGAAGAAGAAGATCGGGGAAAAGCTGATAAGATCACAGTCTCTCCCGATTGAAATTTTCAATTGATTCTAAATTTAGGGTTTCTGTTTGTTTGGATTGGGGATTTTTTTTTTCTTTCTACTGTGGTGGGTTTGTTTCAGGGAAGGCAGATTTCGAGGTCCCTTTTTATAAAGGGTGTGGTGGGGGTTGCGGTAAATGGATAAGATTGGCTGCTTTGGCTATTTTAATATTTTTTTCCTTTTTCGAATTCTCAGAAACTCGAAAACATTATCGTGAAATGACCTACACGCCCCTCGTGAAAGCGACACGTACAAGACTTTTGGACTGTCCACACCGGAATTTCACACCGGAATGCCGTTTTACCGCGGCGAACAGATGAAACGAAACAACTTCCCATCTAAACCTGCCACGTGGAACCCGCTGCTGAAGTTCACCGGACAGTGGATGGACGCCACGTGGAGGTGGTGAATTGAAAAAGTGAAAACGGCAGTCGACATGTTGCCGTACAGTGAGGGGCAGTTACGGGAATCTACTAAAAAGTTCCTCTCCGCCTTTTAACCATCGCGAAACAAGGCTTTTTTGTCGCGACTCGATGGCCCAAGGCCCAAACAGAGAGGTGAGGGAGGGCTGGGTTCAACATGGGCCCGGTCCCGGGCCCGGAGAGAGGACAAATGGCAAATGCGGTCCCCCAATCCCTCCAAAGAGGCTGTGATATGGACACGTGTGGAACGGCTTTGTCATCGGGCAACACGTGGAGACGTCTCCGTTACGCTTAATGGGATTAGGATGTCGAGTGTCACGTGAAGTGGTCTGTGGATGGGACCCACCAGCCCACTTGGATCTATCGCGCAGTTGCCAGCTGGACCTCTCGCTGTCCCTCTGAAATGCGACACCTAATTTATTTTTAATTTTTTTTTTATTTGCCCCACATAAAATCACCATTAACCTCTTTTTTTAGGGAATTGATAAACGTCGTCCTTAAAATTACTATTGATCGTCCTAAAAAATAACAAATTTACACTTTTAACCTTTTGTCATCTTTAGCAAACAAACATCACTTTAACTAAAAAAAAATGAAAAACACTCAATTTCCCACGCTCTCGAATTCATCGTTGACATTCTCGAGTCGTAATCGTTGGGAATACGTCCGAATCATGAGTAGCGACTCCGACGAGGTAAAAATCAGATTTTTTTTCAAAAAAACCCAAAACCCCTCAACCGAAGCCAATTTTCGGTTGTACCATGGCTCAACCTAAGGCAATTTTCGGTTGTACCATGGCTCAACCTAAGGCAATTTTCGGTTGTACCATGGACCAACCGAAAATCACCTTCGGTAGTACCATGGCTCAACCTAAGGCAATTTTCGGTTGAGCCATGGTGCAACCGAAGGTGATTTTCGGTTGGTCCATGGTACAACCGAAAATTGCCTTAGGTTGAGCCATGGTACAACCGAAAATTGGCTTCGTTGAGGGGTTTCAAATTTTTTTTGGATTTGTTTGGTTTATATCAATAATTTTCTATTCTTTTACTACGATTTATGGTTCGGTCCATAAGATAATTTGTTGGATTTTGGTTTATATTTTTTTAGATTTATGGAAGGGGAGGGGTTGTTTGTTTTGTGTTTGATTTTGAAATTCAAAATGGCAATTCGGTAAATTACATATTAAGTTAGGAGGATGGTTAGTAATTTTTAGGACGACCTTTAACCATTCAGGTTTTTTACCCAAAATCCTAGATATTTTTAAAAGTATTTGGATTTTGGAAGTTTGTAACCGCAATGCACAGGATAATCGAGCCAATGAACTTCAGATTGTGATGGCTGATGTGTCTTATATTTTGGCCAGTAACTGAACTTGGAAGCAGTGTATAATAAACAAAAATTTTTTTATCTCTGACGGTAAAAATTTAGTTATGAATCTAATATCGATTTATTGTACGCTATATCAAACAAAACAATATATATTTTTTGATATTTTGTACATACTTGATTTAATCAACCGATAATATTGAGTACCACTAAGATTCGAATAAATGACCACTTGAATCCTCCTACTTTTATTTATTTATTATTTATATACCTATCTTATCTAACTACAAATCAATCCAATAAAATACAAAGCTCCCTAAAGTATTGATATCAACAATGGAATATATATAGAAGAAATTAGAAATTAAAAAAAAGTCCGATATGTTTCATGGACGAGCACTTCTACTATGCTATATAGAATTGGTGCTTTAATGTACAACTCAAAGTTGTACCATAACATTAAATGTATAAGTTCAGGTTGTACCATGAAGCAATTTGTGCCATTATGTTATGGTACAATTTTACAACTTGAAGTTGTACCATCACATAAAGGTACAAGTTCAAGTTGTACCATAAAAAAATTTGTACAAAACAAAAAGTATATGTACAATCTGAAGTTGTACCATAACGTAAATGTACAATTTTAAGTTGTACCATAAAGACAAAAACCTATAACACTAATACTATATAGCATGCTTAAAGTGGTTCTCCGCGTAGGTGCTTAGCCCACTAATTTGATTCGAATAAGTCAATAAAAACGACACTTGGTTCAAGGCTCTAGCAAAAGAACAAACAAAGATGTGAAAAAATGGCTAATTAATTAGTACACAAAAACTTGTCCTCCACTTCATTCACTAAACAACTAATATGATGATAGTGGGATTCAGGTATTAGAATTTAGATACGGTCTCTCTATTGATAAGTTTGTTAGGTATACTTTAGTACACATAAAAGTGAATAATAGCTTTTGAAGTTCTATCAATGAAGGCATTCTTTTAGTGGTAACGTGTGTAGCGATGACAAGATTAACTTCAGTAATCGGGTAAGATAACGTCAATGAAATCAGCAAATGAGTCCGTTTTTTTTTATATCCTCGTAGGTTATATTTTACTCGATTATTAAGATAGTTGTAGTGTACGAGGGGGCATTGTCATGTCGATCGTCATTTATCTTGTAAATGTTAAACACCGCTTGTTTAATATGCTTGTTGGATTAGACATTTGAGAATATCGATCAATGAGTTCTTTTGACAATTCGTGGGGTTATGAAATTTGCTTTGAAGATATATCATTGCGGTGGTCGGACAAAAGAGAAAGCAAAGAGATCGAGTTCCCAACTATGACGACAAACAAATTGTTCTACTTATTGATGATACAAAAAAAATGCATGTCAATGAAAATTTTGAACTATACATTACCATATCCATATGCACCTCCAATTATATTTGGGTACTAAAAATAATACATCTCATTTTCACGTGATTAGTGTCCGTCCAAAAATCTAAATTGATGATTATATACATTGAACGTTGTTAATTATGACGACCTTTACTATGAACACTATTAATTAGTTCAACCGACCCCTATATAAACAATATACATTTCAAAGAATCTAAGGGAACAGGTACTAAACACTCCCATAAAAAAATAAAAAAGAACAGGTACTAAATAGTAAATACCATGGATTGGTAATTGGACTCGTATTAAAAAAAAGTTTGGGAAAACGTAGCAATCTACCAACACAACCTTTTTAAAATCACTCACATTTACACTTTGTCGCAGGTTTATGTATTTTTTTTTTTACTAAAGATAATCATATATACGGATTAGAAAAGAGATCATAACACCCTGGACCGAAGTCAGGTCACAAAATCAAAAGAGCGACACGAGTTCGGGTACAAGAAAAGGGCTTGACGAGCCACCAAATGGGCTACCCTATTACTACGCCGACCAACAAATCGCTATATGCTCAGACAGGTAGCTTAAAACTTCACGGAAAATGGCCCCATCACGACTATCACCATTCTGAGCTTGGTTAAGTCTATCAATAACGACCTTAGCATCACCTTCGAACCGGACCACCGATAAACCCCTCTGAACGCACCAAAGGACCGCATCCCGGAGGACCAAAAGTTCCACCACCATGGGGTCATCCAGTCCGGCGAAGTGAACAGTCGAGGCCGCCAGAACCACCCCATCCGGAGCCAGAAGAACCCAACCCCCAGCCGCATGCGATCCGTGGCGTGTTGCCCCATCCCACTTACAGACCACTGCACCAGGGGGAGACGACGGTTCCTCACTACCTCCAGCCAACAGAACACGAACCGTCTTATCCTTAGGTAAAGTAACCCACTCATGCAACTGTTGCTGGTACTATCTCATTAGAATAGGGATCCCAATTTGTTTGCCTTAAAAAACAACCCAGTTACGGGACTTCCAAATCTGCCACAACACAGCAACAAATGCCATGACTTGATGGGAATTCTGGATAAGAGCCAGCACCTTCTTTAGGAACAGGGGGAACGTATGACGTGGGAGACCCTGGCCTAGATGTTGCAGACCTGCATAATCCCACAAGGCTCGGGCCACAGGGCACTCCAGAAAGAGGTGCTCTATAGTTTCAGACTCTCCCCCAACAGACCGGGCATCGAGGATGGACCAGAACATCCTTTTGCAATAAGAGCTTCCGTTCTGGGGAAGAAAACGATGCAGGATTTGCTAAAGAAACACCTTCAATTTGGGAGGAATCGAGGAATTCCACAAGCGTGACCTAGCTCCTCGTGTCCATCAGCATTGCCACGTGATAGGGGGACGACTTGTGTTCAGTGGATATTGTATAAGAGTGGCATGCAGTCGATGGATCACTGCAGCGGGAGGAATGGAGAGCTGCTGCATTTTCTCAGAAATCTTAAGGAGACGAAGAAGCAACGTAACGTTAATTTAACAAATATAAATAAATGCGGTGGTGTGGGAGTTGGGGGAAACTTTGGCTCTGTCTCAAAATGATGAGCCCAATGCAAATGCAACCCTTTTTTCTATGGACTGGAGGTCCCCCAAAGATGCGACCGGAGAGAATGACAGAAAAATGATAACTAATAAGGCTGTGGTTCATTGCATTTGTACAAAGTTTTGGTGTGGATGTGGTGATTTTTAAGTCATCTCGATTTGGAGGTCTCCATCCAATTAAGGGATGGCGCAACACTGGAATAGAAAACGACTGAACTCAACCCGAAAGAAATATTCTCGGCTTATCCCAATTCCCAATTACGGTGTTGTTTGTGGCCAAGAATGCGGTGGCGGAGAACAGGAGAGAGGATTCGCCGTTTGATCTTAATTTAATACTTTTATTTTTATCTTCTTAATAGTTAAAAATGAGGTGAAATTTAAAAAAAAAATTTATTTTTTAATTGTCACGTCACACATGTAACAGTCAACTTTTATAGTTGACTGTCACGTAAGCAAAAGTTAACCGAGTTAGACCGAGAGTGACCAAATGTGAACAGTTTCAGTAAACTGAAGTACCACCAATAAATTTAAATATTTTAAGTGACCAAACTTGAAACATATTTTTTGTATTCTCAGTAACCAACCATGCAATTAACCCTAATTGTTGTGACAAGTGAGCATTCATCTATAATAATTATCGCGAAAGAGACGACAGAGAGAAACAGCAACGTTTCATTTCTTGCAAAAAACTCCAACTCGGCCCCGCTCATTACCTATCCAAATCTATCATCATCGTCACTTTAGGTTGGATATATACTGGCAACTTGCACCTTCAAATCCTAATTCCTTAATTTGGAATGGGCAGCCAACAGATACTGGGCCGAAAAGGCACGGCTAACAAGGAAGACCCTGTGCAACAAGGCCCAAAACTGTTTGTCCGGCCCATTGCCATCACTGAACGGAGCCAATCCGTTCACAAATGCAAAGATCATACGTGCAGACTGTGTGAACATCATCATCATCATAATTAAGCACATCCAGATCTCACCAACTGTTCAAGGTATAGAAGAAGCTAGGCCGAGCTAATCAAGCACTAATAATCAGGAAGAGAACTAATCAATTGAGGATGTAATCAAAGCAGACTACACATTCCATTACCTACACAAAGCTGCAATTCACTACCACAATTTGACCGACGTTTGAATACTTGGTAACCACAAGAGCCAGATAAGAAAACATGAAACAACCAAGGAGCAGGATTCGGAGTTCATCCAGTAAAACATTCGGCAGGTGAAGGAACGAGTGAAGGCGACTATGGGTTAGAAAGATCCTATGAAATCAGACCTAAGTTTTCTTTCTATATCTTAAAACCAACCAATCATCTCACACATCATGATCGCAACGATACATATATATATATCTGATAAATCACATAGTACTGCGACTGTTAACCAGCCGAGCGAATAACAGTTTGCACCAGATGGAGAACTAGCTCCAGCTAATGGTTTCCATAATGCTAAGAGCAGACAACACAAAGAAAGCAACAGAGCTAGTGGAATATCAGACCAGCAGCAAGACCCAATATTATGTAACCAAGAATGTTTAATGCCTAGTTCAACCACTCTCCTAAGAAATCAATCACAATGCATGAACAGAGCAACAACAGCAAACAATTCAGAAACATAAACACAGTCCACCAGACTATCATGGACCATAATCACTCACGACCCATAATAAGCATTGAAGCACACACACTAACGGAGCAAAATGGCAAGACTATATCATGTCTAACAATCACCCCAACAAGTAAACCAACTCCAAAAGCCATTCTCAAACATTCGAAACAACAATTGAGGCAAAACCCATATGTTTGTTCTCTGAGAAAAATCAACAAAAGGGCTCAAGACTACCCAAGACATAATAGACGAGCAAACAAAAAACAGCAGCTACAAGACTAAACTCTTACTCAAGCGGGACCTCGATTTCGCCATCGGTAATCTCCTGCTGCAAGTCCTTCGGGTCCTTCCCATCGACCGTGCACCCGACCGAGACACAGGTCCCCAAAATCTCCTTGATCGTGCCGCTGAGATCCTTCGCCATCGACCTGGGGCTCATCACCTTGGCAATCTCAATCACGTCGTCGAGGGAGATGTTCCCGTTGTGTTTAATATTTTTGGTCTTCTTCCTGTCCCTCTCGGGCTCCTTCAGGGCCTTGATCACCAGCGCAGCGGCGGAAGGGACGACGGTGACTTTCGCCTGACGGTTCTGCACGGTGAGCTTGACGGTGACGCGGAGACCCTTCCAGTCCTTGGCGGTCTCCTTGGCGATGTCTTCTCCGATTTTCTTCGGCGAGAGACCGAGTGGGCCGATCTTGGGAGCGAGGGAACTGGCCGCGCCGACTTCGCCGCCGGTGACGCGGACGAAGACGTCGACGACCTGGGACGGGTCGAATTTGGGCGGCATTGTTTTCGCTGCTCGGCGGCGACGGAGGAGGAAGAAGAAGATTAGGGTTTTACTGAATGGTGAGCGACGGCAATTCTCGCGGCAGTGGAAATGTTGGAAAATGGCTTGGTATATGTACTAGGGTTTTTATTTTTTCTCGGCAGAAAACAGTTGGGGGCCCATTTTCTTCTTAGGCCCGTACAAATGTCGGTTATTTCCTTTTCCATGCAATCAACATTCAGCCCATGAAGATGTTACAGCCCAAAGCAGCCCACCGAAAAAAATTATAATTTCCACCTCTCAATTCTCATCTCATACCCATCTAATTTGCATTTTTAAAGATGTGGCGCATGGTCGGGGCGGTGCGATTTTGGAGGAGATACGAGTGGCGGTGTCTTCCTTCTCCATGTTTTCGTGTACATTTACTCCTCGCAGGTTTAACAGGGCTGGCCATTTAGTGGCACAACAGGCCCTTTTATCGGCAATTCGACTACTTGTCGACTAGCGCGTTTGGTTGTGTGATGTTCTCTGACTATTTATTTCCATCTATCTATGCCAAATTTTTTTTTTTTGCATTTTTAAAATTGTCGTGTTATTCATTTAATAGTCAAATTAACATAGTTGACTGCTACTCAAGATTTTTTTACCAAAATTTGATGAAGGGTGATTATTGGTAAAACTTGTGATCATTAATGAAATAAAATTTTGTTAGTGACAATTGTGAAACGTATATATAAAGACGGTCACCAAATGTGCTATTTACTCGAGAGAACGGGTTGGGAACCTCAATGGTCGTTTACAGCTTCTCACATTGATCCTAATGATGACAATTTGAACTCGCCCCGCGGTATTACCCGACTCGCTGTAGCGTAGGGCGTGGCATGACTATCTACTTCCGACTAATCGTGTCCCGCCCCATTCTTGACCCATTCTACCTCAATTTCTCACAATATCTATACATATTTATCCTATTTTGACTTTTCTTCAAGTAGTTAGAGTCGATCTTTCAACTGGTTAGGCACAATTACTCATTCTATTATCACTAATTTCCATGAATAAAGTGTTTTTCCATTCGTTTTATCGTAAAAAGTAAAATTTGCGTGTGTTTTTTGAAATAACATGTAAGATTGGGTCGACCCACCCCGACCTATAGTAGCGGGGGGCAGGACATGAATATTGAGGTACTCGCCCCGCCTCGCTCCATTGCCATCACTAATTGGTCCTATGTAAATGTCAATAATCTGTTGCATCTGTTCAACTAGGTCCTCATCATAGTCTTATCATATATTATGATCCCTATCGTCCATGCAATTGCAACCACATTTTTGTGATGAATTTGGTGAAGCAAATTTGGATGTATTGAATTGATTGATTGCATTGATAGGAAATGCTAAAACTACCACATGGTTTACAGAGTCATCAATGACCGCCAGGACCCCATTCTATTTATTTGCATCGCAGCAAGCACGCAACTTGCAACCATATGACATGATTTTCACGAGGAACTGTTAGCAAACGGTATATGATCCACGATTGAACCTCACCCAACAACTCGAGTTATTGGGACCAATTGGTTCTTGACATGGTATCAGAGCCTTCTGTGACCGTGAGGTCTTCTGTTCGATTCCCGGTGACCCCCATCTGTTTCTGTTAAGCACACGGTGTCCGGACCTGTGCCTGTCCAAACTCCAAGCCTATATGAATGGCTTGTGTTTGAAGGGGGGTGTTAGTAAATGGTATATGATCCACGATTGAACCTCTGCCAACAACTCGAGTTATTGGGAGCAACTGGTTCTTGACATGGTATCAGAGCCTTCTATGACCGTGAGGTCTTCTGTTCGATTCCCGGTGACCCCCATCTGTTTCTGTTAAGCACACGGTGTCCGGACCTGTGCCTGTCCAAACTCCAAGCCTATCTGAATGGCTTGAGTTTGAAGGGGGGTGTTAGCAAACGGTATATGATCCACGATTGAACCTCTCCCAACAACTCGAGTTATTGGGACCAATTGGTTCTTGACAGGAACAAAATACAACACAGTCTACTGTCGGCACACTCCAGTCGACTGTTAGATGCAATTCGATGAGTTCTGACTATTCTGAACGGTATATCACAGATCAGCGAATAATGTCACTAAATTTACCGTGACGTATTGTATAGCAGAGAAATATAGCAGTCTAACCTATATATACAAAGTCACAATCTCATCTAACTCACAAAGTCACAATCTCCTCCCCTCTCTTTCTCCCATCGTCACAAGAAATCCTAGTAAAAATGAGCCAACAACATGATCACTCGCTAGGGAACATGAGCGGTAACGAGCTCCTCAACGCTCAGGCTCGCGCCTGGAACTACAGCTTCAACTACATCGTCTCCATGGCGCTGAAATGCGCCGTCGAGCTCGGCGTTCCCGACGCCGTCTCAAAGTCACCGGAGCAACCCATCTCCCTCACCAACCTTGCCACCTCCCTGCCGCTCCACCCTTCCAAAAACGACGCCCTACGCCGCCTCATGCGCCCCCTCGCCCACGCCGGCTTCTTCACACTGCATAATCGGTAGGTTTAAGGCTCGGAAAATTTTGTCTGGGGTTTTTCCTGTCTCCAGATCTTTCGGAGACAGACAGACAAATTTCATTCCCGGCGAATAGTGCCCGACTGCCTGTAGGTTCTGTTCTCTATTCTTTTGGAGACAACAAAAATAAAATTAAAAAACGAAAGTCGTCTCCAATATCTGAGACATAGTCGTCATCTAAAAAAAACATATCAATTTGTCATCATATATCTAGGAATTCATGATGATATGTCGTCGTCCCCTATGTAGTGTTTTTCAACAAATTGCTGACCGGTTCATTAGGTTGGTGGTTAAACAGACCGAATGTGGTTACGAGACAATAATCAGTCCCATTATCAAGTTTTTTTTTTCCGCAGATAACAACTCGTCTCCCGTAAAGTGTTTTCGAGACATTAACCTCTCTGCTAGAAACTATCTTAAAAGACATTAAGTCATCCCTAGTACAATATATTTTCGAGTACGACAGAGTCTGTCGTACTCATTACCCGACGACGAAATAAAATTATTGTCTCTAATACTTGTCCCCTACGCTCATTAATTTTTTTAGTGAAGTCGAAGGGGAAGGAGAAGGAGAAGGAGGAGAAGATCATTACTCCCTCACCACCGCCGGGAAGTTGTTCCTCCGCGGCGGCTTCGGGCCGTCGTACCTCGACCTCCACCTCGACCCCACCACGATGACGTCGTGGGGGATGCTGAGCGTGTGGTTCATCTATAGCGCCGACGCCGTCCCCTTTGTGGCGGGCCACGACGGCGCGTCGTTTTGGGAGCACATGGAGAAGGACCCGGTGAAGAAAAAGTCTTTCCACGACTCCATGGCCGCCGACTCCGTGCTGGTGGCCGGGGTTCTGGTGGCGGAGTGCAGGGAGGTGTTCGACAGGGTGGAGTCGCTGGCAGGGCCGGTTCACAATATTCGGAGGCCCTGTTCGAAAATAAAAAATGTGGCCTCAAATTTTCTCCCCTCAAAATGTTCTCTTTTTTTTTTTACGCTTACAATTACCTAATTCAAATTTTTTAGTTTACCTAATTCAAATTTTATAAAATAAAAATATACCCAAATGTCCAAACCAATACTGCTGCGAGCGGCTCTCTTTGCTTGGTTGGCTGAGTATTTAACTCAAAAACGTAATGGAGGGGTATTAGGGAATTGAGAAGTTGATTGGTAGGGAAAGATATTAGGGATGAGCATTGACTATTGATTGGTGGAGAGGCGTTGGTGAAATGAAATTTTGTTAGTGACAAACGTGAAATGTATATATAAACACGGTCACCAAGTGTGCTATTTACTTGAGAGAACGGGTTGGGAACCTCAATGGTCGTTTACAGCTTCTCATACCGGTCCTAATGATGACAATTTGAACCCGTCCCGCGGTATTACCTGACCTGGCCTGCGATTGGGCGAGTACTATTACCCGACCCGCTATAGCGCGGGGCGGGGCATGACTATCTACTTTCGACTCGTTGTGCCCCGTCCCATTCTACTTCAATTTCTCACAATATCTATACATATTTATCCTATTTTGACTTTTTTTCAACTAGTTAGAGTCGATCTTTCAACTGGTTAGACACAATTACCCATTCTATTATCAATAATTTTCATGAATAAAGTGTATTCCCCTTCGTTTTATAGTAAAAAGTAAAATTTGCGTGTGTTTTTTGAAATAACATGTAAGATTGGGTCGACCGGTAGTAGCGTGGGGCGGGGCATGGTTATTGAGGTACTCGCCCCGCCTCGCCCCGCTCCATTGCCATCACTAATTGGTCCTATGTAAATGTCAATAATCTGTTGCATCTGTTCAACTAGGTCCTGATCATAGTCTTATCATATATTATGATCCCTAACGTCCATGCAATTGCAACCACATTTTTGTGATGAATTTGGTGAAGCAAATTTGGATGTATTGAATTGATTGATTGCATTGATAGGAAATGCTAAAACTACCACATGGTTTACAGAGTCATCAATGGCCGCCAGGACCCCATTCTATTTATCCGCATCGCAGCATTGCAGCAAGCACGCAACTTGAAACCATATGACATGATTTTCACGAGGAACAAAATACAACACAGTCTACTGTCAGCACACTCCAGTCGACTGTTAGATGCAATTCGATGAGTTCTGACCAATCTGAACGGTATATCACAGATCAACGCATAATGTCACTAAATTTATCGTGACGTATATATATTTATAGCAAGCAAACAAGGACTTTCATAATCTCATCTAACTCACAAAGTCACAATCTCCTCCTCTCTCTTTCTCCCATCGTCACAAGAAACCCTAGAAAAAATGAGCCAACAACATGATCACTCGCTAGGGAACATCAGCCATACAACCAAATGACTTCTGACAATTGCCTTGTTCAATCCATCCTTATTAAAAATTCTTCACTTTTATCTGAATAGCTCAGTTTATACTTTTGTAACTATAAATGTTTTTAGTATAAATATCTCAACTAACAAACAGATGTTTAATTATTGTTTAATCCTCGAATTTAGATTTTTCTACCAATACATTCACATATTAAAACGAAGATTGTCAACCTTTGTTTGATCAATGTCTAGATCAGTGGTTGATGTAACATTATGTTTACTATACATCAACTATTTGTCCCTCTACAAACTTTATTTTATTGATGTATACATAGATATAATGCAAAATATCTCTCTAACTTCATATGTTACTTTGCAAGGAATCTTGTGTCTTATCCTAGGGTATGAAGCCAAACTTCGTCAACAATTATACTTAAGTAATTTTGAAAACTTTGATTTATAATTCTCGACAATAACTCCAAGTCTGAAAGAAAATTTCCGAGCATACGACTTAGGACCTTAATAGTTCTTGCTCATTCAACATGATCTAGAGCAAATATCTTTAATGTGAACTTATGACACATTAAAAAATTATTGCACATGTGTTTCAAAATGATACGAATGAATAATAAGTTTTTTTAAAATAAATAACTATAACTACTCGATCAATTTTATATTCAGACATTTGCTAAATAATACTTGTTTTATTATATAGACATACTTTATAAATAAGAGAGTGTTTCATAGTAAAAAATAATTGAATGTCAAATGTTTATTTTCTCTCTTTTCATATATTTTTTTTATCGATGAAATATTATTATTTATGTGATTGGCAGTTTACATATCAGTACCTATATTATTACAGCTTACCATATTGGTTTTATTATCCAAAATCCAAATGACTTAATTGGCCGTTTACATATCAGTACCTATATTATTACAGCTTCCCATATTGGTTCCTATGCAAATGTCTATGATCCTGTTGCATCTGTTCAACAGGGTCCTTATCATAGTCTTATCATATTATGATACCTAACATGCATGCAACCACATTTTGTGATGGAATTGGTGAAGAAAATTTAGATGTATTGAATTGATTGATTGCATTGATACAGAAGCTCGTAAGCCTTATATAAAAGAAAGAGAGAGAAAAAAAACCTCTCAAAAAGCAAGAGGTCGTTTTGAAGGAGTATTTGTTGAGTTATTCTAGTTGAAATAACTCAGAATCAATTATTTAGATCTAAATAACTAGTTTGCCACATTCTACTTAGATGAGCGATTTGGAATAACTCCTACCCCTATTTTATTTCGAAATAACTCATTTTACCCTTAAGTTATTGCAAATATCAAATGTGAATGGTTTGTCCAAACAAGATGCTTTAATCCTAACCATCGAAATAGTAGGTGAACAACCCCTGTGGTTTAGTAGGCTCCGCTGTCGCTCAAGCGGCACGTGGGGCTGAGGTTCCCTGGGTTATCAAATAAAAAAAATAGTAGGTGAACAATGAATGAATTATTTTAGGGATGGCAAAAATATCCGTAACCGTGGATATCCGCGCGAACCCGACCTAATCGGGTAGGGTAAAACCCGAACCCGAAGGACATTTAGTGGGTACGGGTAAAACCCGAACCCGAATATTGCGGGTAATGGGTGAGCATGGGTTTCTCAGTATCCAACCCGAACCCGCCCGATTATACACATACATATGTATTTTGTCTAGAAATAGTCATTATTTTTCTCTAACATATTTTATATTTAGCATATAAATATAATATTTTCATGAAATTGTGTTGTTTTAATTAATTTTCTTCATTCTAGTGAATTATTGTCATACTTTTCCTCTTGCGTAATGTGAGAATACGTGTGAATGTTAATATATTAGTTGGAGTTATGAAGAGAAATCATTACCCATGGATAACCGTGGATACCCGAAACCCGAACGGGTATGGGCATGGTTTTAATTTTCTACCCGTTTCATATGTGGGTATGGATATGGGTAGAACCCGAACTACTTTGGGTAGGGTAACGGATATGCACTATGCGTCCCCAACCCGACCCATTGCCATCCCTAAATTATTTGCCTATACAAATATATATATTGAATATATAGTGTCAACATTTATATTCAGCATTTAGTATTAGTAAATACTCAACCTACTTATCTACCAGGCAGGCTAGAGCCATCAATGCTTCTACAGCCAGCCTAATCGGAAGAAGAAGGATGGCCGCCCGGACCCCATTCTATTTATTACTTATTAGCATCACAGCAAGCAACTTTCAAGTTTCAACCAAAAGATTATCACGAGGAACAAAATACAACACGTACGTATGCATATGTAGTAGGGCTGGCTATTTGGTTTTACTCGAAACCGAATCGTATAGCTCGGACCGAGATCGGATAGCAAACAATTCAATTCAATCCAATCTTCGGGCTTAGATTTGAGATAAAAAAATCGTTTGGTACCGGATCGAAAATCGGATAAGAGAGTCCAACACCCAAAACTTAACCAACTCCTCACCCTTTGAGTTTGTCGGCCACTCAAACCCCCACAAGCTCAATCTATAATCAAGACCGAATTGGTATCAGACTGGGTCAAGACCGGACCTGATCAATACCAGACTGTATCAAATCCAATCTTTGGTCCTTATATTCCTGAAAAGACCGGACTAGGACCGGATCAATTCGAGCCAATTTAACCGGATCGGATCGTATAACCACCCCTAATATGCTGTATGATAACCATCGGTACACTACAAGAGTACAGTCAAACTTTAAGTGATCTTGTTGCTAGATGTAATTCAAAGTTTCAAACTACACCACCTATATATATATATGTATATCAAGCAGCCTAGGACTTCCACCATCTCATTATCTCCAACTCCTCCTTTTTCTTTCTTTCCACAAGAAACCCTAGGGGGGAAAAAAAATGAGCCAACAACTTGATGATTTGCTAGGGAACATCACTGGCGACGAGCTCCTCGAAGCTCAGGCTCGCGCCTGGAACTACAGCTTCAACTACATCGTCTCCATGGCGCTGAAATGCGCCGTCGAGCTCGGCGTCCCCGACGCCGTCTCAAAGTCACCGGAGCAACCCATCTCACTCACCAACCTCGCCACCTCCCTGCCGCTCCACCCTTCCAAAAACGACGCCCTACGCCGCCTCATGCGCCCCCTCGTCCACGCCGGCTTCTTCACACTACATAATCGGTAGGTTTAAGGCTCGGAAAATTTCGTCTCTGGGGTTTTTTCCTGTCTCCAGATCTTTCGGAGACAGACAGACAAATTTCATTCCCGGCTAATAGTCCCCGACTGCCTATAGGTTCTGTTTTCTATTCTTTTGGAGACAACAAAAATAAAATTAAAGAACGAAAGTCGTCTCCAATATCTGGAGACATAGTCGTCATCTAAAAAAAAAAAAAACATATCAATTTGTCATCATATATCTAGGAATTCAGGATGATATGTCGTCGTCCTTTATGTAGTGTTTTTTCAACAAATTGTTGGACACAGCAGAAATGTGGTGAGATATAAGATCGAAAAATAAAGAGGAAATTATTTCACTCTATTATTATTTATTAATCTCACACTATATAGGCAATTATTACCTATACAAAGAGCCCTCAAGATTTAATTCCACTCTAGCTCTCTGATGTACTACTCAAACCACACACTAGCTCTATTTATAGTGTTGCTAACCGCCATAGAAGAAGCTCCTGGAGAGCATTTATTACACTCGGCGGAAGGGATGAAGATTATCACCTTGCTGTAGCTAACTTGTCCATTAGTATTACTTATATGTCTAGCTTGATAAGGATCATTAATATGGCCGACTAAGAGCTGCGGTTCAACTTGTGTAGTGAAGTCAAAGGCGAAGGGAAAGAAGGAGGAGGAGAAGGAGAAGATCATTACTCCCTCACCACCGCCGGGAAGCTGTACCTCCGCGGCGGCTTCGGGCCGTCGTACCTCGACCTCCACCTCGACCCCACCACGATGACGTCGTGGGGGATGCTGAGCGCGTGGTTCCTCTACAGCGCCGACGCCGTCCCCTTCGAGGCGGGCCACGACGGCGCGTCGTTTTGGGAGTGCTTGGAGAAGGACCCCGTACAGAAGAAGTCTTTCCACGACTCCATGGCCGCCGACTCCGTGCTGGTGGCCGGAGTTCTGGTGGCGGAGTGCAGGGAGGTGTTCGACGGGGTGGAGTCGCTGGTGGACGTCGGCGGCGGGACCGGAACCATGGCCGTCGCTATTGCCAGGTCGTTCCCTAAGATGGAGTGCACCGTTTTCGATCTCCCCCAAGTGGTTGCTAACGTGAAGAAGGAGGAGGAGAGTGGTGTGGAGAATTTTCGTGTTGTTGGAGGGAACATGTTTGATGGAATTCCCCCTGCTGATGCCGTCCTCCTCAAGGTAAGAATCTCTTAATTACTGCTTTTCGCGTAGTATATTGCGGATAGTGGTGGTAAATGGATTGGTGGTGGATTGAATTTGTTTGATCATTGGATGGAATGGATTGGTTGATTAATCCGTGAATCCAAATGACATCCCAATCGTTAGACCAATATGTAAATTCTGAAAAGTTTAGGTACTACATGTCGTAATAAAAAAAATTCAGGTACCAAAACATAATTTTCCAACAGCATTTTTCGTATGAAAAATAAATGTTAGGTACCAAATTGTAAGAAATGTAAATACTAAACTGTAATTTGTCAACGATCTATATGAATCCACCAATCCAATTGGATTGGATTGTAAATTGCCACCTCTGTCTGCCTGCGCGCAGACGATCCTTCACGATTGGGACGACGAGAAATGCTTGGAGATTCTGAAATCCTGTCGGGAGGCGGTCTCCGGCCGGGACGGGAAGAAGAAGAAAGGGAAGGTGATCATTATAGATATGGTGGTCGGAAACATGGATGTTGTCGGGAACCGGGAGATGTACCAGTCGCAGTTCAGCTTCGATCTGCTGATGTTTGCTACTTTCAACGGCAAGGAGCGAGACGAGAAGGAGTGGCGGAGCCTGTTTCTAGCGGCTGGTTTCACCGGCGGCTATAAGATCATTCGTTCACTGGGCCCGAGATCGCTTATCGAAGCCTATCCTTAAACTAACGTATGCATGGCCCTTTTCGTCGGCTAAGTGGTCGGATCGACGTCGTTTTTGAGCTCTGAAGTTATCTTCTTCACTATCTCGTCGTCTGTGTTTCACCATCTGCAGTTATCAAAGTGTTACTCTTATGTGTGGTTAGCGGCTTGGAGTACTTCCAATTCATCAACCTTGTTTTACCTTAAGAGTTGGGCCGTGCTTAATTTTGTCGGTTGTTTTACCTAAATGTCGTGTTCGTTCAATTTATTATTATTTTGCTCGACCAGAATTTTGGTCCGGATCACGATTTGAATCGTCTCGTGCCTACTCATTTCTGACAATCATGCACCGATGAACAGAACTCTCTTCAATTATCTGTCTCCAGAAGCGCTTTGACCTAACGCGGCTTAGTTGGGGTTGAGGGCAATCACGTACAATTGCTCATTTCTAACAATCACAATTATAAATAGTCAATCTATTTTTTTTTCCTGTTTATAAACACCTCATTTCCATTTATTACCATCCAAATGGATGGTCCTAGTTATCATCTACAACCGTTCATTTACACAACAAAAAATTTTCGTTTTCTAAATTTTTCTCGAAATGGTTCTAAATTTTTTCCTATAAATGGACCTCGTCAATACTCTTAGTAAACAAATCATCCATTTTCAAAACTTTTTTTTTCTATTTAAAAATCCATAAGGAAAAAAAAGGGTTTTGACACTTCCTATCGCCCATCTTCGGCCTCTCTTTCATCTCTCTTTCTCAGTCGGAAAATCCAGAAGAGAAAGAGAGATCTATTAACAGCCTCTCTGACGACACACACATATATATATATCCATATTCATTGATCACCATTTCGAAAAAAGGAAGATTTTGTTAATTACATTGTTGGTGAAATCAATCAAGTTAAGATGGCAAAGGAGATGATGAGAAGCATGAAGAAGCCATTGATGGAGGTTGCACCATCTCTACTTGGCTTTCAATTGAGACCTTCATCTTCCAACAATAGTTCTCCCAAGCTGGAGACGATACGAGAAGAGAGAGCAGAAGATCACGAGGAAGGCGAAACTAATTGATTTCTTTCTTAATATTACTATAATTATGTGTTTTTTACTTTTTTTCCATGGTATAGGTAAGGTGTTTCAGCCGCCCTTGGTTATTTTTCCTCTTGTTTTTACAAAATGAAACCGAGAGATCGTATATTCAAGTGTTGGATTAACAATATACTAAATCTAGTTATGTATAAACGTGTGTATATGTTTACGTGATCTATTTGTATGAATGTATCTTAAGTAAATTCAATGAAATGACTATTTTTGGAGTGTATATAACAATTTTTATTTTATTTTTTTCCTATATTCATCACTTCTCCTCTCTAAATAGATACTCACTTTGAATTCTAAAATTATCATTTTATCATATCAAAGTATAGCTAGTAATCCAATGGAGACTTAAACGAACCTGGTTTGAAAAACCTCTTTCTTCCATATATTATATCAAGATGTAGAGGCTGGATTTCAATTTTACAAAATCAATTTCTTCTTCTTTTCATAGTCATTATCAATAATTCAAACAACTCTTGGCCATATCCTTTTGCCTTTTATTTATTTATAACTGTAACTTTAGGTTGATTTGATTACACATTTGTTCATCTGGGAATCTCTAGTTCTCCATGTCCTTCCAAACTTCTTGTGAACTTTCGGTAAACAGAGGACTTAACCCTACAATGACCTGGAATTAACAATTAATCAAAGCAATATTCGTTTTATAATCTTTGGGCCAGGTCATGAAAATAATTATTAGTCACATGGAAGCTCATGTCCTTTCACTATAATGGCATGGAAAGATGCATATATGTGATGGATATTAGCAACAAAATTAAAGTTGTAACAACAATAACTAGGAGGAACTTAGAAATCGATTCACTTAGATGGAGGGTATCCAATTCGAGTCCAGCAGTCGTAGAATATCCTCGTTTTTTCTTTCGAGATATGGTCTCATTCAAGATGGGATAAATGTTATCATTCGTTGTATTCTTTATAGCTATACCTTTTTTCTTGTAGTTTGCAAGCCTTTACCCCTGCCCTTCACACACACTTGATCAACATAATTCAAATTGCGTGACCGTTATTTATTTATTTATTTCTCATATGTTGAATTTCTTACCACTGTCACTACCCTCTTAATAGTTCTTTTATTTTCTTAAAGTATACTCATATGGGGCAGTTTAGCAAACAAAATCAAAGTTGTAATTATATTTTCCCACATTACTTAAGGACTAATAGGTTGTACATAAAGATCGTCTATTTATTTTTATTTATACAAAAAAGAGTCATATGTAGGGGGTGTGCAATGGTCCGGTCCGGGATTGGACCGCACCAGACCAAATCGAAGTTTGAACCGGATCGCACCGGACCGAGTACAATGCGGTCCGGTCTTTGGTCAATATGAATTTTACAATTACTAAAGAAATGATGGATTGAGTTGATATTTTGGATCGGATCAGACCGAATTAAATGGACCGCGAACACAATAATAATTCGATCCTTAATTTTAAGATGTCTTTCTCTAATAAATTGCGATTCTCATGAATTTGGTCCGGTGCAGACCGGACCGTTGCACACCCCTACGGGCATCTGTCAGTCCAGAGGATTAACTCAGCTAAGGTCATAGATTGGAGACATTTTTTGACAACAACAACAACTCACCTAATTATTATTATTATTATTAAACAAATTCAAGCTAGGCCTTTTGGGGTTTAGGGTTAGGTATAAGTCCAGATAAGTAAGCCCTCCTGGCACCATAACCCCATCATCAGCCCACCATTATTCCCCACCTCCATAATCAATTCTTATCATTATCATCCTAATCATAATTAAGAACCCATTTGATCAGAATCAAAAGATATGCTAATTTATTGGATTAGGGCTCATAGATATGACATTTCCTTCAATTAGAAAAAGAACCAATGTTGTAGTTTCTTGTTTGTTTAAGGAATTTTTGGGACTTGGTAGAAAATGCCTTAGGACAGCTGCCCCTAATTGGTCTTTTCTTGTCTTTCGAGTTAACTTATCAGTGGCCTGAAAACTTCAATTGCCGATATGCTCTAGTGTGAATTCCCATCAACAGGGACATTTTCTTGGGGTGAAATCAAAGCTCTCAGTTTGCTACACATGTACACTGTGAAGGAAGGTGATCAAGCAGCAACAATGGAGGATCTTCGTTTGTGTACAGTGTTGGAATTAATCGAAATACGTAATTCCCTGGAATACATCTTGTCAGATTATCAAAGGCGAATAGATCTAAATACCTGGATTCATGATGGTAGATCGTCGTGAGCTTGATGCGGAATCTGTAGAACGATCTTGAACCGGACGATACCTCAGAAGCACGATCCGGGAAGTTTAGTGGCCTTCCTCAACCAAGCCTCCTTAGTCCACTCGCGGGAAACCTCACGTATTCCTGATGGGGAGAATATGTGTGTAGTTTTGGTCTTGGTGTCTTGGGGACCACAACCTCTAGGTTCTTTATATACTATGTTTAGCTAGGGTTCCCATAAAACCCTAATTAGGTTTAGTATCTGGTTTCCACTCATTGGGCCCATATCAGGTATTGAGTAGTCTTGGGCTCCATAATTTGACCACTTATAATTAGCCCACTTTAACAAATAACTAATACAATTATCCATAAACCACAGCCCACATCACGTGGAACATATATTTCCAACAATCTCCCACTTGGGCTGCATGGTTTATGCAAATAATTATATCACAAAGTTCCTTAGGCGCGCGTCCGAATGTTATTTGTACAATGACTATTCCTTAACAATCTTGTCCATCTCATGTATAGCAGTGGAACCAACGCAGCTTCAATCATGATATGATAATGATTAAACCACCATGATCACCACATTTATACACTCAATGACATAGATCAAATATGGATGAGTGGCATGAAAATTACATGTAATGTGATCTTGAACATGCCTATTTTCAACTGGTCCAACTTTAGTGAGATCAAAAAACACTTCATGCAAGAAAATTGCATAATAAATAAACACCTTAAGGTTCAAAAAAGAAACTGAAGAAAACAAAATCACTTTATTCTGCAGAGTCACAAATCAATGTCTATAGAACAAATCGAAATGACTCCCACTAAACCAAGTTATCATCCAGAATAACGCCCATATGAGCAGTGTGCTCATAAAATGCAGTAGGCGGTAATCCTTTGGTTAATGGGTCAGCTAGCATAGACTCAGTCCTAATATGTTCTATAGAAATCTGTCTATTTTAAACCCTCTCCTTAACAACCAGGTACTTGATATCGATAAACTTTGACTTTGTCGAACTCATGTTGTTATTAGAGTACAACACTGCTGCATTATTGTCACAATAAATCTTCAATGGCCTCTCAATGTTGTTTACCACACGCAGCCCCGTGACAAAATTTCGCAGCCATAATCCGTGATCAGATGCCTCATAACAAGCTATAAACTCTGCTGCCATGGTGGAAGGAGCTATAAGACGCTGCTTAGCAGACCTCCAAGAAATAGCCCCTCCAGCCAACATGAAGATATAGCCAAATGTAGAGCGCATGCTATCTTGGCATCCAGCAAAATCAGAGTCAGAATACCCAATGACCTCCAGACTATCTGATCTCTGATAAGTAAGCATGTAATCCCTTGTTCTCTTTAGATAGCGCATCACACGCTTGACTGCCTTCCAATGATCCATACCTGGATCCTTTGAGTATCTGCCCAGTACTCCCACTATGAAAGCTATATCGGGACGAGTACAAACTTGAGCATACATAAGACTCCCTATTGCAGATGAATAAGGAATCTTCTGCATTTCCGCTCTTTCTAGATTGTTTGTAGGGCATTGAGCGAGACTGAACTTGTCTCCTTTGGCTACTGGTGTATTTGCTGGGTTACAATCTTTCATGTTGAATCTAGTCAAAACATTATCGATATAGCTCTTTTGTGATAATTTGAGAATACCTCGAGAGCGATCTCTCAGTATCTCAATACCCAATACAAAAGAGGCGTCACCAAGATCTTTCATTTCAAAATTCTTTGTTAGAAATTTCTTGGTTTCGTGCAGTAAGCCTATATCACTACTGGCGAGTAGAATGTCATCAACATATAACACCAGGAAAATAAATTTACTCCCACTGAACTTGTGATATACACAATCATCAACAAGATTAGTCTCAAAACCATATGAGCTAATAACTTTGTGAAATTTGTGATACCATTGACGGGAAGCTTGTTTGAGACCATAGATGGACTTCTTAAGTTTACAGACCATTTTCTTTGGATCTCCCACAACAAAGTTTTGTGGCTGAACCATATAAATCGTCTCATCAATGTCTCCATTGAGAAACGCAGTCTTCACGTCCATCTGATGGAGCTCCAAATCAAAATGAGCCACTAGTGCCATTATTGTCCTAAAAGAGTCTTTCGCAGACACTGGAGAGAAAGTCTCTTTGTAGTCAATGCCTTCCTTTTGAGTAAAGCCCTGAGCGACTAGACGTGATCTAAATCTCTCAATCTTACCCTTAGAGTCCCTTTTGGTTTTAAATATCCATTTATTACCAACCGGAACTACTCCTTCAGGGCATTCAACGACATCCCAAACGTCATTCATACATGGACTTCATCTCTTCTTTCATGGCACTATTCCACTGTTCAGAGTTAGAACTGCGCATGGCTTGAGCGAGGTTGATAGGATCATCCTCCATTAAGCCTATGCAATCCTCATGTTCTTGAAGAAAGACGACATAATCATCCGGAATCGCACTTCTTCTTTCTCTAGTGGATCTCCTAAGTGGCACTTCTTGAGGATGTTGATTTTGTTCCACTGGTGGTACAGGAGGAGGAATTTCATTGTTGTCTTGTTCCATAACTATGTCAGGACTAGTGATAGGTATGAAAACCTGATCACTATCAATGACTTGTTCTTCCTCAAAGACAACATTCCTTATGTTTCCTTCCCCCCAAAACTCAATATCCTCAAGGAATCTCGCATTTCCCGTTTCAAAAAATGATCGTGAGGTGGGATTGTAAAATTTGTAGCCTCGAGAGTACTGCGGATAACCAACAAAGTAGCAACTTACAGTCTTTGAGTCTAGCTTTCCTTCATGTGGCTTATAAGGCCTTGCCTCAGATGGACAACCCCAAATGTGCAAGTGCCTAATGCTAGGCTTTTTGCCTGTCCATAGCTCATAAGGGGTTTTTGTTACTACTTTGCTTGGTACCCTATTAAGGATGTATACAGCAGTCTTTAGAGCTTCCCCCCAAAGTGACTCCGGTAAGGAAGAATGACTAAGCATACTTCTTACCATGTCTTTAAGAGTACGATTGCGCCTTTCTGCAACGCCATTCATGCTGGGTGTTCCTGGCATAGTGTATTGAGGCACAATCCCACACTCTTTGAGGTAAAGCGCGAAGGGTCCTGGACGTTGTTCTCCGGATCCATCATATCGACCATAGTATTCTCCACCACGGTCCGATCTGACAGCCTTAATTTTCCTTCCAAGTTGAAGTTCAACTTCAGCCTTAAAAGACTTGAAAACATCCAAGGATTGCGACTTCTCATTTATAAGAAAGAGGTAACCATATCTAGAGTAATCGTCTATGAACGTGATAAAATATTTGTGACCGTTCCAAGATGCTGTAGGGAATGGACCACATATATCAGTATGAATGAGTTCTAAGACGTCTTGAGCTCTATTGGCACCCAATTTCTTAATGTTTGTTCTCTTACCCTTAATGCACTCAATGCACACTTCAAAATCTGCTAAATCTAAGGGTTCAAGAATTCCATCAGACACAAGCCTCTGAATTCTCTGTTTGGAGATATGTCCTAAGCGCTTGTGCCATAAAGCAGCAGAATTCTCATTAAATTTTCGCTTTGTACCTCTTGAACTTGTTTGGAGGATTTCATTATGGGAACTAATCACATCAAGCATGTATAGATTATCAATCAATGGACCGGTACCAATCAGAACTGAATTTTGTGAGAGACTAAATTTATTATCTCCAAATGAACAAGAATAACCTGATTTGTCCAAACATGGAACCGAAATTAAATTCCGTCGAAATGACGGCACCACAAAAGTCTCAAACAAATCCAAGTGACATCCAGTCTTTAATTGTAATCTAAAAGTTCCGATAGCCTCCACTGCAACTTTATTGCCGTCCCCCACATAGATGAACTTTTCGTTCTTACTTGGTGGTCGGCTCCACAGGCAGCCCTGCAAAGATACACTTATGTGAGTGGTAGCACCAGAATCCACCCACCAAGTATCCATAGGCACAAAAGCTAAATTAATTTCAGAACAAACTAAAGTAAGAAGCTCACCCTTCTTTTCACGCCAAACGGCATACTTGGGACACTCCTTCTTCATGTGCCCAGTCTTCTTACAGAAGTAGCAAGGAAACCCCTCAGTTTGCATCTTTGGTTTCTTTTGCTTAGAAGACTTTTCTGCAACATCCCTAGCTCTCTTCTTGATTTTGTTTTGAGAACTTGATGCTAAGTGAGCACTCTCAGTCCTATCCCGCGCTTGCCTCTCTTCCTCTTGCACACAGTGAGATATAAGCTCATTGAGAGACCACTTGTCTTTCTGAGTGTTATAGCTCACTTTGAATTGCCCAAAGTGTACAGGGAGAGAGATCAAAACCAAGTGTACGAGCAAATCTTCAGACAGCTCTAACTTTAGTGACTTGAGTTTTGATGCGAGATTAGACATCTCCATAATGTACTCCCTTATGTTCCCCTTGCCTTTATACTTCATGGAAACGAGCTTAGACAAAAGGTTACTTGCCTCTGATTTTTCATTCTTAGCAAAGTATTGCTCAATTTCCTCAAGGAACCCCTTAGCGCTCTCATTCTCAGTCATAGAGCCCCGAAACGCTTCTGGAATAGAGCGCTTCATGATCATCATACACATACGATTAGAGCGATCCCACTTTTCTATTTTAACCTCATTAAGGTTATCCGGAGTAGAAACAGGACGCTCCAACCGCAGTGCAAGATCCAAATCCATACAACCGAGAACAATTTCTACGGTTTCTTTCCAGATCTTAAAATTTGTCCCATTCAATAGTGGAATATTGCTAATTTGAGCAGAAACATTGGAAGCAGAAGCTAAAGACACTGTAAAGAAACAAAAAAACAACATGCACTCATGTCAAACAAGATACATGAGAAGAAAATTCAGACATTTAAGTTTTATTTCTGAAACCCATCTTAAGATACCAAATGCAACATTAACTCTTAGTCTTTGGACAGAGAAATTAACTGCGAGCGGTACTCTTACTAAAATGATCAAATACTGATAATGAGTTCTGTCAAATAATAGTTTATCTTTGGACCAACTATCATTCACATGAAAATAAACTTTACAATCATCACGTATTTATCATTAAGGTGCATCATCATTTAGCCAAATAGTATCTACCTTTGGGCCGAACACTATCCGCATAAACAACCACACACTATACATCCAAGTAATTTAATTTGATCAATTTTTCACACTAGAGGTTACTTTGGCAACATAACATAAAGAATCAAATCAATTTAAAAGTACTGGACCAATTGATTGATTAAGTAAACCATGTGCGTTCAAAAAAAACAATATATATACATTCCCAAAATACGCACACAGTAAATCAATCAACCAATTATAAAATAACCCAAACTGAAGCAATTAAATCCCGATGGAGAGGGAATAAGAAAGAGCGTAATAATTTCCATAGAGCCGTAACCGGCACCAAACTTTAATTCCAACCTTACGCTGGCTAACATATTATTATTCCACTGAATTCCCCATCTTTATTACCGTAACTGCAATTTGTAATAACCGATCAACAGCAGCACTACTGTAATAATTGCCCTTTTCTTTTGTAATTAATTAGAGCAGTCAACCAATCTGTAATAACTGATCAAACCCTAGCAGCCGACCAATCTGGAATACCATCCAATATGTCATGGATAAAATAAACAGAACCAAGTTTATCAGACGTGGACAAGAACCAAAGAATTAATACTTGAAATTCAATAATAATGGTTCCATCACAAACTCATATCTTCTCCCTCAGATAAAGAACTAACTGTAAGGGGGATAAAAAAAAAAACAAGCAGTGGTATTTATTCTTCATTCCCAGATAAGAACCGTCCAGCTATACCACAAAACCATATACTATAACATGGACATCCAAGAATCAATAAATTAATCAACTTAAAACTAGATCTGTGGAATAAACTTAACTTTAGAACAATTCCCAGAAAGACTGGAAGAGTAGATGCACACAAATCCCATAATGGGAGGAAGAAGAAGAAAACGTAGACATGCATGATTAAACTTGAAAACAACATCATGCAATCTAGGAATGAATTATACCCACAGAAGCAACATCCAGCAACACAAGTTCGTTCTTGTATAAAATGACAAAACCCCAATAATCAAACAAAAGATGAATGGCTCTGATACCACTTGTTGGAATTAATCGAAATACGTAATTCCCTGGAATACATCTTGTCAGATTATCAAAGGCGAATAGATCTAAATACCTGGATTCATGATGGTAGATCGTCGTGAGCTTGATGCGGAATCTGTAGAACGATCTTGAACCGGACGATACCTCAGAAGCACGATCCGGGAAGTTTAGTGGCCTTCCTCAACCAAGCCTCCTTAGTCCACTCGCGGGAAACCTCACGTATTCCTGATGGGGAGAATATGTGTGTAGTTTTGGTCTTGGTGTCTTGGGGACCACAACCTCTAGGTTCTTTATATACTATGTTTAGCTAGGGTTCCCATAAAACCCTAATTAGGTTTAGTATCTGGTTTCCACTCATTGGGCCCATATCAGGTATTGAGTAGTCTTGGGCTCCATAATTTGACCACTTATAATTAGCCCACTTTAACAAATAACTAATACAATTATCCATAAACCACAGCCCACATCACGTGGAACATATATTTCCAACATACAGAATAATAGGACACTGGTCTGGGCTTCCTTTCACTCAAACCAGAGGAAGAAGACGAAGTTAGCTGCTACGGCGTCGTGTTTGCTTGTTGTCTTCACACAAGTGAATGCGACGCCGTTCTGCCAAGTGACGTTGAGTTAACAACGATTAGAAGACAGGCTTTACACTTGGCGCCTTCCCATTGGTTCATTTCAACAATTAGTTTGTTACCGTTAGCTGCACAGTGAATAGTTAGTGATGTACAGTTTTGTTTACTCTGCTGTTTTACCCTTTTCACTTCTGTATATATATATATGAATGAAAGATCGAAAATGGAAGCCAATTCGGCAATTCCACAAACACAACCGCTCTCTATTGTTCATCCTTTCTCTTCTACCTCATTCTGAAACCTTAACACCACCTAGGGTTTACGGTTTTCTCATACACGATTCCAAAACTTCTCAATTTCCTAGAAAAAACAAAATCCAATTTGAGTACCGGTGAATGATCTCTCCTTCGTTTGTTCGATCGTGTATAAGATGGTTGTGATGTATGTGAGACGAGAACGTGCCCCAACCATTCATTTCGTTCTAATGTTCAACGTGTGTACCACCACAATCGTCAGAATATGATAACTTTGAACACTTCATAAAAGAGTACTTTTCCTTGAAAACCCATCAGGGAAACCAAAACGCGAAACAATCGAAATCGATACTTAAACGGTTGGACCAACACATATTGAGTGTAATTATGACCGTTGTTCACTCACATGTTTGTGTTGAAATTATGGCTAGGAGGCTTTCAACACTACTTCGTCCCTACCAAGCACCAAAAATTGAAACTACGATGTCCCTCTCCAATTCCTAATTAATCCCTTAATTACTCTAAGAGCCGTTGCAATGGGAGTGCGCCAGCACAGCTAATGGAGAAGAAAAAAGCTTTTCTTAATCGAGTGGTTGATACTCAAGGAGGAGTAGGAAAAAAGAGAAAACAAATGGTAATATGCAAAATCTAGGCTGTAATATAACATAAATAATAGCTACATTATCGATGGTCGGCTAAATTATATTGTCTTAATTAGGTCATCAACCGGCCTGGGAAGAAAGAACAAACTAATTACATCAATACTTCAATTTCTTATTTCTTAAACTAACCTATCCTTTTTTATATGACAATCCTCTTGGCGGCCACTCGCGGTCGACACAGAATTGAACTGGAAAGAATCGATAATTTGAATTCTATATGGTCAGATCATACATCACTGATCGATATAGTTTTAGTTTCATGAATTCTCTGAAACATGACCATAATTTTACATTTTCCTCGATTCTCGTTCTTATTTGTTTTCTGTCATAAACAATCGATCTCAATAACTCGAGTTGTCGTGAGAGATCCATGTATGGTACATAACCAACTTCCTTATACGTTCTCTCAAACAAAAGCAAACTAATGATCCCGAAGTCTGCCCGTGCCCACCATCACCATATGCTTTAACGACAAAAGGTTAATATCGGGGGGTCACGATGTTTTCAATAAGTGATATCGCGACGAAAAAACAGCTCGAATACCATATCACAAACAAATCTGTCTCAATAACTCGTAACTCTTTGGCTGATGATACTTACCTTTAAAAAAAAAATGGTGAGAAAATGGAGAAGACTACATGACTTTCTAATTAACCATTAATCATTGCTCATCCCTCCCTAATCCAACTCTCTCTCCATAAATACCCTCTTCTCCACTTCCCACTTCAAACCAAAAGACCACACTCTCACCCATCTCCTAAATCCCTTCTTTAATCAACCTTTCCCTCCCTCTTAAGAAGAAGAAGAAGAAAAAAAATGGCCAAGGACGTGGAATCCGACCACCCACCGCCGGCCTTCTCCGCAAAGGACTACCACGACCCGCCGCCGGCACCGTTATTCGACCTCGACGAGCTCACCAAATGGTCCTTCTACCGCGCCTTAATCGCCGAGTTCATCGCCACACTCCTCTTCCTCTACATCACCGTCCTCACCGTCATCGGCTACAAATCCCAAACCGACCCATTAACCCACACCGCCGCCGACGCCGCCTGCGGCGGCGTCGGCGTCCTGGGAATCGCATGGGCGTTCGGCGGCATGATCTTCATCCTCGTCTACTGCACCGCCGGGATCTCCGGCGGCCACATCAACCCGGCCGTCACTTTTGGGCTCTTCCTGGGCCGGAAGGTCTCCCTCATCCGAGCCGTGGGCTACATGGCGGCCCAGTGCCTCGGGGCCATCTGCGGCTGTGGGCTAGTCAAGGCCTTTCAGAAGTCGTACTACACGCGGTACGGCGGTGGGGCCAATGAGCTGGCGGGCGGGTACAATAAAGGGACCGGATTGGGCGCCGAGATTATCGGGACGTTTGTTTTGGTCTACACCGTTTTCTCGGCTACTGACCCCAAGAGGAGCGCCAGAGACTCACACGTCCCCGTAAGTCGTCGTAAGCTCGAATCGTGATAATACGATTCGAACTTACAGTCGATAATACGCGCGCGTATTTTTTTTCCCCAATCTGTTTGAGTATGAAGTAATGTTTTTTTTTGTGTGTGTGAAAATGTGAAGGTGTTGGCGCCGCTGCCAATTGGGTTCGCGGTGTTCATGGTCCACCTGGCCACTATCCCAATTACTGGGACAGGGATTAATCCAGCTAGGAGTTTTGGTGCTGCTGTTATCTACAACAAGGACAAGGCCTGGGATGATCAGGTTTGTGTGTCTCTTCATATTATGTAATCGAAAATCGATAAACCGATAATCCGAAAAATCGATAAACCCTCTTAACCGGTTCGGTTTCAGTTTCTAATGGTTTCAGTTCGATTAACCGAACAAACCAAAAAAATGACAACCCTTTATACAATAATCGAATTCGATATTACCCTTTAACCTATTATGAGTTGAAAATTTTGAGAAATTTGTGATTAATCAAGTAATGTATCCAATTTGACTGAATGCAGTGGATCTTCTGGGTTGGGCCGTTCATTGGAGCTGCCATTGCTGCGTTCTACCACCAGTTCGTACTGAGGGCAGCAGCAATCAAGGCTCTGGGTTCCTTTAGGAGCAATGCTTGAATTTGATGATGGAGGGAAAGTTTGTTTCAAGCTGCTGTTATTGAGAAAGAATAAGGGCTAGCTCTGCACTACTGCAGCCTGCTACTGCAAATTTGAAGAGAGAAAGAGGCCAAGGAAAAATGTAAATATGGGTTTGTACTCCTCATGTTTTGATGAGGAGGGATTGAATTCCATCTATTGCTTTCCCTTTTTTACCTTTTTTCTCTAAATCTGTACTTAAAAGTAAGTAAGTCGTGTTCTTCATTTTGATGATGATGATGATCTCTTTGCTTTTGTTGTAATTTATCTATCTTCTGTGGAATTGTGGTGGTGGTGGTTGGGGTTGGTTGTGTGTATTTTTTCTGGTTGGCTTCCACCTAATGAAATGGGTATGCGCTCTTTATTTATCTATATAATCATCTCTTTCTTTCGTCTTGTATTATAATGGTAGTTCGACTTAAAAAAAAAAATTATTTATAGAAGTCAAATCAAAAGACAATTAGCTATATGAAATAATTAAACTGCGATTATGTCATGATATCAACACAAAATAATATACAATTAACGTTTTTGTTATAATATCCGACACGATTTGACAAGTTTATAATTAAAGTGTGAGATGTGCTTCATTGATTAGTTTGGAGTGGCCATATAATTGATTAGTTTGGATATGGCTAATAAGATCGATATATTTCTCTACCCTGGATGCGAATATTCCATCGAAGATGATGAGGTATAGGAAACAGTTTAGTGAGAGAGTGAAGGAATGGGAATAAATCAGTATAATATAAATTAATAATGCCAATAATCTAGATGAAATGAAAGATGGTCGTGCATGTCACATCCAGAACCAAAATTGTAAAGGGCATTATATGAGTAAACAAATTACTCTTTTTTGGTAGCCTAAACAACATAAATTAATCCATAATTAATTATAAATTAAACAACACGAAAAAAGGACCGACAAAGTCACAAATCAATTGCAAAACTTTGCAGCCTCCCCGAGTCACAAATGATTTAGGACATATTTTTCTCATCGGTCGTAAGGTAAGTACGTACATTAATTAATCCAATATGCTTACAAGATGTATATGAAAGAATTAGTCGATAGCTAATTGATCCATTGTTTAAAGAGCAATTTTTTTTTACTAGATAGACAACTCTATCACGTTCATAAAAATCAAATGACAGAAATACCATAAAAATCACAAAAGGATACATGCATTTAGGGATGTGAAACGAGTTGGTCCTTATCGAATCGTACCGTCGACCAAACCGACTTTTTACCATGCCACATAAAATCGAATATAATGTGGTATATATATGTGAAAGGCTATTTGCCGCCAACTAAATTGCTATTTGCCGGCAACTAAAAAAAAAAAATTTGAATTCAAATTTTGAATTTTCCCTTCCCCCCCTTCCCCCCTTCCTTTCATTCTATAAATTCGGATATCAGGAACATTTGACTCATTCCAACAAAAACTTCTGTTGACGAGCTCAGTGCCTCCGTCGCCGGCACCGTTCTTCCGTCGTCGGCTAACCTCCCATCGGCCTCAATCGTCGGAAAACAAGTAAGTTTACTTTTTCCGGCCAGTTTCCAGTTTTCCGGCAAGTTTTCCAGTTTTACGGCGAAAAATACGGCGGGCCGAAAAAAGATTGCGGCCCGAACGCCGCCGAGCCGAAAAATATTTGCGGCCAGTGCGACGGCCGGCCGAAAAATTTGCGGCCGAGACGTCGCCAGGCCGAAAGAATTTTTCGGCCGGCCGTCGCACCGGCCGCAAATGTTTTTCGGCCCGGCGGCGCACCGGCCGCAATTTGTTTTCGGCCCGGCTGCGCATCGGCCGCAAAATTCTTTCGGCCCGGCCATTTTTTAAATTTAATTTAATATGACAATTAATTAGTCAATAAAAAATACTTAATTAGTTAATAGAAATTAGCAATTAGTGTTAATATTTATTTAAGTTGGTGTATAAATTTTTTTTTTAATAGGTGTATGAATGTTTAATTACTTAGATTATTTAATAGAATTTTAATTAATTAAGAATTGATTTAACAATTAATGTTAATATTCAGTACATTAGTTAATAGAAAATTAATTAATTTGTGATTAATTAACAATTTATGTTTATAGTATATTAGTTAATAGAAATTTAATTAATTTGTGATTAATTAACAATTAATGTTTATAGTACATTAGTTAATAGAAAATTAATTAATTAGTGCGCATCTAAGTATGATATTGTGTAAATTTGTAGATAATTAGATATGGATGATGCGGGTGGGAATGAGTTGTATAGATTCAATGGTAGGGTTGTTGATGCATCAGCACGAAGGAAGAATAAGGAGAATAAGCGCTCTCGAGATATTGGACATCAGTCACAGGCAAATTTAGGGGAGGATGAGTTAGAGGCTCCTACTGTAGTTGCTCGTTCGGCATCACCGGCGTCTGGTTCCCATGGGAGGAACCAGGGTGGTGCATCGAGAGTGGTCTCGGCTGAGTTTGATGAGGACGATAATGATGAGGATATCGAGGTCCCTCCACTTACGCGTGGACATGGACGAGGGCCGTCTTGTACGGCAACATCACGTCCTGCTATGTATAGGGACCGAGCTGGGCGATTCGTACCACCTGCTCGTCAGGAGACAGAGAGCTCGGGGACTGGACGGAGTAGGGGAGGACGTTCGAGTGGTCCTCCACCGTGGGAGCTTGTTGGCGAGTGTCCTGGTGGACCTACAGATCCTAGCCTCATTATAAGCTTTCGTGGTCACGTTGCCTATGCGCTTTGGACGGGGGCTGGAGATCGAGGGGTCATCAGTTGCTACAGCCGTACATCGGCGGTTTCTTATCTGAGTAGCTACGTGTTTAGTCATGTTGAGGTGGAGGAACTGGTTCAGCAGTCAGGTCTCCAGCACCTGATCTACTCTACGTTCCGCAAGATAGCGATTGACGAGGCTTTGATCTCAGCTTTTGTGGAGAGGTGGCAGCCAGACACGAACACCTTCCACTTGCCTTTTGGAGAGATGACGATCCTCCTCCACGATGTTCAGTACTTACTGCAGATTCCTGTTGAGGGACGACTGATGAGTAGGAGTTCTGCGCAGCTTGACCATCCGGAGGCGGGTTTGTGAGCGCTTCTTGGGATGAACTCGGAGCAGTTGAGTGGTCGTTCGGAGGTCTCTAGATACAATACAATACATCAATATTCCTGTGAACCTAAATGCTAATTTCAAGTCTTAACCGCTAAATTCAACTCCTAAACTCTAAATTCAATTCTTACACGCTAAATTCAACTCTTAAACGCTAAATTCAACTCCTAAACTCTAAATTCAATTCTTACACGCTAAATTCAACTCATAAACGCTAAATTCAACTCCTAAACTCTAAATTCAACTCCTAAAATCGAATTTTTCCGAAAAATTCCAAAAACAGAAGGTGGGCCGAAAAAATCCGGCGGCCGAAACCTGGCCGGGCCGAAAAATTCCGGTGGCTGGAACCTGGCCGGGCCGAAAAATTCCGGCGGCCGGAGCTAGGCAGAGCCGAAAATATCTTGTGGCTCAGCCTGGTTCCGGCCGCCGGAATTTATCGGCCCGGCCAGGTTCCGGCCACTGGAATTTTTCGGCCCGGCTAGGTTCCGGCCGCCGGAATTTTTCGGCCCACCTTCTGTTCATTTCAAATTTTCGGAAAAATTGTTCGAAACTACAAAAAAATTACGCACCTGCTTAGTGATGATTCATTGATGCATGTACGCAGTATATGTCGAGGATAGGCTTTCCCGATGATTTTCCGGCGACTTTTCCGGCGAGCGTTGAATTTTTCTGATTCAATACGTTCTCTGAAAGTTGGATATGTTGTAGATTGTGAAACTCCTTAACCAAAGATGTATATATATATACTTTTTTTTTTGTTGGCGGCAAATAGCAATTTGGTTGGCGGCAAATAGCAAGCCCCATATATATATGATCCCTCGTCTAATGAATCTTATAAATACCGAAGAAAAATAAACAGATCGAATTAACATTTGGACAGAACCAAAACAGACCAAATACACTTTGTGTCACGATCCTTGATCATAAGATGTCATTTACTGCATATATGTAAATTAAACACACGAACGAGATAGTAATTAAGATCACTTCAAGAATCAAATTCAAACTGACGCAGACGTGCACATTAATTAAGGATAAGCTTCCATAAGCGATCTTGGACCCAACGAACGAATGATCTTGTACCCGCTGAAACCAGCCGCCATGAACAGGCTCCGCCACTCCTTCTCGTCCCGTTCCTTGCCGTTGAACGTCGCAAACATCAACAGATCGTAGCAGAACTGCGCCTGACACAACTCCTTGTTCCCAACAACATCCTCATTTCCAACCACCATATCTATAACGATCACTTTCCCATTCTTCTTCTTCTTCTTCTTCTCGTCTCCAGCAACCGCCTCTCGACAGCACTTCAGAATCTTCAAGCATCTCTCGTCATCCCAATCATGAAGAATCCACTGCAACAATGCCCATGTCACAAAAAAAAAAAAAAAAAGTCGTGACAGAGCGCGGGGTATAAGATCTATAAAAATAGAAGTCGTTTTACACTTTTTTTGGTGACCTGAAAGTATAAAACGCAAACTCTTGTAAGTTTTTAAAACGCGATTTTAACTTGCATTACTTACGCGCGACGACGACCTACGTACGTATACCTTGAGGAGGACTGCATCAGCGGGGGGGATTTTCTCAAACATGCTCCCGCCAACAACATGCAAATTCTCAACATCATCACCGCCACCACCCTCCTCCTTCATCACGCCCGCAACCACGTGAGGGAGATCAAACACGGTGCAATTCACCTTGGGGAACGCCCTGGCAATGGCGACGGCCATGGTTCCCGTCCCGCCGCCGACGTCCACCAGCGACTCCACTCCTTCGAACACCTCCTTGCACTCCGACACCAGCACTCCTGCCACCAGCTTGGAGTCGCCGACCATGGTCTCGTAGAACGCCTTCTTCTGCGCCGGGTCCTTCTCCATGCACTCCCAAAACGACGCGCCGTCGTGCCCCGCCTTGAACGGCACCGCGTCGGCGCTGTAGTGGAACCACGCGCTCAGCATCCCCCACGACGTCATCGTACTCGCGTCCAGAAAAAGCCTACGAGTAGTATTATGTTATACTATTTAGTACTGTTATGTAGTTGGGCATAATTTTATTTAGATTGCTACACGCAATATAGTGAGAAGCATTTTGGTGATTTAGAAGCGCGTAAAATCGTAAGCTTTTAAACTCTATAACGCGTTTTTAAGCGTAGAAGCGTTTTGATAACCTAGAAGTATAAAATCGTTAGTTTTTAAAGTTTTAAAATATGATTTTGACTGTTAAGAGTTGGTCAATGTACTCTATGAACGGTGACTGAGGGCCGCCGCGGAGGAGGAGCTTGCCGGCGGTGGTGAGGGAGTAATGATCTTCGGCTTCTTCTTCTCCGCCGGCGAGGAAGGCGGCGGAGGTGGTGGTGAAGAAGCCGGCGTGGGCGAGGGGCCGCATGAGGCGGCGTAGGGCGTCGTTTTTGGAAGGGTGGAGGGGGATGGCGGCGGCGAGGTTGGAGAGTGAGATGGGTTGTTCCGGTGACTTTGAGATGGCGTCGGGGACGCCTAGCTCGACGGCGCATTTCAGCGCCATGGAGACGATGTAGTTGAAGCTGTAGTTCCAGGCGCGAGCCTGAGCTTCGAGGAGCTTGTTGCCGCTGATGATGTTCCCTAGCAAATCATCATGTTGTTGGCTCATTTTTTTTCCTAGAGTTTCTTGTGACGATGGGAGAAAGAGAGAGGAGGAGATTGTGAGGTAGGGGGAGTTGATGATGATATGATGAAAGCAGTTGGATATATATACACACGGCAAAGGCTAGTCTACGATTATACGCCTACGATCACATCAATTATTGGTACTTTGAGAATTTCGATGAATCAGAATGGTTGACTTTCATTTTAAAATTAAATGAATCTTATGATTTGGGGTTAGAAAATTGGAGACTGGTGTTCACCAATTAGATGTTAGAGGGTATAATATCGTGTACCAAAATCAAATTAAATCATGGTCTAAATAACAAAACTCAATAGGAGTACGATAAGATAAGCGTACGTCTGGCGCGTACAATATCTGACCTTATTGTATGCTCATCGAGTATTGTTTTTTTGGATCATAAATTAGTCGGAATTTAACGTATGATACTGTACTTTAATCTTTAATGGGTGAACTGCAGTCCCGAATTCTATAACTCGCAGGGGCGGACCCATGCATTAGCAAGGTGTGTCAACCGACACACCTTGGCTCGGAAATTTTGTGAGAGATCCATGTTTCGTTGGTATAAAAAATTTGAATTCGGGATTTCTGACACACCTCACATAATTGCAATCGACACTTTAAAACACTACATTAATTTTGATGTCATATAGCAATAGGTACCAAAATACACAAATATATATATATTATTTATTTTAATTTTTAGTGAAAATGTCGAGAGGAAAAATTCCACAACCCATGGCTCACAGTTATCTGTCCTCTGCTCCACTCTCTAATTGCTAGCACCTGCCGGTGGAACCTCATCCTCTTTCAAACTTTTACGTTAACGCCTGTCGCCAGCGTTCCTGCTCTCCATTTTATGTTGTGGAGTTAATCAAGAGCGAACTTCAAAATAAGTTTTTTGAATGAATTATTACTTTTGTACGTCGAAAAAAGTTTGATCACACCATAAGCGACAAATATATTTTACAAACCTTTCTGAATATGAAAAGTTGTCGTGTATCACTGTGAAAAATAATAAATTAGGACCCTAATGAATTAATATTTTATTTTACTTTTTATTTAATACATTTAATTTATTAATTATTTTTTGTCTTCTGACACACCTATCAAAGAATTCTGGGTCCGCCACTGATAACTCGAACTATAAAATTCATGGGATCTGAAAAGATGACAGACGACGATTGTGATCCGTCGAACTGTGTTAAAGTGCTTGTAACAAGTTTTTTTTTTGTGAGAAACAGGGCGCAAAGGACGCCCTAACCTATATTAAGAGGTAACGAGGCTGGGTGTTTGAATCCCCAGAGTATCAAAATACAACCAATACAAAAGAGTACTACTCGGGCTTTGAATCCCGTGAACCCCTATGAGAACAGAATGGCCAATGGAAGCGAGGTGGTCAGGCACGAATGAACCCCTAGATTGCTGTGATGGAGATAAATAGAGAATGGGGTCCGGCCGGCGGCCATTCTTCGCCTTCCGATTGGGCCGACTGGAGAAGAATTGATGGCTGTAGCCTACCGATTAGATAAATTAGGTTTGAGTATTTACAAAAAATGTGGTTGCATGTTGGGGATAATTAACTGATAAGATTATGATCAGGATCGGACCCAGTTGAATAAATGCAAGAAATCATTGGGTTGAAGTATATATTTAAAAATTGTGGCTGTATGTTAGGGATGATAAATCTGATAAGACTGTGATTGGGACTCAATTGGACAGATGAAGTCAGAGTTTTCGGCTGGAGGGGCCAACGAAGCTTTCGGAAGGAGCAATTCAGTAGTCAAGGTGATGTTTTTTCGTATAGCAAGTATACATGAATCAAATTTTGCTCTCAAAACGGTTGAATCGCAAATTTTGGACATCTGTGATTGCGGTAATCGGATTTAATAGAAGAGTAATAACTACTAAGACAGATTTGGAAAAAAAAAATTATACAATTATATCATCTTCAATTAATCGTTCTGACATTAGTGAGCACCCAATTGTCAAAAACGCTAAATAATTTACTTTCAAAACGCGGTGAATTGAAAGTCACCATAAGCATACCCCTTTCGTATAGATATGAAGTCAAGCCCTGCAAAACCTATACCATGCAATGCATATAAGGGTCGTTTGGAAGTTGCGATAGTTTTGTTGAGATTGTCATTATGTATGTATTGTTTACAATGCATCGTTTTTTTTTGTTTTTTTTTAGCATAAACAATACATGGATTGTTTCTGTGACGTGACAGAAACTATCACTCATTTTGAGTGATTGTTATATCTCAACTTTTAGTTGTGATTGTTGAGATAGTTGAGTTGATATTGTTTTGTCTCAGCTTTTAGCTGATGCGACATACACAATCACACATACCAAACGTTGTATTCTACAATGCATCAAATTCGACAATACATGTATAATATTATACATGCATTCTCAACAATACATCTATTTAACAATCGCAACTTCCAAACGGCCCATAAAAAACTTCACAGCCTCTCTGGGTCTCAAAGTTTATGGGATTATCTTGATCGAGATGGCATCTTACCCACAAGTTGGACTACCTACTACGTTTAATAAAGTTTATTTAAAGTGGTTAATGACCATAGCCATCAATTAAACAACTCTCTTATATCGCTTTTCCAATGTGCTAAATACTAATACATGACCACGACAGTTCATTAGGGAAAAAAATAGACCGCTCTAATTATGGGATGTGATAGCATGCCTACCTCTAAAAGGGTTGAAAAAATGACACCTCCTATTAATTATAGATTTTTAAAGTAATTAATTTGTGTTGCATTTAATAATCTGTATGAATGAAAAATATATATGAATTATTTTCCTTTTTTAGTGCACTAGTAGTTGTATCAGTGCAATGGTATTAGTGTACAAGTGCAATGGTAGTTCCAAAAAAATAACGTTATTAATATGAGTTCAGTATACAGGTGCAATGGTAGTTGTATCAGTACAATGGTAGTTCCAAAGATTATTAAATGCAACACGAATTTAATACAAAAAATTAGGGGTGTAAGTTTGGCCCTTAAAACCCACTGGCCCGCCCCGACCCTCAGGGTCGGGCTGGGTCAGTTTGTCTATAGGGTCAGCTTAGGGTCGGGTCAGGGTCAGATAGGGTCGGGTCAATTTAGGATCGGGTCATTTTTTGACCCTATGACCCTTAGCATCATAGAAACATGTTGGACCTATTTGTAAAATTTTAAAAATTTAGGTACTAAATTGTAAAAATTAAAAAATTTGGGTACCAAAACGTAATTTTACCATCAAATTTTAGGGACTTATTTGTAAAAAAAATTAAATTTAGGTACTAAAATGTAAGAAAAAATAAATTCGGGTACCAAATTGTAATTTTTAGAAAAGTAGTCTATTTATTAGGGTCGACCCACTGACCCGACCCTTCCTGACCCGCCCCGACCCTAAAGGGTCAGACAGGGTCATGAAAGAAACAGGGTCGGGGCGGGTCAGTTATACATCTTGACCCTTCACGGGCGGGTCAGACAGGGTCAGGACAGGATCAGGGGCGGGTCGGGCCAATTTTCAGCCCTACAAAAAATAACTATAATTAATATGGGTGTCATTTTTTTCAACCCTTAGAAGGGTTAGCATGCTAACTGATTCGCTAATTATATATAAGTTTTGGTTGAGGTGGCGGTTTTGTCATAGTGGTTCGAAGAAAACATTAGTTTTCAAGGTGGGCGGTCCTTTTGGACTGAATACTTGCTGGATCTAAAAAATAATGTCCAATTAAATATTATTTTTGTTAGTGATTAACCACTAGGTAAACTTAGCCTACTAATAACTAGTCACTAAGCTGTTATTAGTTATCGATTAAACCAATATACTTATTTATTCGATCGACTTATTACTCCTTATATTTTGATCACATAAATACTACTTGTATTTTGATCATATGACAATTATTCGATCGATAGCAATACTACTGAAACACTTGATCATGATATGATAAATTTCCAATATACTTAGTTAATTCATTCTTTATCGTATAAATTGTGTAGATGGTATGTGTCATAACTTTATCTATTGATGATTTCTTAGCACTATCATCTTTGTCATTACTCATTCCTCACTATTGGAGTATATAAGCAAGAGTGCATATTTTACCGTGTGCTTAATCTACACATTGATATTCATGAATAACAACCTTGTAACAAAAAACTATGTATTATATTTTCTACAAGGTAAACTACTCTCTTAAATATAAGGATTGTAAACCATTTTTCGGTTTTCAGTTCAACCTTTTTTTTTCAATCGATTCCTCAAAATCGAGAAAGGAAACAAGATACATTGTCTGCAGCAGATCCATCAAGAATCCTAATTACAGCGTAGCCAAGAAACAAAGTCAAACTATTTTCGGTTTTCGATTAAAACTCAATTATTAAATGTTAAATATTTTTATTTGCCTTTTCGATCGAGCCCAACAAAGAAAAATGGGCCTCTCAATAGGCTAAACTTGGCGGGGATAATAGCTAGTGGGCTTGGCTCGGTATGGGGAATGGACCAAACTGATAGTGGGAATGGAGTTGCAAAATGAAGGAAGGATGAAGCCCATAATCGGAAAAGCATGGCTTTGTTTTGATTATTCAGCTCAATTTGTTTTAATCAGATCTACTTAATTATTCATTTGTCGTTTGAATATTGAATCTAGGTTAAAATAAAATAAAATAAAAAATAAATTTGAAATTCAACACCAAACAAATTATCTATCTACCGTATTCGAGTTCGTAAGATTGTTTCGTTTGCTCAACCATAACTGGATACATACGCATAGAACATGAAACATTATAGGTTTTGACATTTGAGAACGGTTGTGAGTATATAACTTGCAGTGTACATTTGATCCCGCGACCGGAGATCTAATCGTTTCAGTCACTGCAAGATGCACCCTTGACAATGTTAACAGAAAATGATGAAGACTCGAAATCGCTATTAAAATATAACCGTGTCGTGGTTCGTGAGATCCTAATAAAGGAAAATCCAGATAGAAAACCTTGGCAAAAACAAGTCATGTACTAATGTACATGAAGAGTAAGCCAATTATGACTTTGGATTGAGGAATGTGGTGGTGGGGAAGAAGAGAAAAGGGAAGACATTGATTTCTATTCCTTCCATTCCCATTCCCCTTCTCATCTTGCTTTGCTGCCCCTCTAAGCCAAGCAAACTTTAACCTAATAGGCAAACAGAAGAACTTTTTGTTATCTTAACAAAGTTTTCATCTTTTAACCTTTTTACAATCAATAGAAAGATTACCATATAAGATGCACACTTCATATGATCTTTATATGTAAACATTTCTAGTCTATAAATTGATCATCACTTAAAAAGGGTGTATAAAAGAATTACCCAATATCAATCTATCATCTCTATAGAGTGACCACTATGGCTGAATTTGCACTGCAAGTTACCACAAAGGGCACTAATTAACAGGTTGATAATGAACCATGATTGACCCACCTAAATCATACTTACAAACTCAAGTTGACCATACTTAATCAAAACACTGAGCAACATAACTCTGACTATCATAACCGTCGATTCTATCACAGTGACAACTGACATGTGGTTGAGATAAGTCACATGTTTGGTACCTGTGAAAACACGTAAGTCCGAGGGCTTCCAGTAAAGAAGAAATGAAGGAAAAAATATTGTAAAGTACGTGTATGGTAGGTCTGTAAAAGAGAATGATCGATGTTCATTACTATGATCCACGGGAACCATATGCATTTCTTTGATGCATTTTGCAAAATAACGATGATGTTATTTGCCCTTTGGAACATAGAATTAAAAACAGGGGAGGAGAGCTATCAATTTTAGAGCCAAGTGTGGCATAATATGTCATAATAGTCACATTTATGAATTTGTTCCTCTCATTTTCAGTCATTACTTCTCCTTTCTTTCATTTTGAGAGAAAAAGAAAGGTATGAGGCAGAGATTTGTAAAGTAGTTCACATTTCCAATGAAAAATACAAATTTTCCCGTAAGAACAAAGTTTGAACCACTTTCCACTAATATGATTAGGAAGAGTTTATGTTCACAACCAAACAACCTAAAACTCAAACCAAATGTACAAAAAGATGGAGGATCTATAGGAGGTTTGAGTTTTTGTAATTTGAGATAAGAGGATCCAATCAAAAAACCAGTTTGTTGTGACAAAAAAAAAAAAAAAGATAACAAAGCAGGTGGATTTGAGAGTCTTGTTCATAAAATGTGTCCAAGTGTGGCATTCCCAGTCAATCATCAGAGAAAATCGATTGGACAATGCATTGTGGATGACGAGTCGATGCAACTCTGGAAGAGCAAAAGGAAAGACCTCCACTCCCGCTATGGCCATTTGATCAACGAAGAACGAGCTTATAATTTTGTGGATGTGAAACCAACCAATCCATGAATCATCCCGACTCCAACATCTAATCGATTATTTTTTTTTTCTTTCAAAATCCACCGAAACACAATTCACGAGCCCAAAGAACTCCAGTAACAAACCAATATCCGAGCATTGAAATGCAAAAAAAATAAAAATAAAATCCAGGTAATAAAACACATCCAATCATTAATTTTATAGTGCCTTGTTTTATACTTACTCCCCCCCTATAAATTGCCACTACATCAAAAAACCCTTACCCCAAAACTCAAGAAAACTAACCACTCCCTACTTCTTCTTCTTCCAACCAAAACAATGGCACCACATTCTGCAACCTCCATCCTCACCTTCCTCTTCATCCTCACCATCTTCTCATCACCATCACCAACCTTCATCACCTCAGCCAGAGCACAAGCCAGGCCGCCCCACGGCCTCGTCTACTCGGGCCCCGTCGCCTTCTCCCCATCCGCAGTCCAGTTCTTCCACCCAAACAACCAACTCCCTCACCCTGAGGCTGCTCAGGTCACCGCCGCCGCCGCCGCGAAATCCACCACCACCACCACCACCACTCCCTCGAGGTCCGGCGGGAGGAGTGGATTGGGTGCAGGGGAGATTGCAGGGGTTGTGTTTGGTGCTGCATTTGCTGTGTTCATCGCCATGGGAGCTTACTATGTGGTGAAGGCTCGCAGGGCCAATTTGGGCAAGGCCAGCAACAACTCTGTTCAGTCACATGTTTAAGTGGGGATTAGTCAAAGACCAATGGTGTAATCAATTCAATTAGTGTTTTTTTTTTTGTTGTTATTAGGGGAGTGGGATTAGACTTTGGTGACCACAATGTTGTAATCATGATCTTACCTACTGTTTTTGTAATTGTGTTGATGTGATTTCATGTTCTGTTGCTTGGATTAAAGTTTTTAATTGTTTGGAGATTAGTGTATGGTTTTTTGATCAATGGCTGTGGATTGGAATCTCTTGAGCAAATTGTCAATTCCTCGGGGAGGACTTGAAGGCACAAAACACGGTCACCCTTAAACCCTAACTCAAGGCAACTTGTTTAATTTACAACTTGGACCCACTACTAGGTTTAAACTGACGTGATTGGTTCGTCGGGTCGAGAACCGGCGAAACCAATTCTATAATCCGTCGGAAGTAATGAAAGAAGAAATGGGAAACCATAGTTATAAAAGAAAAAGGCCATTCGATTAGATTTCAGCGTGCTTCCGTTCCTTATTTTGACGACGAATCACAAGCCGCAAGCCAAGCAAAATCGGGAATATGAAAAATGACGGACAGACGCGATTCGTTTTAGTTCAATCCGATTCAAATGTTAATTAATTCAACAAAATAGTCGCATTCTTGGACATCTTCTGATAGAAAATATGACACACAAAAGACCACCTTAACGTATATTTAGATTGGACCATCCCAAAAAGATGATAGTTTGTCTCATATCTATGGCCGAAATCGTTACGGTGAATCTGAGTGAAAACCGAATACACACCCTTCTTCTTCGTAAGAGAAAACTACTGCGTGATTGCTTCCACCACTGTAAACCATGAGTGATTATCTAACCCCACACAATGTAAAACACGGCTTCAAAATTTCCCGTTGCATGAAGAAATAGCCAAAGAAACGTGGAGCAGAGGAAGTAGTCAGGGGTGTTTCTAAACTTTGGAATATAGCCTCGTCGGCCTCGGCTCCAAATCTTTTTTAGCTTCACGACAGAGCCCTTCCTTCTTCTTATCTTCTTCCACCAACGGTTATGGGCTGTAAGTCTGTAACATACTACCCAAAAACAGCATTGTCCCTCATTTTCTGCAACTTTCCTTTTCAATCACGGGATTTACAGTGACGCACACATCAACATCACCAATCTCTGCCCCCTTACACAGTGTAACAAGCAAGCAAGTTAAAAGTCTTTTGAGTGGGTACAGAATCCACACTCAAAAGGAAACAGGAGGGTTTTCAGAAGACAATTGCAGATTTGCAGGCATGTTATCATAAGAGTTGGAGAAATAATGTATAGGATACAAGATCACAAACTTGCTCAATAATTTCATTCACGGTGTGAACTAAGGGCGGTAACGAGCGGCCTGAACGCCTGGTCCACGGCTTTGTTCCACAGGAGAGCAGACTCGGAACGAAATTGCTTCCCCAGTATAGGCTCTTTCAACTGCAGCAAGAGCCAAAGCCATTAGGAAGAAGAAGAAAAAAGGCTCAATCTTTCGTGTTTGGCGTATGGAGAATATAAGCGTGTGCATTGCACTTATCGTGGCAATGGATCGAATACTATAAGATGGTTTCATATTGATGATGCTAGAGGTAATTCCAGGGCTAAAAGAGACTCAAACAATCAGCCAAAGAAAGTTAACATAACAGCTCATTATCCTCTCTGGTATTTGATGATGGCACTCTCACAATGGTTTTGGTTTCAAAGGATGACGAGTTTCCTTTCATGTTCCTACTCCAGGATATAGAAGAAGCGGCAACTCCATCAAACCACCACATTGATTCTGCTATCTCTTCAATCACTCTTACTCTCACATGCTAGTTTACCTTAATGTTCTTAGACATGCTTAGAGTGCAATCATTCATCACTACAAGAACCACGAAATCGTTCCAACGAGGTCTTAGATTCAAGGGATTCGAACACTTATCAGCTACATTCACAAAATTGCATGATAGCTGATAGCTGCTAGATGCCCTTACTGAATACAAATGGAGCAGCACTACAGAAGGAACCAATAGAAAGTAGAAACTCTTAAACATACAAGGGCAACACCTAGAGAAAGACATCATCCCTCAACTGCATTCACATCCAGCTAGTACACACTGTTCAGTAATCAATCAGCTAAAACTGAAATCCCCCCCTCAAATTTTCCAGCAGCAATGAATCAAGGAATTCGATTCAAACCAAAACGAAGATCACATTGGACTCTAGGGTTCTGGGCAGGACAAATGAGAATTACTTACGGCCACCAAAATCAAAGGTAAAAGTTGGAAAAAAGTTACCAACTTCACCTGTTTTTCGGCATCAGATGGAGATTGGTAGGCCGAAATTGAGTCGTGGATTCGCCTCCGCTGATCAAACACCACGAAACCGGTGAAAGCGCCGCCTAACGCGAACCCGAGCAGGCGCTCCTGCGGCAAACAAAAAGTAGAAAAATTCCTCAGCAGAGAATCGCAACATCAAGAGGGTACATCGGCGGAGAAAAATTGCCGGAGTACTGGTGTTCACCTGAGCGAGAATGCTGAGCATCGTTTCTTTCCGACGGCGAGATTCCGGCGAGTGGTTGATGGATGGTCTCTCAGGGGAAGTGGGGAAACGAAGATGGAAACGTCGCGTTTCGGTTACTTTCTCCGGTCTGTAACAAATTGACAAATCTAGAGGGGCCTTTTCGTAAATAATTTTTTTTTTGTCATTATTTGCTATTTATCTACTGGACCCTCCACAGATCCATATTTGTTCGGGCAGGGCTGTTGGGTTGAGAGAAAATATCCACCAGCGACTTTTTCGACTCTCTTGCCTATTAGGGTTTCGGAGTGCTCTCTGGTTTCCCACTGTCTCTCGATCGCCGCTCTCAACAGGTGAGCCGCTGCGTTGAATCTCTCTGATCTATTCCGTCTCTGTACTGTGTGCGTCTTCCTTCTTCTCGCCGCTCTAAGTTTTTTGTTTGGTTTACGAGGGAGAAAGCGAATCGAGTTTCACGCTTTCATTTGAGGTGTTTGGGCTAGAAATTGTTTCTCTTGATATGATATGGGTTTGTATTGTTTCTGGGTTAGTCGGATCTGATGATTTCCAGTCCCGATCTGATGTTCTAGGTTATTGAAATCTCAGATTCGTGATTGCTGTATGGTGTTTGTTGAAAGCATAAATGGAGGGTCGTCTTTAGTTAGTTAGTTAGTTTTCAGGAGGAATCCATAGCCCTGATAATTCTTCATTGACGAAACTCGATGATATATGGATTGGCGTTAGGCAGGTCTTCATTGACGAAACTCGATGATATATGGATTGGCGTTAGGCAGGTCGAGGGCTCCATTTATTGCATTGTGGGAGTTCTAGGAGGCATTTTGACTTTTGAGCTGAACCCTCCCACTGTCTTGTTGATGGTTTGACTGTCGAGAGATACTATGGTTGTCTACAATTTGAAATGGGTAGCGATTTAATTGTATAAATGACAGTTCTTTGCCTCATGTTGAATGTGTTCAGACCAAAGATGAGGCCTATCTTCTGTGGTAACTTTGAGTATGTTGAAATGGGTAGCGATCTAATTGTATAAATGACAGTTCTTTGCCTCATGTTGAATGTGTTCAGACCAAAGATGAGGCCTATCTTCTGTGGTAACTTTGAGTATGATGCTCGCCAGTCGGAGCTGGAACGGCTTTTCAAGCGCTATGGGAGGGTTGAAAGAATCGACATGAAGTCTGGTAAGTATCTTGTCTGGCTCATACTTTTTTATGTTGCATTTGGGGAAACTAAACTGCTAGCTTTGATCATTACTCAAGTTTAGCTTCTTCTGGGATCAATCTGGTAGGGACCTTTGTGCTTTAACTCATGCTGTTTTGCTCTCGTCCAAGACTATCCTTTTTTACTTCATAGATGCGCTTGTGAAACACTGAAAACATTCGGTTTGCACAATCTGGGACACCGCTCCCTACATTCCTCATTAATTCAAACAATCGGATTGGAATAGCCTCTCAGATGCCACGCCTTTGGTTACATCTGGATAGCAGAACAACTACTTTGTTATGCCGTCCAGAATCGTCTTCGAGTGTTTTCCTCCTGAAACCAGTGCATCATATTTTGGCGAAGTTGGTATGGTAGGTTAGGAAGCTCTATTTTTCTTTCTTGTTATCATGATAAGACAGTCAATTGATGTACTTGCTTTGAAGAAAGCAAACATTTGAATTGGACCATGGTGTGCTCCTCTTATATGAATTTGATCCTGAAAGCCGCCATCGACGCCGATCTGTGATGTCCAACAATCCCTCTACCGATCAGCGCACAACTCAGTCTGCCTCCCCATGCCTGTGCATCTCTCTGGGGGCATATCAGCAAGATGGTCAACATTCATTTCGTCTACGAATCAGAAGCAGCATTCTTCCGTTGTTGAGTTACAGTGGGGGTTCAGGATATGTTAAAAAAAGAATGTTTATTGAAGCATAAACCCCCATACTCAACATTTTGTTTGACGCAGGACATTCTTGGCAAATTCGTACTCTTTCCGGCTAAAGGATGGGCACCCAGTCCGTTTCCTGACAACAACGAGCCTCCTTTTCTTGTTTCCACCAGGAAGAGTCTTCTCTTTTCCGCAAAGGCAGAACTATACCGAATTTCCTCAGACATAATTGCATTGCATTCCTCATGAACTTTGCCCCGCATTCAATTTCACGACATGTTTCCGCATAGAAACATTGCCCAACCTCACAGCAGAGGCAGCAGAAATTCTTGCAGAGGCATTCTAATTTCCATTGACCCAACCATGAGACAACCACTTTTGGATTGTAGTCCCCTTGGCATCTCTTAGTTCATCACAGAAGGTCTGTTGCTACTTTTTCTGGTCAGTTTGTTTGTAGATTTGAGGAGGGCTGCCAATTTCTTTTTTAAAGGTTTGGATAAAGTGGTTGTGTTCCACCAATTGTAAGTAGGGTTTTCTACTTCAAGGATTGATTGATGTGAGGATCCGATCCAATTTTGTATTCATTTATTGATATGATTATGTTTATGGTACTTATGTTTTTTTGTTTGTTTTTGTTTTGTATCTTCAAGCAGGATTTGCATTCATCTATATGGAAGATGAAAGAGACGCTGAGGATGCAATCCGTGGACTTGACCGCATAGAGTTTGGTCGTAAGGGTCGTAGGCTTCGTGTTGAATGGACTAAGGTAAGTTTTTGTTGGATGGAAAATATTATATTATATCCCTGAAGTTCTTTTATCATATGAATACCAATTGTCACTGATAACAACATTTTCCTTTTTAGCAAGAACGTGGTGCGAGGAGGCTTGATAGTGGTGGCGGTGGTGGCTCAAGGAGAGCTTCTAACACAAGGCCTTCTAAAACCTTGTTTGTTATAAACTTTGATTCGCAGCTTACAAGGACAAGAGATTTGGAGAGACACTTTGAGCCATATGGAAAGATAGCGAGTGTGAGGATTAGGAGAAATTTTGCTTTTGTTCAGTATGAAGCACAAGAAGATGCCAGCAAAGCCTTGGAAGCTACAAACATGAGGTTGGTTGATTGCTTCTCATGAGCTGTTTGGAAGATATGTTGTTGTCACTGACATGGAACAACTCTGTTCTGTCTTTTTATTCTGCAGCAAGTTGATGGACAGAGTTATTTCAGTGGAATATGCAGTTCGAGATGATGATGAGAAGAAAGATGGTGGAGGCTATAGTCCAGAGAGAACTCGAGATAGGTCCCCAAGGAGGAGGTCAGTGAGTCCTTACAGAAGAGAGAGAGGAAGCCCTGATTATGGCCGTGGCCCTAGTCCCTACAGGAGAGAGAGGGGAAGTCCTGACTATGGTGGTCGCGGCCGCCGCAGTCCTAGCCCTTACAAGAAGGAAAAATCTAGTCCGGAGCATGGGCGACGTCGTAGCCCTAGTCCTTATAAGAAAGGCAGATCAAGTCCTGAATATGCTCGGGAATCAGCCCGTAGCCCTTACAAAAGGGAGAGGGCTGGTAGTGACCAGGGTCGTGGTGGAGGCAGTCGCAGTCCTGCTTACCGTAGGGAGAGGGGTAAAACCGACAATGGCCGTGGACGCAGCCCTAGCCCTTATGAAAGAGACGGGGCTGCTGATGCTGACAATGGTAATGGGATGGACAGCAGTCCATATGAAAGGGAGAAAGGCGAGGTGAAGAATGGACGTGGTTCGAGCTATGAAAGGGATGGTGGGAGTCCTAGCAATGGTCGCAGGGCTAGCCCAGCTGAAGAAAGGGACAGCCCGAATGATGGAAGGGCTGATAGCCCCCCCATGCGTGATAGATTCAAGAGGTAATGTCTGGTCTGGAACATGTTATTTTCTGTGATCATCTATATGTATGTTTGGATTAACATTGAAGTGTTTGTCATTGTGATATGCAGCCGATCTCCACCAGCTGATGAATGATAGAAGGAAGGAGCTCAAAGCAAAATGTCGGGCCCTGCGTGGCAGGATGTAGTTTGTTGTTAGGGATGTAGTTGCAGGGGGAAAGGTGCACCGGACAATTTGTGATCTAGGCTGTGTTTGTATCCGTTTAAAACTATGTGCTTCGGAATTCGGATATGTTGTGCTAAAACTGAGGTCGATTTTCTGTTGAGGGGATATCTACACTGAACTGCAGACTTAATGCTTCTTGTCCGTCGTTCTATTGTAGCAATTATGTGGTGCAGTTTGCCAGGTTTCCAAGAGCTGTAGTCTTTGCCTCCTGCTGTTCATTTCAGACCCTTGAATCTTGATAATGGCATGTTAACACTGGTGTGCTAGGGATATGTGAAATTAACCTGTGGATCATGGTTACATGCAGCTAGGCTTTCCTTCTTGTTTCATTGGCTTGGTACCACATACTTTTTCCTTGCAATCCACCTCGAACATAGTACTCAATAAGATCATTCACTCACTCATAAACAAACTACTTGCTAGTTCTTAAACGTGCCCGACTCATTAAGCATATCGCTACACATGATTTCTTAGGGTTTCGATGACAGCCATTACGAATTGAAAATGAGAAAGCTTAGGACGACAGAGCGGTTCAAACAAGATTGTTATCTTCTTCATTGCTGTTATAGCATCCACTGACACAGCTAATTGATGGTTTTGAGGTGTTCTCTCCTGTCCAGTGTGCCTCAGACAAATTTCGCCGGTGCCATTTTCAACTTGGTTTGTTTTGTATTCCACCTACGTTCGGCATTTCCGGTGAGACAAGTTAGAAGGTTTTCCTCATACGACAAGCATTTCAGGGTGAGACATAACTGAGGTTTTTATCTTCTTCTACCAACGGTTGTGGGCTGTAACATACTTCTGAAAAACAACAATGTCCCCCTTATTTTCTGCAGCTTTCCTTTCCATTCAATGGATTTCCAGGGAGGCACACATCAACATCACCAATTACACCTCGTGTACAGTGTAACAAGCAAGCAAGTTAAAGTCTGTGAGTGGTACATGATACAAAACAGAGAAAAAAAGGGAGGATTTTCATAAGACAATTGCAAGCATGTTCTTCAGCATATCATAATTCATAAGAATTGGCAAAATAATGGGTAGAATACACGATCACAAACATGTTCAATGATTTCATTCTCTGTGCGAACTAAGGGCGGAAACGAGCGGCCCGAACGCCTGATCCACGGCTTTGTTCCATAAGAGAGCAGATTCCGAGCGGAATTGCTTACCCAATATCGGCTCTTTCAACTGCAACGCGAGCCAAAGCCATAAGAAGGAAAAAAAGCTCGGTCTTAGTATTATACATGTGTGTATTGCAGTTATCACGGGGGTGATGGACTGAATACTGAGCAGGTACGGAAGAGTTGCATATCGATGATGCTATAGAGGTAGTCCAAGTGCAAAAGCGACTCAGATCAATCAATCATCCAAAGAAAGCATAAAGAGTTCATTATCCTTCTCCTATCTGTCTCTGCTAAACAATGGTTTTGGTTTCAAAGGATGAACATTTTCGTTTCATGTCCCTACCCGGGATATAAAAGAAGTTGGGATGGATCATACCAAACCACCATTCTGATTCTGCTACCTCTTCAACCACCCTTTACTCTCGCATTGCTAGTAGTTCATCTTAATATGCTTTTTAGACATGCTATAATGCCACCATTCCATCACCAGAACCACGAAATCGCTCTAACAAGTTCTTCCATTCAAAGGACTTCCAACACTTACAAGCTACTACATTCACTAAATTGCAACATAGCTGTGCCATTTCCAAATACAAATGGAAGATAAGGACCAGTAAGGAAACTCCACATTCACATATAAAGGGCAACAACGCTTAGAGAAAGACTGGAAGACATCATCCCTCCACTCCTCCACCGCATTCAAGTAATAATAAGCTAAAACGAAATCCCACTCAATTTTCTCGCATCAATGAATCAAGGAAGTCGAATCAAACTAAAACGGAGATCACACTGGATTCTAGGGTTATGGACTAGACAAATGGCAATTACTTACGGCAACAAATCAACAGTGAAAATTGGAAAAAAAAAAAAGGAACGAACTTTACCTGTTTTTGGGCATCGGACGGAGATTGGTAGGCCGAAATTGAGTCGTGGATTCGCCTCCGCTGCTCAAACACCACGAAACCGGTGAAAGCGCCGCCCAACGCGAATCCGAGCAGGCGCTCCTGCGGTAACAAAAAGACAGAAGAATTCATCAGCAGCGAATCGCGGCATCAAGAGGGTTCATCGGCGGAGAAGATTTTCCGGAGAATCGGTGCTCACCTGAGCGAGAATGCTGAGCATCGTTTCGTCTACGACGGCGAGATTCCGGCGCGTGGTTGATGGATGGTCTCTCAGGGAAGGCGGGGAAAGGAAATCGGGGGAAGGAAGAAGAAAACACTTCGGTTACTTTCTCCGGTCTGTAACAAATTGGCAAATCTCAGGTTGGCGCGCGGCCCGTTGGGGTTTCCACCCGTTGTGGGCCTGTGTAAGCCCATGTTCGACGGTCTTTATCCATTTGTTTGGTCCAAAATCATATTAGAATTTTGAACTTAGGTCCTCTATGAGAATTAAATCTAATATTTTTTTTTACATGAAGAATTAAATCTAATATTCAAAGGGGAAGAGGGAATGAAATTTTGATATATTAAGAAGATGTTCTATCTTAATTAAAAATGTTCTTCTTATGTGACTTGAGATTTATGATATGTTCTTAAAACGAAAATTCATAGCTACACAAAGACACATTGACAACTAATTCCAGAGTGACCCTAAATACCTATTGTAATTGTAAATTCACAAAAAACAATTAAGAACAAGAAGTACGATGATAATCACTATTATTCTTGCCAAAAACTACTTAAAAAACATAATTCAACAATTCATAATAATATTATGATACCAGTTTACATATTAACATCTTGAATTAGTTTAAGTATAATATTAAAAACTGGTCTCAACTTTAAGCATATGAAACCCAGAATGAAAGAAGTTAAGTTTGGAGTAAACCATTAAACCACCCCAAAGTCAAATTGGTTTCAATTTCAATAGATGTTATCGTATTAATCTGCAACATTTCATATACGTAAATGGTATACATGTAAGAAGCGGTTGCGGATTAACAATTTCAAGTTCAAATCTTCCTTTCTGGTGCCATTGTTCCATATTCCATCTTGTATTAACATGGCATTGTCTGTAGTCTCCATAGTATTAAACCCTCTAGAGACAAAGATAGAGCCCAAAGGAACAAAACCAGAGGACATGTAGGAAAGACTATAAGAGGAGAAGGAGCTTAATGGAAGAGGGGATGGGACATGTGAATTCAAGGGGGCTCCTAATTCCTATCATGATTCATGTGACTCACTCTCCCTTTTTCCCCACCTCCATTTTCTTTTCTTCTTCTCTCTTATTTTTCCGCCTTGACAGAATGGTCCCCAAAAATGGAGCTCCCTCTCCATCTCTCTTCCAGACGCAAGACAATGACAAAAGGTTGAAGGGAGGGAACCAAAAATCTCTTTCTTCCAGTATGAATACGACCCATCAAGCACACTCATATTCCCTTGCCACAATTATCATCACTACAAAAACCCTTGTTCATATGTAGTAGCCTCTAAATAAATGACACTTCCATTTCATGAAAATGGGTTCTTTCCCTGCCTCTGCATTGATGTTAATCAGTTTCTCCCTCAACTGTTCCAATCCCAGTTGACGATTTCTTGTGCTTGATGATGGGTAACAGGGGAATCATTGTTATTTTCACCAAAGTGTATGTCTTTACTACTACTGTTTGGTATTTTTGGCTTGAATGGAGACGTGAAGGGATGGAAGGGGTCGTCGCCAATAGTATGAGATATCTGCCAAAGGGGCCAAGGGGGTGGAGGACATTAAATTTTATGTGTATTCAATTGTGGTTTCATGTGTTGCTTTTATAGGGAAATTTCGTTTGATTAAATGCTTGTACCTGTTAAAGGAAACTCTCCCCACACCCCATCTCCAACTGTTCAGTAAGATATATCTAGCTGGTTTATGCATGCAAGCTGTTTGCTTCATTGCCTGAATGAAAAAGTCGGGTGAAATTCTGTCTTCTGCAGCAGCTTTCCCGGTTGGATTTTAATGGTAGCACTCAGATCTTTTCTATCTCTCTCTCACACAGAAGCTACACTAATGGGATTTGGTTATTGTCTGGCAAGTTTTGGTTTTATTCTTACATTTGCCTATGCAAGTGAGGTGATATATGGAGAGGGGTTGGGGAGGGGCTTCCTCACTTGGAACTTTGTGGCAGGGGTGAAATGTGAAAACATGTCCTGTCGTTGTAAGTTGTAACCCATTTTGCCACTTAGTTGAAATTGCTCTGCCTTCGTTGTTTCATGGAATCTAAAATTCCCAGGTTTAGCTGCAACAAGTCAAAAAGTTATTCACTTTGTCATGCACATGATGTCTGGAATCATTTGTTTGAGCTTTCTGTCGAGCTGGGAGAGAGAGAGAGAGAGAGAGAGAGAGAGAGAGAGAGAGAGAGTTAAACGACTATACCACTGCTTGCTTATCATGGCCTCTAAGGTACTTTTTGTTCAAAAGCTGCAGTTTGCAGATGGTTTTATTTAGAAGGCAGTATTGACGTTGCTAAAACAGTGATTGCTTTTTCTAAGATTTTGGCTTTCGGTTTTGAGATCTTTCATGGAAACTAAAGGGTAGATGTGGTGGGCTGCCTCAGTAGTCAGTTCTCAACCAATATATTGGTGTCTGGCAGGCTCATTTTTCAGGTTTTCAATAAGTTTGCAATCGATTCTTGGTTGGGAATCTTTAGGGATTCGCAATTTGTTTATTTCTGCCAGATGGAGATTCTTTCGGCCTCTAAAGAAACAAACATTTCCCTTGTCCTCGTCAAACTGGACAGCATCGTTATGTGCCTACTGCCTACCATTCACCTTCAAATTTGTGCTACTTGAGTGCTCTTTCTTCCTTTTTATTAATTCAGGGTTTAGCTGTTGCATCACTTCCACCTGTCTTATGCAAGTTTGAAACTTGATGTCCTAGAGGTCTTTGTTTTCCTACTCTCAAGTAGAATGTGCAGAGAATAGGAAAAAAGGGAGTGTGATTGATTGATGTATTCAGTTGTTGTTTGACTTGCATCCTTTAAGAAAGGTGCTTAGTTGGTATGCGCATTTCCCAGTAAGAAAATTGAAGGGTTTCTTGTTCTGGCTTGGCGAGGAATAGTTTTGAGCTGGTGGAGCTCTTTTGGAAACTTTGTTCCAGAGTTTCAAAGAGTATACCTATCATCAGAAGCTTTTAGTTCCATGGCTGAAGTATGATTAACTGTTGATTGCTACTTGCCGTGTTATCAATCCAGGATCTGTGTAAGATCCATTGGCCAACTCAAAGTTCAAGGAGTGATGCTATTTGACCATGCATTTGTTCCGGTGGCTACATTTGCCACTGTTTATGCTGGTGCAACTCTTACAGCTGTCAAGTACTGTTCAGATAAGGCATGGTTAGACTCTTTTAACTTCTCTTTGGTTTCTTTAATTACTGCTTGACGCTTGTCTAAGCCAGTTTGATCATATAGTTAATTTGATAGAAATGCTACAGTTCATTCTACCTTCTACGCACAGCTCAGTTTATTTTTGCTACAGCAGAAACTTTGTTTGCTTGTGAGAGTACCCTTTGCAACAAACAGTCCACTGGCTGGATAGAGGGATACCCCTGTCTAAGACAATCAGCAAGGCTTAAGCATCGCCAACTTCAAACCCAAGGTGTTGTTTCTTTGTAAGCTCCACCCCTCTCTTTCCCTTCACATTGGCATATTAGATGTTCAGGTTCAATAGATTTTTACCAAGCATATCATCATTCCCACAAATAGACTTCATCAAGCAACAGAGAAGCTAGATGCTCTTTCTTTGATCTACATACTTCGATTTATGTAGATGGAACTCTCACTTCTTCTGCCTGGACTATATACCATTTACTCATTGCAAACATTCTGTTCCCCTCTTCAGTTTACATGGTTTTCTTACTGCCCCTGAACTGGAGAAGGCTTTCTAACAACATGCTGCATTTTCTTATGTCTGATAGCTTATATTCCAAAGAGTCAGCCACATTTGTTTCCGACTGGGGTTCAACCAAAATTTCACCTGTTTCTTCGCCATCTATTCCCGCAAGCTTGCGTTTAGGATTACCAGAACAGTTATATTTATTACATAACAGGAGGATAGCTAAGACAGTTGATGGATCCAATGGTGTTCCGACATTAACACCAGTGCAATCAGATGATGACACAAAAGCATGGAAAACGAAAGTTGCAGCCATAGCTGGAGGTGTTGGTGCAACTCTGCTAGTAATTGTCATAGTGGTGATTGTTTACTTGCGTATCAAGAAATTAGCATCACAAAATTCTGAAAGGGAGTCCTCTTCACAATCCCCTCGTGAGTTCAGCATCATCCCAACATGAAAGCAGCTTGTGAAATTCTCCTATTTTTCATGGTTTCCTGTTGAGTATGACTTTTCATTTACAGTAGCTTGTTGTATTGAGCTTTTGGTTCGAGTTCCATCAATAACCTCCTTTTGCGTTTTGCATTCAGCAACTGAGCTGGAAATAGTTGAGACTCCCACATATACTAGTCCTCGTCCTTCCGGCACATCATTCCTGAGATTGTTGACAGTTGAGGAGTTGAAGCTGGCGACACAGAGTTTCAGTGACAGCAATATCATAGGTGAAGGGTTACTTGGTTTAGTTTATAAAGGACTGCTTCTAGATGGATCTATTGCCACCATAAATAGAAACATACACCATCCGATTCAGAACTTTGCTAATGAGGTACTTGCAAACCAGGAAATCTGCTGATTTATCGCTTGTATTAGTAAGAATGCTGCATGATTATAATTTTCCTTTGCACTGCAGGTTAGACACATCGTTTCTGTCCAGAACCAGCATCTTGTAAAGCTTATTGGCTATTGTGAGGATAGGCAGCAACAGTTTCTTGTATCCGAATTCATATCCAACGGAAATGTGGGACAATACCTCTATGGTAATTCTCTCTGCCTCTAATCAAAACTGTTATGATCTCACTCACTCATTCCCATCTCAAGTCTTCTCTGCTTTGCCCTTTCCTCAGATAGTGAAGGTCTGCCTATTGGGAAGTTGGGCATCAAGCAAAGATTGTCTATAGCCTTGGATGCAGCAAAAGGTATGGCTCAGTCATCCAGTCTTAATATTCCAATCCTTGTGGTTTCCTATCTTATTAAAATGTTTAGATCTTCCGTAGTTCCCTTTCATCTTGTCTTGAATCAGGGCTTCGGTATCTTCACAGTTTGGTCCCTCCTTTCCTGCACATGCACTTCAGAACCAGCAATGTGCTTGTGGATGAAAATTTCACTGCCAAGGTGTCTGACTATGGAATTCGCAAGCTGGTAGCAGAAACCCAGCACCCGGGATCTTCTTCGTCTGTAGATTACTTTCTCGATCCAGAGTACGTGATTGAATTTCCATTCTGCTTGCCATTTCTGATCCATGGCTAAAGTTTTGAACTTCGCCTTCTGTTTCCCCTGACGCATTGCTTGTCGTGATTATGTTTTAAGGTTGAATTCGTCGAGAGACTTCTCAGAGCTAAGTGATGTTTACAGTTATGGGGTATTCCTACTAGAGTTGATCAGTGGACGTGAAGCACATGGCAAGTATCAATCAAGTTCGGACCAAAATCTACTGCTACAGGTATCCTGTGCAGATAACTCTCAGCCAAACAAGCACAAAACTGTGTTCATATTGTTCCTGACATCAAGTTCTTCTATTTCGTAAAGGCTAGGGATAGCAGCCACGATGACTTCGTGGACAAGTCACTACAAGCTAAGGATCGAACGAAACGAATCATGGTGGATCTGGCATTGATGTGTGTAGATCATGTCAGCACAAGGAGACCCTCAATGGAGAATGTTGTTAAAGCGCTCGAATGGATCCGAGAACGGGAAACTGGGCATGTGGATCATGACTGTGGTGAAGAGATTGGAGCTGTGAAACTTGGGAGTGAACTCTTCAAATGACCCCCTCCTTTCTCTGGAATTACATTCAATTGGCATTCTTTATTGGACATAATATAAGTACCAAAGCTTAAAGACTTTAAGTAATTCAAACTTGCAAGTTGGTCCAAAGGAGATCCTGTCTATCTGCCTTGTCCTTCAAGATTAAGGAATGGAGTTGACTTTTTTTTATAACTATGATTAAGTGGAGTTGATTGAGCAAAAAAGATGACTTTATTTCTAGATATTTTTATTTGTTTACATGATTGTTTCTTCAGTTTTATTTCTATACGAACATGTAACGTTATAAACCTCGAAAAACAAAATAATGCAAAGAAACTAGAAAGTATGGATTTAGTCAAATCATTGAACAACTCACCTATCATTATGTGAGATTTAATATTACAAATCTTGAAATACTTTACTCTAACATTGCATGAATTCTTACACTCCCACCTGCAAAAAGGAAACGTGAGATTTTGAAATTCATGTATTCTACCTTAGATTTTTGGGTCGAGCTCAAATCGAGTTATGAAAGGTTTTGTTCGAGTTTGGCTCGTGCATCTCCAACCTCACTTAGTAAATGTAAGAAACAAGGTTTGTTGAGCTAAGCACAACCTTGATTTGATGAAAGAAGGTAATATAGAAAGTCATTGGCTTAAAGCCACAAAAAAACATGAACAGTCTTCACTTTCCTAATTCCTTTACTTAACTCTCTCAGTCAGTCAGATCTTCTTCCCCCAAATTCCCAAGTCAAACCAACTCAAACAACAACAATGTCGACCCGCTACCTCCTCCTCCTCGCCCTCACCGCCTTCCTCCTCGCCTCCAATCCGGCTTCAGCCTCCTCCTCCGCCACCGACGACGACGACGACGAGGACCTCACCTTCCTCGAAGACGACTCCTCCTCCTCCTCATCCCCCGCCCATCACTACCCCGATTCCGACCACTTCGACGACGACGACGAAGACTTCGCGGGCGAAGGCGGCGGCGATTTCGAGAACTACGACGATCTCGACGGCGGCGGCGACTCCGATCCCGACGCCTACTACAAGGCTCCCGAGGTCGACGAGAAGGACGTCGTCGTTTTGAACGACGGCAATTTCAGCGATTTCGTCAAGGACCGGAGGTTCGTGCTCGTGGAATTCTACGCTCCCTGGTGCGGCCACTGCCAGTCGCTGGCGCCCGAGTACGCGGCGGCGGCCACGGAGCTGAAGGGGGAAAAAGATGTGGCGCTGGCGAAGGTGGACGCCACGGAGGAGAGCGAGCTGTCGCAGGAGCACGATGTGCAAGGGTTTCCCACTCTGTATTTCTTCGTGGACGGGGTTCGCAAGCCTTACCCTGGCCAGAGGACCAAGTCAGTGATCGATTTTTTTTTTCTCTCGGCTCTGTTTTTTTATAGCTAATCATTTGAATTTGGTTGCTGAAGTTTCTGTTTTGGAATTTGCGATTCGGGTAGGGAGGCGATTGTTACGTGGATTAAGAAGAAGATTGGACCTGGAATCTCCAATGTCACCACATTGGATGATGCGGAGCGGATTTTGACTTCCGAGAGCAAAGTCGCATTGGGTTACCTTAACTCCTTAGTGGTGAGTTTTTTCCCGTTTCTCTGGTATGTGAATTGAATAAAGCATTGGGATTCTTCTGATTGCTAGCTGCTACCCTTGTTTACTGTCCAACATGGGGATGTTTGTTGAGAACTATGGATTGATTGCTATCTAGCTGAGAGGGGTGTGTCTGTTTTTGAACACGGAGATGATGGAATTGTGTTTTTTTTTCCTGCTTTTCTTGGCAATGATGCATTTGGATTCAACGACAGGGTCCTGAGAGTGAAGAGCTGGCTGCTGCTTCAAGGCTTGAAGATGATGTTAACTTCTATCAAACTGTTAACCCGGATGTCGCAAAGCTTTTCCATCTTGATGCTAAAGCTAAACGTCCTGCCTTGGTCATGATTAAGAAGGAGGACGAGAAACTGAGTTATTTTGGTATGTTTCTCTTTCGAGGTTCATTTATAATACTACTGATTTGGTGGGACTTGGGAGGCAGTAATTTCTTATATTAAAGCTTCTTCCTTTTCTCATGTAGATGGGAATTTCTCCAGGTCTAGCATAGCCGAGTTTGTATTCGCGAACAAGCTTCCTCTGGTTACCATTTTCACCAGGGAAAATGCTCCAGCAGTTTTCGAGAGCGAAATCAAGAAGCAGGTTTGTCAAGCAAAATAATTTGCAGGGACTTCCAATCAGAATTTCATTGGGCGAAACATTGACAATGCAAAATAATTTGTTGTTCTCAGCTAATTTTGTTTGCCAATAAAAAAGACACGGAGAAAGCGCTCGCACCATTCCAAGAAGCTGCTAAACTGTTCAAGGGAAAGGTATGTTGAGATCATTCTTTTAGTTTCATTTTTGCAGTAACCTGGTGATGTGCATGTTCTGTCTCTGTCTCTGTCTCGATATTGCATTAACAAGAAAATGCTGTTTTATAACTTCCTGAGTGTTTTAGAAGTTTGTCTGTTTACATATATGTGTATGCTGCAGCTCATTTGTGTATATGTCGATATGGAAAATGAAGATGTTGGGAAGCCTGTCTCTGACTATTTTGGTATCACAACTTCCCCCAAGGTAATACATTCCATTCTACTGCCGTTCCAAAAGAGTCTTCTCAAATTTTCTTGTTTCTTCTGGTATGCCAATGTTACGGTTTTGCATGCTTGCTGAACTCCATTTGTTTCTTGTTCTTTTCAATAGCTTATTGGATACACTGGCAATGAAGATACAAAGAAATTCATATTCGACAAGGAAATTACTGTGGATAATATTAAGGTTTGAACTCTCACTCTCGATATTGAATTTCTGAGGATTTATCACTTTCCAATTGGTTGCTTCACCCCCTCCCCGGGCATAACATGTCCATCTAAAATTGAACTCCATAAACTCACACCATGGTGTTTCTCTCCTCAGGCTTTTGGACAGGACTTCATTGATGACAAGCTCAAACCATTTTTCAAGTCTGACCCAATTCCAGAAAATGTATGTTGTTAATCTTCTTCCCATATTTCCTTTGTGCTACTACATTGTTGGTAATAACTTCTTTTGACAATAATGTTGTTTTAGAATGATGGAGATGTCAAAATAGTGGTTGGGGATAACTTCGATGAAATCGTTTTGGACGAGTCAAAAGATGTTTTCCTTGAGGTATTGCTCCACATATCCCATACGAAGGACATACATTATTAGCTTTCAAAACTTCCTTCTGTCCTATGCTGCTTACTGATTATTGTGCAATTACATTCATCACGACACCAGATCTATGCACCTTGGTGTGGTCATTGCCAAGCTTTGGAGCCAACCTACAACAAACTTGCTAAACATTTGCGTGGCATCGACTCAATCGTCATAGCCAAGATGGACGGAACAACGAACGAACATCCCAGGGCAAAGGTAAATTTCACTTCGATCCATCTAGGCTCAAGCAAGTTTCTTATACTCGATTAAGAATGTTTTAAGGACTGAAAATCTGCTCTTGGTCTTTATAATCCCTTGCAGTCTGATGGTTTCCCCACGCTTCTTTTCTTCCCTGCCGGAAACAAGAGCTTCGATCCGGTATGTGAACTTAAACATTATGCTTCCATTTCTTAAAACTTCTCTGAATCACCACAGCTGGCAGACAATCATCATGACGCATGAGAAAACGTTTCTGTGGCATTAACAGATAACTGTAGACACAGACAGAACTGTGGTAGCGTTTTACAAGTTCATCAAGAAACGCGCATCGATCCCCTTCAAGCTTCAGAAGCCAGCTTCTACAACGAAGCCAGCATCCGAATCCGAGACTGAAGTTCAGGAAACCAGCAGCAGCACAAAGGACGCAAAGGACGAATTGTGAGGAGGTGGAAACTTGTACCGACTATCGAATACACCAGTGTTTCCTTAATTTATGTATCTGTGCCATCAGTGTAGGCTAAAAGAGGAAGAGTAGTATACAGAACCTGTGAAGAAAGCAAGCAATCCAATTGTGCCGCAGACATAGTCAAACTCTGTTCAGGGCCCAAGATGGAAGCGAAGAAAGATTCGAAAAGTGGAAACTTACCGACAGACATTCGAGTTTTGGTTTCTCCTTCCAAGTTTTTGTTCTTCTCAATCCAGTGCTTCATAGTGTGTAAACTGTTTAATGATCGTGTTATGCATCTTGGTACGTAACTAAATTAGAAGATGAAGTTAGTATTGTTAGGTTTGAAGACTGAAACAAGGAACAGCAGCTAATACATTTGCCAATCCTAAGCAAGTTTGCAGGTTGAAATCAAATATGGATGAAGCAGAAATGGGTTTTGGAGATTAGGATCTTTTCTAATCCAATCAAAGCCATTGATATTACTGGAATATTGTTAAGTCTGTTGTTTCAACTTACTATCTCAGGTTCCATCAGTTTGCAGCAGCATGGCTTATAAGTGGTCGCATTCTTTCCCATCACCGAATTTGATGAGGCTAGCATATAGATACAAAGGAAATGAACTTATTAATCTTTTATCAGCAGGTAATTTCAACAAATTTACTTTAGATCTATCCTTATGGTTTGCCAATCTAACTATGAACCATCACCTGGCTGCAAATGACTTCAGGTTTCTGACATGGCTGCTTCCCTACAGAAAGGCAAGATCCACATCCTTAGCTAATAGCTTCCCAATTTCAAGATGGCATCAACACAATTATATATATCAGCACCTGATGAAAGTAACTTCACTTCCTATGTACTGCTGCTTGGCACTGTTATATTCGATGGGGAGATTTGTATATCCCGTAGCTTAGGCAGCACACTAGTACTGTCTCCCATTTGTGTTTGTATTCTAATCACAATTGCATGTTCATTGAGTGGGGTTTGCAACAGATCAGATTAAAATGCTAACCCCCTCGTGTGGGTGTAATAGAATATTGGATCTGCAATCCACAACAATCATCAGTGATGAGATTCCTTCTGCCTCCCCCACGTCTTCTCCATAATAAACTACTGCATTCTGCATTTTTCTTTGCACGCTGCATGTATGGAACAGAGCCACGTATATGGAAATGCAAAGGCTTGCAATAAAGAAATGGTTGGTTTGTCTTATTTTGCAGCAGTCCCCCAGGAACAACTAATGTGGCATCTTATTAGAGATGCCTTGTGCCCTATGCTGCTTACACAGCAAACACCAAGGCTCTGTTGACATAGAAGAGAGATGGGCAAAGAGCATTTTAAATGGGGGAAGCGAAAAGTATGGATCTTGGCCACCCTATGACTCATCCACTGCTTCAGAGCTCCATGCCCAATGAGTTGGGTGACTTGGTAGGCAAGGGACATTGCAGAGACACAATGCCGGTAAGTGTGGTGGATGCAAGTTTGAAATCATAAGCTGAATAATATCACATTTGCACATGGAAAGATAATGGCTTTGATTCCTCTTGTCTCTTTGTGTCCCTTAGCCTGACTCACTACTCTCACCATCTATATAAACAAGCTCTGGATTCCAAGGAAGGCATTGCAAACCATCTCTCTTCAACTTATAAACCCTTCCCCCAATCTTCTCATTTCAAGAAAAAAAATGGCAGCAGCTTCTTTCCATGCTCGCTCCAACAGTTTGCCTGCTAGATCACACCCACTGGTCTCAGAAATCGATGAGCAAGTTTGCAGGTTGAGACAGTCTCAAGCTGCTTCCACATCTTCATCGTCGTCCATAGGCCACAACTTGAACAGCCTTCAGGGTGTTTATGATTGTGTTGACCAGATGTTCCAACTGCCAGCAACTCAACAAACCCTGATCAATGACCAGAAGAGCTTCAATGAGCTGTTGGATGGGTCTCTAAGGCTCTTGGACTTGTGCAGCACTGCCAAGGATGGTTTGTCCCAGATGAGAGAGTCTGTGGCTGAACTTCAATCCGCTATTCGCAGAAAGCAAGGAGGTTTGGAAGGAGAAACCAGAAGATACCTGAAATCTAGGAAGTCTGTTATGAAAACAATCCATAAGGTCTTGAAAGGTGTGGAAAACAAGAAATCCACTCCATCCAACAACTTTGAGACGATCTTCATGCTAAAGGAAGCTGAATCTGTTGTTGTTGAGGTTTTGGAGTGCTTGTTGACATTCATTTCTCAATCAAGCTCAAAGCCAAGCAGCTGGTCATTGATTTCCAAGCTGAAAAAGGTCTCCCCGGCAAGTGAGAATGAATTTGCAGACGTGGATGCCTCTTTGAAGATGAACAAATCTAGTGAGGAGGTCCAAGTTCACCTGAAGAACTTGCAGCCGTGCATTCAAGATCTTGAGGAAGGAGTTGAGAGCCTCTTTAGGCGCTTGATCAAAACAAGAGCCTCCATTCTCAATATCGACAATCTGTAGTTACATAGTCCAAACAATATTTGTACAAGTTGTATAGAAAAATTGATACTCAAATCTATAAATATACATGGTCCCCAAGTTCCCAGAAATTTATGTCTCTTTTGATTCATTGCTCTATCTACCAGCCTGCAATTTTTGTCCTTTTAATTACCATCTGGTTGTAGGACAAAATAACTGGTAAAGTAGCTCATGGGGTCATTCAGATAGGTCAGGTTATTCAGAGCTGATGAAAATGAAAGAGGAACCACGATCACATGGAAGACTGACTACACCAGATTAAATATTGCAGAAATGAGTAATCATCACACGTCCAAAGGCAATAATGAACACGTTGAGAAGCCATATTAAGTGGATCTTGCCTTCCATTGGTAACGAACTCATATTAAACCAGAACAACCATAATCTTCTGCTATTGTAATTTCACTTTCACCATTTCTACTTGTCTTTAGTTCTGCTATTTGTCGGGAGACGAGCAATGATTCCAGACCAGGAAGCTAGAGTTCCTTCAGTTTCAATAAAATCTCCTTTTGAAGCACTACAAACATATAAGAACTGAACAGAACTGCCAAAAATCTTGCCTTGGATCCAATAGAAGCTCAAATTCATGACGAACAACAAACTTGGCTCCGGAAATAGCCATAGTTGAACTGCAATTATCTGCAGTTAGCCACCTGTGAATTACTGATTAACACTTCAAATCCAATTGGCTCTCTTACAGCCAAAATCATTGATTAAATTAATCAACCCCCATGATTGCTAATTATATGGATCCTCTCTCTCATCTATTGATCTCAAATGCACGAGTATATTTGGATCTAACCAACTGAATATCTTCTCAGCGGTATTAATTGCAATGTCTCCAGCCAACCCAGCAATCCAGCTAATTTGCCAACTTATTCTAATCCTGTTACACGAGTGGGTTGTGTTTGGAATGATATGTAAAGATCAAACATGGATGAAGCAAAAATGGGTTTTGGAGATTAGGATTTTTTCTAATCTAACCAACCACCATTACTGTATCTATTTTTTAATGCAATCAAAGCCATTGATATTACTGGGAACATGTTAGTCTGTTGCTTCAAGTTATTTACCTCGAGTTCCATCAGTTTGCAGCAGCATGGCTTATAAGCTTTTCTCCCAAGACTTACAAACTGCCAAGTGAAAGTTACCTTCACTTCCAATGAATTGCTGCTTGCCACTGCTTTATATTTGATGGTGAGATTTGGAGATCCCGTAGCTTAGGCAGCACGCAACTAGCTTATCATATTTGATTAACGCTGCAAAAGTGACAGCAGCTCTCTTACATTGCAGAGGAAGCTAAGCTAATCTCATTTGGATCCTCGTGTGATGTAATATAATATTGGATCTGCAGATCCCCCACAATCCATTAGTGATGAGATTCCTTCTGCCTCCCCAACCCTCTCCTCCATAATAAACTACTGCATGTATGGAAATAGAGCCACGTATATGTAAATGAGAGTGCTTACAATAAAGAAATTGTTGGATTGTCTGATTCTGCAGCTGTCCCTGAAGAACAACTAATGTGGCAGCTTATTAGAGATGCCTTGTGCCATATGCTGCTTACACAGCAAAACCAGGGTTCTGCTAACATAGAAGAGAGATGGGCAATACATATTTTAAATGGGGAAGGGAAAAGTATGGATCTTGGCCACCCTATGACTCATCCACTGCTTCAAAGCTCCATGCCCAATGAGTTGGGTGACTTGGTAGGCAAGGGACATTGCAGAGACACAATGCCGGTAAGTGTGGTGGATGCAAGTTTGAAATCATAAGCTGAATAATATCACATTTGCACATGGAAAGATAATGGCTTTGATTCCTCTTGTCTCTTTGTGTCCCTTAGCCTGACTCACTACTCTCACCATCTATATAAACAAGCTCTGGATTCCAAGGAAGGCATTGCAAACCATCTCTCTTCAACTTATAAACCCTTCCCTCAATCTTCTCATTTCAAGAAGAAAAAAAATGGCAGCAGCTTCTTTCCATGCTCGCTCCAACAGTTTGCCTGCTAGATCACACCCACTGGTCTCAGAAATCGATGAGCAAGTTTGCAGGTTGAGACAGTCTCAAGCTGCTTCCACATCTTCATCGTCGTCCATAGGCCACAACTTGAACAGCCTTCAGGGTGTTTATGATTGTGTTGACCAGATGTTCCAACTGCCAGCAACTCAACAAGCCCTGATCAATGACCAGAAGAGCTTCAATGAGCTGTTGGATGGGTCTCTAAGGCTCTTGGACTTGTGCAGCACTGCCAAGGATGGTTTGTCCCAGATGAGAGAGTCTGTGGCTGAACTTCAATCCGCTATTCGCAGAAAGCAAGGTGGTTTGGAAGGAGAAACCAGAAGGTACCTGAAATCTAGAAAGACTGTTATCAAAGCAATCCAGAAGGTATTGAAGGGTATGGAAAACAAGAAATCCACTTCATCCAACAACGTCGAGACGATCGCCATGCTAAAGGAAGCTGAATCTGCTGTTGTTGAGGTTCTGGAGTGCTTGTTGACATTCATTTCTCAATCAAGCTCAAAGCCAAGCAGCTGGTCATTGATTTCCAAGCTGAAAAGGGTCTCCTCGGCAAGTGAGAATGAATTTGCAGATGTGGATGCCTCTCTGAAGACGAACAAATCTGGTGAGGAGATCCAAGTTCACCTGAAGAACTTGCAGCCGTGCATTCAAGATCTTGAGGAAGGAGTTGAGAGCCTCTTTAGGCGTCTGATCAAAACAAGAGCCTCCATTCTCAACATCCACAATCTGTAGTTACATACTCAAAACAATACTTTGTACAAGTTGTATAGAAAACTTTGATACTCAAATCTATAAATATACATGGTCCCCAAGTTCCTAGAAATATATCTCTTTTGATTCATTGCTTTGTCTACCAGTCTGCACTTCTTGCCCATTTTAATTACCACAAAATAACAGTGAAAGCAGCTCGTGGGATCATTTCACATAGGAAAGGTAAATAAGATCGAGCTGATGAAAATTTAAAGAGGAACCATAATCACATGGAAGACTGACTAAACCAGATTAATTATTGCAGAAATGAGTACTCGTCACACGCCCAAAGGCAATAATGAACACGTTGAGAAACCATATTAAGTGGATCTTGCCTTCCAATGGTTCTCTTACAGCCAAATCATTGATTAAATGAATCAACCTCCCACGATTGCAGAGAAAGCTCAAATCTAATTGTATGGGATCCTGTCTCCCATTTATCGATCTCAAATGCATGAGTGGGTTTTAATCTAACCAACTGCATATCTTCTCAGCGGTATTTACTGCAGTGTCTCCTGTCAACTCAGCACTCCAGCTAATTTCCAAACTTAGTTTAATCATGTTGCACGAGTGGGTTGTGTTTGAAATGATATGAAAAGATCAAATATGGATGAAACAGAAATGGGGTTTGGAGATTAGTATCTTTTCTAATCTAACCAACCACCTTTACTCTATCTATTTTCCAATCCAGCCCAATCAGAAAATATGCTAGTCTGCTGGTTCAATTGATTGATTTACCTCAAGTTTCATCAGCTTCCAGCAGCATGGCTTATAAGTAGTCACATTCTTTCCCATCACTGCAGTTTGATGAAATTAGTGTGTAGACACAAAGGAAATGACCTTGTTAATCTTTTCTCAGCAGGTAATTAATTTCAACAAATTACTTTAGATCTATTGTTATTGTTTTCTGACATGGCTGCTTCCTTACAGAAAGGCAAGATCCACATCCTTAGCTAATAGCTTCCCAATTTCATAATGCCATCAATACAATTATATATATATCAGCAAGCTAACCGTGCAAAAGATTCCATTGAGTTCCTAACCAAGGGACACACCAGCTCAGCTACCAATGTCTAGGAATCCTGACAGCTCGCCTTTCACGAACGTTGTCAATCTCGAGTTTACCTGCAATAGAGTCACACCAGGAACATGTTTAGAACTTGTTCACCTGGGTAGTTGTAATTTTCTGCATTTTTCAGAATAACCGCACTCACCTGGCTTTTTTACCATTGTCGAAACTGAGATGAAATGGAAGAAAGTATAAACAGGACACAGAATGTACTTGACAAAGTTGTTTAGTCCAAAAAGGACTTTGTCTATCACAAGATTGTTGTACATACACAAAGAGTATTCTTTTTTACATGTTCTATTGGTCTAGTTGAAGATGTTAAAGAAGGGAGACTCTAGTTTTGATCATCCTTCTGCAGAGGCACTCAAGAGTTCATGCAATGTCCCTTGCCTACTGGCTCCCCCGCAGCTCATATGGCAAAGAGTATTTCTTTTTTTACTGAAAGGCTTCTGCTAACACAGAATAGAGATGGGCAATGGACATTTTCCAAATGGGGAGAAGGCTAAAACTATGGAATCATGACCTACCTTCATGGCTCATCCACTGCCCATTGATCAAACAATTGTAACACAGTGTCATTGCAGAGAGACACACTGTCGGTTTTTTTGCGTTTGGATCTAAACTCCAAAACCATAATTCTCTCTGTTGTTCCTCCACCTGCCTCTTTGGCCTCCGCACTAACGAGCAAAAAAAAAAACCCATCAAAATAACTGCAACTAATCTGGCTTTCCATAAACAGCAGAGAAGAACCCATTAATGAGAACTGCTCGATCCAATTCAAAGTAAGCTAGGTAAGCCGTAATCTTTACTTGTCCTCGCTCTACTTGAACACTGTGATTCTGTGCAACGGCAACTGTACACTGTGATTCAGTTTAATATCTGACACGTGGGCCAATGGCCCACACGATATTAAATTAATATTTTTAGGGGGAGAAAGCCCACTACTAGAGCTTGCTTCAGGGGCCTTCTCGCGGATCGTCCTTGCGTCGAACTATTTCATGGGCCTGGCCCACCCCACCAATAACAGTCCAGTACTTTTCTCGGTCCGCTTCTTGTTCAGGATAGCCTTTCAATCCTGCTAATCAGCCGACGCCGTACATCGCGTTTCTTAATCATTAAGTTGGCCACGTAGAACTCGACATAATATCATTTTCGGCCCCATAATTATCCTCATAATTGCATCAATTAATTGCCCATCCCATTCTTCCTATTTCGTGGCTCAACTAAATTCTTTTATTTATTAAATTCCGCCAAATTCCGGTCTTTTCTGAAAGAAAGCCGAAAAACTACAGTATCCTTTCTCAGATCTGTGAGTTTTTCAACAATGGCGACCAAGTCATCGCTTCTTCTAGTCTTCCTCCTCCTCCTCGGCTCCCTCTCACTCAGCGCCACCACCGCACAGACTCCCAATCCATCAACCCCGGCCGACTCCGACTCCAATTCTCCTTCTCCTACTCCATCTCCCGAATCCGGATCTCCATCCCCCGTTTCCAACTCGCCTCCTGCGCCTCCTCCCTCAGATCTACACTCCCCTGCCCCGAGTCCGGCTCCGTCTGATGAAACCTCCCCGGCGCCTTCTCCTCCGGAAGCTGTGGACGGTAACAAGAGCGGCGACGCGATGGCGACGGAGGACGGCGAGATCGCGAATTCCTCCGGGATGAGCGGCGGGAAGAAGGCGGGAATCGCGGTGGGGCTGGTGGCGGCGGTGTGCGTCGTCGGATTCGCCGGGATGGTCTACCGCAAAAGGCAGCAGAATTTGACGCGGGCGCAGTACGGCAACGCCGCCAGGGCGGATCTCCTGTGAAACCGCCACCTGGAAACCGCGGCTGCACGGTTCACTCCCACCGCCGGTAAATACGGGATTTTTTTTTTACCACTGTTAAAAGAAAAGAGAAAGAAAAAAAATGAAAATAGAAAGATGTGGTTTATATAGTAATAATTGATTGATATTATGATAATTTTTTATTACGATTTGATTCGTAATTTTGGTTTGATTGCATTATATTTGATCTTGTATTGTTTATTTACGGTATGGTTTTTTGATTATTCACCTCGATCCTTATCTTGGGCCTGTAGAGTTTAATTGTTGTCTATGCTACTCTACTGTCACCGAGGCCCAAGCCCAATTACATTCCCACGAACGGATAACGTGTGAGCCCGATTGACCAAATACCTTGAAAACATCGGAAAAGTCCAGCAGCCCGTTTGGGCCGAATTGGACCGGAAAACACGTCGACAATTTCTTTGGTAAAACCTAACTCGTAAACGGAAACGAACCCACGTTCGACCTGCCGGGGACTTTCCTCCTCTCTTCCCTTCAGTTTCCCGCGTCGGCCGGCGCTGGTTATATAAATACCGCCCAATCCCAAAAAACTTCATCCATCGATCTCTTCATAGTTCAATTCAATTCCCTTCTCCCCGAAAATCAGCATTCAATTTTCCCAATGGCGACACGGACGCTCGAATTCACAATCCTCTCCGCGGAGGATCTCCGGCTCGACGGCGGGAGGCCGGTCAGGAAGAACACCTTCGCCGTCGTGAGAACCGACCCGTCGAATTGCGTGTCAACCGGGACAGATTCCGACGGCGGGAGCTACCCGATTTGGAACGAGAAGGTCGTAGTCGCGATGTCGATGGCGGCGACTAGTTCGGTGACGGTGGAAGTGCAGTGCCGGGTCGGGTCGGGGAACAGAGTCGTCGGGGCGGTGGCGGTCCCGGTTTCCGATTTCTTGGGGGACCTGACGCCGGAGGATTACCTGCATTTTTTGAGCTACCGGCTGCGGGACCCGCGAGGGGTTAAGAACGGGATCGTCAATTTCTCGGTTAGGGTTATCGGCGGCGGCGGAGGAAGGGGAGGTAGTTGTTCGGCGGCAGCGAGGAAGGAGATAGTGGGGGCGGGGTTCGGCGGCTGTTCCACGTACTCTCCTTCGTGGGGCGCGCCACCGTCTTCGTCATGGAGAATGCAGGTGGGAGTGCCGGTGGTGGGCGGCCGGAGCAATTACGGTGGCGGCGGAGTGGTCACCGGCGTTCCTGTTTGGGGCTCGTCCCGCGCTTGAGTTCATGTTCGTTGCTGATTGGCAATCAGCGGGGTTCCGATTGTATAGTGATAGATAATTAACACAGAGAGAGTAAATACTTTTTGTTAAACGGATGGAAGGTTGATCATTATCCAAGTGGGTTCAAAATTTGAGTGATATATACTCTTCTCTAGTTTTAATTTCGCTTTGTCTTAAAATCCAACTAAATGTCCACAGAGATGGATCATGGATGTTAACTTTGTAAGTATCTTATTAAAGGAGTTTTGCATATGTCGCACCTCGGGCTCCTCGTATCTCGCACCAGTTTTTCGCTGATGGTTCTTACTTGTTCTCTCGGGGATCGCTTCACGAATGCGAAAACTTGATTCTGGTGCTAAACGAGTATGGGGAACTTAGTGGACAGCGGGTTAATTTGGAGAAGTCAGCGGTTTGCTTTAGTCGAAATATTATCCTTCCGGATCAGGAGTTCCTCGCCCAAATCCTCGGGGTGGGGGCAGTGGGGGTCCATAATAAATATCTAGGCATGCCTACCCTGATAGCCCGATCGAAAATGGATACGTTTAGATACTTGGAGGAAAAGCTCCTGGCTCGTCTTCAGGGATGGAAACAGAGGACTTTATTTTGGGCAGTGATAGGGCAAAAGCGTATAGCTTCAATTCCTATCTCGTAGTAAACCGGAAGTCCGGGTATCGTCTCTCAGGGACTGGTACAACCTTAAGTTCTATCAATTTTTATTGAGCAAACTATATGTGAAAATGTTTAATGAGATGAAACTATGATCTACTAGCAAAGTAATTAAACAAAACAAGCAAATTAAAATGTCGGGTTTAATTCAAGGGGAGAAAGCTCTGGGAGAAACATCGGGATTCACTACCTATCCTATCCAGATTAATTCACATATTCTAATCAGTTTAATCCAACTCTCTACAGCCAAGATATCACGAATGTGCTAGCTATCCCTGTCGGGAATTACTACGTACTAAATAATCAATTCAAATCCTACTGTCGTAGCTCAATGACTTAATTATTTAGCCTGAAGATCGATATCCTATTTAAGACCGCATAGCACCTTATTTAATCCACTGTCGCTTCGATAAGTTACTGTGTCACATGAAATAGGTTCAGTTAATAGGGTTTCACTGTCGCTAATAACCTAATTAACTACAAATCGTTGTATTGGTGGCCAGTCAACACAAAGCATTAAGCAATTCCATGCAATAGAGATTGGAAGAAAAGAATCATAAATCAATCCATCAAATCAAGCAATAGCTACATCCTATGGTATTTCCCCCAGAAATCGGGGTTTAGTTCATGACGAAAATAAAACACACAATTATGTTCATAATCATCATCGTATTAATCGAGGAAAGAAAATACTGATTTTGAATTATGACGGCGATCAGCTCGTGCCAAGCTCCTCCTTCGCTGCGATGCTGCTCGCTCTCCACTTAATTCCGCTCCTCCTCTTCTCCTCCTAATAATTCCGCTGCTGCTCTGTTAATTGCCAATCCCCTTTCTTTTTTCTCCGCTGCGCCTCTCCGTCCAAAGAATTCGCTGCCCAGGAGAATTAAAGTGCCGCCTCCCTTCTCACTAATTCCGTTCCCCTTTTATTTCTTCCACCCTACAATAATTGCCTCGCCTCCAATTTTATTCTAATTCCCCCCTTGTGCCTTTTCTTTAAAGAATTCCGCCCAAAAAACCCACACCAGAGAAGAATTTGCTTCCGTCCACAAAATAGTCCCCAGGCCCATGATTATGTGTCCCCATCCAGCTGGGCTTTAAGCCCAGCATTCGAGAATTGTTTGCCGGTGCAACTTCTTTTTCGTGTTTTCTTCACCTGTAATACATCAAACTCATGGCACTAGGCAGTCATGGTTTTTCAACCATTCTCGGGTTAGCGAGCCCTAAAATAGTACCAATTGGCTAAAACATACCATGGATAATCGCATAAAGTCCAAGAATTCAATATGTTAAAGCCGATTATCAGGCAGCAAAAGAGACCCTGATCAAATCAGTAGCTCTGGCCCTGCCCCTGCATGTTATGTCATGTTTTCGTCTTCCTCTTTCGCTGTGCCGCCTTTTGGATAGACATGTGGCCAGATTTTGGTGGGGAGTGGAGAATGGGCAATCTAAAATCCGATGGATGTCCTGGCGAAACATGTGCAGAAGTAAGCATGATGGGGGGATGGGCTTTCGCCGGTTTGAGCATTTTAACCAACCGCTACTGGCTAAGATTGGCTGGCGAATCCTTAATGATCCCACCTCCCTTCTTGCCCAGGTTTATAAGGTAAAAACTTCCCCAGGGGTGATTTCCTGAAGGCTACGGCACGCTCTCGCCCTTCTTGGGGCTGGCAAAGCATTCATTTTGGTCGTCAATTATTATTGAAAGGGCTCCGTTGGCAAATTGGAAATGGTCAAGGTGTCCCTCTGCTGGAGACAAGTTGGATTCCCCGGTTGCACTCGGAAAATCCGGTCCCTAATCCGAGGGTCTTGCCTAGTGGGGGCAACCCGGTGGTGGCTGACTTAATGGTCTTAGGGGAAGGGCGTTGGTGCGACGAGATGCTGAATCAATGGTTTGATCCTCCTACCTGTCGGGCGATAAAAGAGATTCCACTTCCTCGTGGGAATGTTGAGGATCGGTTGATCTGGCATATGACGGCTGATGGGGTTTTCACGGTGAAGTTCGCTTATCATTTGGCTGTTCTATTAGATAAAAAAGAAGGCCATTGGCGATCAATGGCCAGTTGGATGGATAGATCAAGCTGGATTAGAGTCTGGAATGCTCCTATTCCCCCTAAGCTGCGTATTTTTCTCTGGCAAATTTTAAATCGCCTCCTTCCCACGACAGAAGCGCTTATTGAAAAGGAGGTCCCAGTCCATCCCCGGTGCCCGGTTTGCTGGGCTGAGTCGGAGACAATGGAGCATATGTTCCTAGATTGTCCAGTGGCTCGGGCTATGTGGGATTATACGGGGTTGGAATACCTTGGCCAAGGCCTACCTAGGCAGACTTTTCCCTTGTTCCTGAAAAGGCTGATGATGTGTGTCCATCACCCCCATTTGCTGATGGCAGTGGTTGCTGTTTTATGGCGGATCTGGAGATCTCGTAATTGGGTTGTTTTTTAGGGCAAGCAGTTTGGGATCCCAGCTCTTTTGCGCCAATTTAATCAGCAGTATCAGGAGTGGATAAACCTGCCGGGGGATAGTTCTCAGCCGCGGCCCCAAGCTAGTGCTCGCTCGATGCTGGGAGCGGTCAATGATGGGTCATTCATTTGTCACTGGGATGGCGCTACCAGACATGGCTCTCATGCGGCGGGTGGGATGGTTATACGGTCTCCAGATGGACTTGTGATAGGAGCTCGGGGTGTTCAGTTTGGTGGCACGGATGACCCTTTGGTTGCTGAGATGCTCACGCTCCGCGATGTTATTCATTGGTGTACTGAGGCGGGCTTGACGGCTGTACGGTTTGAAGGGGATGCTCAGGTGATTGTTGAAAAGCTTACCAGCTTCGAGGTCCGTGACAGCCGGATTGGTGCTCTGCTCGATGAGGTTCTGCATTGTTTATCTAACCATCAAGGGTTTAGTGTTCGATTTGTAGGTCGGCGTAATAATAGGGTAGCCCACTTGGTGGCTCGAAAGGCCCTTCTCTTGTACCCGTCTGCAAGTCGGTTCTTTGATTTTTTTGTCTGGCTCAATTCCAGGATGTAACTGCCTTTTTTCTTATCAATATAAGATTAGCTTTTGTAAATTTTTTTTTTTTTTTTTTTTGCATATTAAGCTCAATTGACTAAACAAAGACATTAATGTAACTATTGGAGAGTACACAAATATTTTAGATTGTTGACAGTTAATTCGATTACCGTGTGTTGGCTAAGGTGTAGCCGTTGGTGCATTCAAATATTATGGATCAAGAGACGCATAGTTAAATGGTTTAGGCACATTTTTATGCTTATCTAAACACTAGCCAAGTTATTTTGGTGTATGTAGAATTAGTTAACAAAAGATAAGAGTTGAGTTGGAGATCAAGGGATTAACTATAGGTCTAACCTTCTTGATATATGACCTTGAATGGAGCACAAGTGTTTCAGGGTTGAAGTATTGAATACAAGCGCGCCATGCTAACCGATCATCAACGAAGACCCATAACATTTATGGTTCGAAAGAGAATCCCTCTCTAACGGGATTAAAAACAAGTCCAGATGTTTCCCTCGTTTTATTTAGGTGGAAAAAGATTGTCATGAAATTTTTTGATTGTGATACATCAAATTCAGAAGAAAGTGTTCTATTACATGGATGGGAATGCTTAGGGCGATCCAAAAAAGTGAGAGGAGGATGAATGAGATCATTCTTAAATGGATGTGTATGTCTTGTGGGATGTGTCTTGAGCTCGGTAATAGGTTGTGTGCGATGTATTATTCCTGTTTTCTTTTTTATTTTGTACGAGTAAGAGACAAGCAACCTTTAAGTATGGATTGTAATAATGAACAAAAACATACATGAGTATTAAATTCGATTATTCGATGCAGAATACCTCATTTTAGAAATGCTTCATCCAAATAGACTATAAGAAGTATTTCATTAAGTAGTAGTCATTAACAACTGTGAAAACGAATTAGGAATAGGAACCTGAAAATGGAATCTATAACTCTATACAAGAATGGAAGTCGTCCATATCGATACTCTATTCCGGAGTCATTAACAACTGTTTAATGAACTCGTAATTTCGTTACCAAAATGATGATTCTGTTAAGCAACTCCTGCGAATTAGAGCACGTATGAAATTGGGAACAAATAAACCTTTCTTTCCCGAACAAACCAAAAAAGAGTATCCGTTAGGTGGCACGAATGAGAAGCACGACCATGACGAAGATGCAAATCATGGCGAAGAGGAGAAGCCAGGTGAGGCATGAGGTCTTGGAGCTTTGAGAGACGACTTGCGCAGCCCGGACATTAGCATGGCCTGTGGTAGCCAAGCTTTGCTCGATTGCTTGCTCCGTCGAATCCAGTACCTGCACTTCCCAATCATTTTTTTCTTACTATCGTGTAGAGCAAGAAACTCCAAGCTCGTGAATACTGCAACGTTAGAAGAGAGAATGGTTCTCAAGCATATACCTTTTCAGCGCCCTGCACAGACTGATGCATCATTAGGCTGCTCTCTTTCAGTTGCCGTGCCAGGACAACCATTTCGTCTGTCAGGTCCTCCTGCAACTTTCTGTACGCAGCAGTAGAAAATATGAATGATTTTGGTTTCAGTTATAGAGAAGTTGCAGGAAGACAAGATCTAGGCCAGATGTGTCATCTGCTTTCTCAATGCTTCTAGCATGGACATGGTACAATGCGCAGCGAAAGGAATATTGGCGAAGCTTTATGTTTATAGAGGTTCTCCGAGTCATGCCTTACTGTTGAAGGCTTTCTTGCTTCTATTTAGACAGCCACATCCCAGTTAGGTACCAACTGAGAGTGGAATAGTAGTGACTAACCTGTGCTTTTCTATGTGCATGTGAGCTGCAGCATCCAGTTTCACTTGGGCTGTGGATGAATCCCCGTGAGCACTGTCGTGACTTCTGTCTTCAACGTTTGAGAGTTGCCTGTAGTTTAATGTGCAATGAGTCGATAACAGAACAAATGACAAGAAGCCATGCAATAGAAGTGAACAGAGAGAAGGGAAAAGAATACCAAGTAAGAGCTTGTGTAAATTGGGAAAAAAGAGAGCAATTTTTTCACTCACTTTCTCCTTCTCAAACCGGGGGAAGATGGAAGGCGATTTTCTTCCTCTACAGTAAGACTACCCCTGCTAGAACTAGCAATAGGCTCCGCTGGTGCCTTAATCTCAGGCTGAAATCAACAACAATGAATACAACTATTGTCAGTCTGAAGCACCTCCTCTAAAATTCATCCCGGTCCTTTTCATACGTCCATAATATAATTTCCAACACATGACAGGAGCTGATCTAAAATCAGGAAATAGCCTACTACATTTGTAGTTGTTTGGCATGAGGAGAATAATATTACTGCGGTGGAGCAAGAGTATACAGCATATATGCCAATAATTTCAAACGGGAACATCTTCATCTCCTATTAACTCACCAATGGTGCAGCCGCAAGTTTAGAAGCAATTGCTTCAATCCTGTCTGAATAATCATTTACCTTCGTCTTGGAAACCCTACACACATAGAATGACAGAAAACAAGTCTCAGAGATTAGCTCAGAAATAAGAGCCTACGTCCCATATAGCTGCCACTGGAATAACAATTCCCCGTAACTAGATGAGAATCAGGATCGACGTGAACCAAAATTTGGCAGTATCGAAGAAGAAGTAACAACTCGAAAAGTCGGACTAATTCATCCTCCAGTTTTTTCTATCATAACCCATCCAAATCCTCTGATTAAAAAAGCTTCACCAAAATAACTGAACCAACCATACTATACTGACCTAGGCAAACCATCTGGAGTTCTCTCTGCACCCAAATTCTCCAATTGTTCTCGCAGACTAGCAACATACTGCAAGAAAGCTACACCATATTCATCAATTCTTCATTCTCAAACGTACAATTAGTGAAGAAACCATTCACTAAGAGATGATGAACAATTCGCATAAGGTCGGAGAGTTGCATCAGAACAACATACATGTACAAGTTTGGCTTGATTTTGCTGCCGCGGGGCAGCGTCGAGCAGCCTCCTCAAGTCTATCTCGGTTTTACTGATTCCCATTACCAATTCCTGCATCACCGATTCAAGCCCGGGAAACAGCGAAAAGACATGAATGAATCTACTCTAAGATCACAGTATCCAAATCGAGAGAGAGAGAGAGAGAGAGAGAGAGAGAGAGAGAGAACAAGCAAATTAGTGCCCAATCCGCTTTGTGACCGTAATTAACAGAATGGAGATCGTAGCGAGTGGGATTCCGTTCTTGTAGGATCAAACAGCAGTAAATTCGACAGAGGTCAGAGCGAGGAGGACAAACTTGGTGAGAATTACGGTCTCCGGTCGGGGCGTGATCGGCGGCGAGCCGGTGAGAAGACGGAAAACTGAAAGCCCGGTGGCGACGACGATGTTCGGGGGATACAGAAACGAGCGGTGGTTCTTCTACAAATCAGTCGTGTTTCTAGCTCGTCTTTCCTTATAAATGGTGTCTTTCTTACCTACTGGTACCTGAAGTTTCATCTTGGTGAATAATTGGCCACAATCTTCCTAACTTCGGGCTAATTTTAAGCACAGTCACAAAACTTTGCTCTTATAGACAAAATGGCCACAATCTTCCCAAGTTGAGGGTCAAATTATATGAAATGTGTAAAATACTAAATGAAGTTAAGATTACAACAGGAATTCAAAGAAGAAAGCTTTCTTACATTGTCCAGGAAAAAGCTCTCTCCTTTCTCATAAATCCATTCTCATTTCCCACCACAGGTCACACAGATAAGAGAGACATTAAATGATCTGTGTAGCCCTTGCATTTACATCTACACTACAACTGTAAAGGCCTAAAATAAGGATGAAAAAGAAGCTCTTCTTCCCCTCCATCTCTTGATCATTGCTGTTTGTTTTATTCTTGGCCCCCAATCTCCCTAACCAACTGCAGTAGCAACAGTAGTTTTCGTTTTAACTTCACTCTTCCTTGGGAGGATCCACCCATCGTCCGTGTTCTTTGATCAGATCGATCAAAGCATCGGTGGCATGCTCCATCTGTATCGCTCTTCTCACCACATCCTGCAAATATCAGAACAGCAGCTCATTAGGCTCAAATTCAGATCCAGTGAGGATTCATAAGAAAGATAGGATGGAAGTTTGAGAGGAGAGAGAGAAGTGGTTGGCTGGCTACCTTGCCAACATAAAGGTCAATCTTTCCAGGAGCACCACCAACGTATCCGAAATCTGCATCAGCCATCTCTCCAGGTCCATTCACAATGCAACCCATGATTGCAATCTGTGTGAGAGAAAAAGAGATACAAACAGGCTTTTTTAGTTTCGCTGAATACTTCGGTCATAGTTGCGAAGACTGAGTAGACAAAGCAGTGATGAGTACCGAGACACCAGGTAAGTGTGAAGTCTTCTCGCGGATCTCTGCACTTATTTCTTGGAGATCAAACAATGTTCTACCACAGGATGGGCATGAAACGTACTCCTGAAGAAACCCACAAATATGGATATTTAGTTGAAAAGAAAAATAGAGTATTTAATGCCTAGTCATTTGGGGTTCAATAGTATGAAAAGAAAAAGAGAGTATTTAATGCCTGGTGATTTGGGGTTCAATAGTAAGATGAATTTTTTCTTACAGTTTTTGTGTTCCTCATTCTGCAACCTTGTAGTAAGTTGAAAGAAGTGTTCCTCAGGAAATCAAAGTCCTGGTCTGCTGCTTCGACAAGGATACCATCTCCTAAACCATCTACCAGAAGAGCTCCAGCATTTGCTCCGGCATGGATTACCAAGTCATCTCTGCAAATTAGTAAATAAATTAATCGCCTCAACTCAAAGTAAGAAACGTAATAGTTTATTTCCATCTCTCACACGACTGGCAGCATGAAAAGCTTGGTTTTTACCTGTGAACCCCAGATGGAAATTGGATATGGTGAATCACAGGGAAATCTAGAGCATTTTCTTGTAGGTACTCAAATAACCTGCAACAGCAGTATAGGAAAGTTCAAAGCGTCACAATTCAACTTGAAACCATGTTAACTCTGAACAAGCAAGCACTCCATTGTTGATTCTTCCAGAATTAATGCAAACGTTTACCTTCTAGCTGCCTGGACCCTGCCAACTCTATCCTCTCCATATGGTAGACCATGGAGGATCATTGTGGCATCAACCTCCTTTAAGATTTCCAATTCGTCATAAGACTCATCACCACGAACCGAGATGACCAATCTAGTGCCTGAGAGGTAAGTAACCATCACATCATGTTATCCACTTAATTAAATGAAACAAGAACAAACAGGGAAAGCTATGTCTATTCGGGTAAACAAGCATCTAAGCCAGCAGGAAAAAGGTTGCAATCACCTCCAGGCAAAAGCTTGTGTGCGCCAGAAGCCAACTCCTTAAGATTGACAAGCACCATTGCATTGGGTAGCGGCTTTGTCAGCTGCTCGGACAATGGGGTAATTACACCCATGCTGATATCTATCAACCTTTTGAGAGCCAGTCGCTGTTCAAGACAGCAGGATCAGAAGATCAGTTTACTCTAATATTTCCACAAGTAATTCCAAAAAGAAAAAACAGTAGAAACTCATATCACTAATAAGAAAGAGATCAGTAGCCTACAGCATCAACATCATCCACTGGAGGAAGTTCTCTCAACAAGATCGAGTCAACTGTGGCAAGATCCTGAATAGATAATATTCTTTGTCAGTAAATAGAAATGAAAAAAGAAACATAGGCTTCCATGAATTTTTCTTTGTCATAGATATGAACTTAGAATAATAACCTTGAAAGGCATTCCAACTATGAGCTTTGCGGCAAGCGACTTGTAAAGGAGTTCAGGTACCTGTTAAATTTTTACAAGTTGCTGCGTTAAAAATGGTCCTCCAAAGTGAGAGTTTGACTCTAAAAAGGTTACAGCTCTACAGGTGTTACCTTTAACTGGTCAAGGGAAACAGACATTAAAACAGACCCATCACGATGCAGGGCACCTCTGTAATCAACTTCCTCGCCCTGTAAGAATATTGAAGAGTCAGGTCTTTATCTGTTGAAGTATAAACAGAGAAATGACAAGACAATGCAAAGTGCAGTATCTAGAAAGTATGATTTCATTTATTTGGTGTGTCTTTTAGATTCTGTTACTGACCTCCTTCTGTACTGGCAATTGACCAGTTCGGCGCTGGAATTCAAAGTATCTCCTATGTTTTTCCTCGAATGGTTCCTTTAGAAATAGACCCCATTGAAAATCAGGTAGTGAGGGTTCTAATATCTGAGAAAAAAAGGAGACTCTATGTGATAGGTTCCTACCACTCCTTGCTGAAGTTCTGCAGCCTTCATACCGAGGTTGGCCAACCTTTTGCAAGGATCTATCTCCTTCTCTGGTGCTTCTGTAAGTGAAACTCTAATCGTATCGCCCAAACCATCCTGAACATTCAACATACCAATTAGAGATGCAATGAACCAAATTTGCTAGTGGAGTAAGAGAGTATCAGAACAGCTTGGATCGGTAATGTACCTGAAGAAGAGTCCCAATTCCAATAGCGGACTTCATCCTTCCATCCTCACCTTCTCCTGCTTCAGTGACACCCAAATGCAAAGGATAATCCCAACCCAGGGCATTCATTTCAGCAACAAGACGACGGTATGCCTGGACCATGATAACTGGGTTGCTTGCTTTCATTGAGAAAACAAAATTATGGAAGTCCAATTTTCTGCATATCCTTGCAAACTCAAATGCAGATTCTACCTGTTAAGAGCAAAGCAAATTAAGAATTGAGGCTGGACACTACATACGAACAGGAGACAAGCAAGATAAGCATTATAGGACAATCAGATGTGAAAAAGGAGATTCTTACCATTCCCTGTGGGGAATCACCATAGTAGCTCATTATACGATCAGAAAGACTTCCATGGTTTGTTCCGATACGCATTGCTCTACCATACTTCTTACATTTCTCCACCAATGGAGTAAAAACCTGATGCAGAGAAGTCCAAAGTGAGAACATAATCATAAGTGAATTAATGCTTATGAATGTAGACTAAGGATTGATTTGATACAGGAGTGGGTTTTACCTGCTCAATGTGCTCAAGTTCTTTCTGATAATCATCCTCTGTGTACTCCAGCTGCTCAAACTGAGCACGCCTATCAGCTTCAATCAACCACGCTTTGTTAGATTCAAAATATCCACTAAACATGAAGGTTTGTAAGAAAACAAGAAATACACATACCAAAATTTCCAGGGTTCACGCGAATCTTATCAAAACATTCAGCTATGCGCAATGCAACAGAGGGAGCAAAATGAATATCCGCCACAAGAGGTATATTGTAACTGCAAAAATAAATAAAGGCAGAATTAGCAAGAAGGTTGATCCAGAATACTGAGTTTCCCCAAAATAATTAAAGAGCAGATTTTTCTTTTTCTTTTCTTTTCAACTTACTTCTTCTGCACAAGAGTGTTCTTAATGTCAAAGCAGGCATCTGCTTCTCTCTTCCCTTGAACTGTTATTCTAACGATGTCAGCCCCTTGATCAGCAATTTTCATCACCTAACACATCAAAATTAAGTCAAGGATTTTGTACATCCCCAAATAACTTGACTTTATAATAAGTCTCAAGAAAGTGGGAAGGAAACACACCTGTTCAACAGTTGCAGCGACATCCTTAGTATCAGTAGTTGTCATGGTCTGAATCCTAATAGGATGATCACTTCCAAGCGGCACATTTCCAACCATCACTGTGCTGGTTTTCCTCCTAACAGTCTTGTTTACTGATTCACAGTATTTTCGCCTCGGAACTAGATTCAACCAAACAACCATCAATCGCACAACAAAAATTCGATCCAATCCCAAAGATTAACATATGATTAGTAGTATCACTTACCAAGCAAAGGGCTCCCCTCGGATGCAGGCTGAAGCTCAACAGTAGAGTTTTTGATCATGGAGATCTTTTTCCTACCGGACTTGATCCTCCTGACATCAGAGATCCTCACAAAGTCCATGTTCTTAGCAAACCCCAAGCTTGTGTCCCCAGTCTTGAGACCAGTAAACGATGCTGGCACAGCTCCCGTTGCCATTTCCACAGCCTTCACTCACTCTACAAATAACAATCACAAGTTCAATTCCGGAATACCCAATCAAAGGCCTCCTAACATCACATGGAAACACCAGAACCCAAGAGTGTGCTGGCGGAACGGATTGAAAGAGCCAATACCCAGATGACTTAGAGATTAAAGAACTGATCTTTTTACCTCAGGTGAACAGAATTTGGAGGTGGGAAGCCGGGAGAGCAAAAAATGGAAGAAGGGCCGGCCTGCACGAAAAGGGGGCAAGTTGTGGTGGTTGTGGGAGTTTCAGAGGCGTGTGTCTGGAATTGGCGATGAATGTGAGAGTGAGGGAATTCAGATTGCGAGCATTGTGGGGCTTTCAATTTGGATTATATATTTGGGGAAGCGAAAGCGAAACGGGAAGTGTAGTTGTGGATTTTGAGGAGGGAGGGATGAAGGAGAAGCTGACAAAATGGACTGCCAAGCATCTTCCTGCAGCATCAGCCGCTGGCTGGCCGTGGAAAACTAGGATATTCAATGGCTGCCCAAATATTTTATTGTTTCTCTCAATTTTTGGATTTTATGACGAAACTCGTCAACAATTCCCAAGCAAAGATTTGTGGATAATAATTTAATACTTGATCCTGTTCTTTTGGGTTCTCTTTCTTGAGCCATCCAAAATTACAAATGCAAAGAACAATCCACACCTTCTGCTGTCAAATTATGCTGCCAATTATTCGACAAAAATGGGGATCACAATGGAACTAAAATCATGCTAATTCTTGTTGTGAATGTTGAACAGTTCTTGATGGTTTGTTGTTGCAGATGCATATAACTATACATAACTACAATAGTCAAGCATGCTAATTGTTCATCTTGTTCTTCGACTATATATTACGATTTTAATGACTTCTTTCGCTTTGTAATCGATTGTCTATGGCTTCGGTATCGCAAAAGGGGCAGCTCAAGCGGTAATCTATTACTTAATTAGTAATTGGTGTCAGATTAGTGGCAATTGGCTGCTCAAAACACTCCCGCCACCTTCACCAACCTCTCCTCTCCCCAATCGGTTTGACTAGCAACTTGCATGGTCAAGAAATGTGGTCTCCCAAATATCTAACTAATCACTAGTCAATTCATTAATTAATAATTAAACCTATTCCAAACACACTAATCAAGGCTTACACTGTACATACAATTCAGTATTCAGCGTTATGTTAGTAGTATCCTATACTGTTCAATTTGTCGACCTATATATTTATTCATTTCTTCAACCCACTGTGGGTATCCTATACAGTATCCTATACTGTTCAGATTTCTGATTTTGTACAGCAAGATCTGGTTTGGTTCATGTCATGGGCCATTTCTTCGCCAAATGTCAGTTGGAATGTTTCGAGGAAGAAAATGTCTAACAACAGGGCATGCTACTCAATTCCCACATGCAACAAAGAGGACAACCAACATAGAATTGCAGCAGTAACATGCCACTTACATTCTGATATCTAGCGCGAAACCAATCTATAGAAAACCGTCTCAGGATCAAATCGCTGACATTAACGGTTCAAAAACCTAATAAACTCGTGTTGAAATCAATGATTAATCGACACGGACTTGAACTTCGATACACAGTTGACCTCCAAGATCCTTCCTCCATCAGCCGCAGCAGAAAGAGGATTGAATCACAATCACTCTTGCTTTAGATGGCAAACAAAAAAGTCTAAACATTCTACACCAAGAAGTTATGTGACAGCACAATCCACAGTCAGTAAGCACAACAGTGATATCTTTACTCGACAGAAGAATTGAGACTCTGTGCGTATACTCGCGAAAGGAGCCATTGGAACTGGATTTGAGATTTTTGTGAACCTCTCCCTTCCATTCAGTTGCTAGCCTGCTTCGTCCTCAGCCAGCGAATGCTTTTCGAGGATTGCAACCGTCTCTTCCATGGCGCTGCACCATAATAAAGACCATGAAGTCAATTAATGAATCAGTGGGCAATAACCCAGATTTAACAACTCTCTCCATCAACCAAGTGAGAAAGGATTATCCTTCATTAGAAACCATACAATACCTTCCAGGTCTAAGAATACAGAACTTCCCAACCCGGGTGAGATCTACAATCGTCGATCCTGCACGTCCAGATGGAAGGACACCACCATCATACACAGATGCACATTGCTGCCACAGGTCCTGAAAATCGTTGATGCAAACGCTACTTGACTGGCCACTCAGGTTAGCACTGGTCAGGGCTATCGCTCTTCCCAAACCCCGAGCTATCACCCTTATGAAGTTACAGTCAGGGACCCTGACACCAATGCTGTCCAATCCCGGGTTCAGAGACTTCTCAAGCACGCTCAAAGCTCCTGCAAAGAAAGAAGAGGCCCCATCAGAATCCCACACCAAAATCGAAGGAAATGAAGAATACAAGACACTAACCACCAACCTCGACTCAGTATAACAGTCACAGGCCCAGGAAGTAAGGAATCCAGTAAGCCAGAAGGCAGGTGGTCAGTGACTGCAAACCGCTCTATGTCTGATACATCCCCAACACAGATTGCTAGAGGACTCGTGTGCTTACGGCCTTTGATCTCATAAATCCTACTTACTGCTTCCAAAGAACTGTCATAAAAACATGAATCTTGTTGAATCAGCAACGCTTGATCAGAATTAGAGCCTTTCCCTCCAAGGCAATGAAGTGCTCAATCCAAAGAGGACAAGGAGGCATAAATTTATCATCTCCCCAAATTAGAAAGAATATGTAACCCGCAATCAACCCAATCCATAATCAAGCCAATCAACGCAATCAAATTCAACTTCGCTGCAAGAGAGCAAATCCCAATCTAGTAGAAGTGAAGAAGAAATTAGAAGCTTACCAAGCATCACAAGCAAAACCATAGAGAGTATCAGTGGGCAAAGCTATAACCTTGCCGTCTCTGAGAGCTTCGACGGCCTCTTCTGCACAATCTTCCACGGCAGGCCGAACGGAGCCCAATGAGTTTTCAAGTTCAATCACCTCCGCATTACAGCTCTCCACACTGCTCAAAGCCATCACCTTTGCGAACCCAGAAACCAGTCTCCTTCTCTGGTTCAGATTACGGAAAATCCCGATTCTGGGGAATCCGGCAGCTAATTGGAAGTGAGATAATTGAGAGCAGCGAGATGAGAAACAGAGAAGAAGTGGAGAAAGCTTAAAAATGAGGAGAGTAAGAGAGAGAAAGGGAGATAAAGAGGACTGACGATTGTGATTAAAGACCACCTCTAGTAGAAGAGGTGGAAGACGAGACGAGAAGAGGAAGCTTGCCGGCGATTCTCGCCGGAATGCACATGTTCATTTTCTTTCTCCCGCGCCGCTTATTTCTTTCTCCGGAAAAGTTGGAGCCCTAGTTAGCAGAAACCCGCCATGGCGGTTTCTCTTCGCGCGGTAGTCACCAGTCGATAACACAGGACGCGCCTGATCCGCTGCTGGGCTTACATCTGCAAAGGCCTGGGCCACGATGGCCCAACTCTTCAAAGCACAAAATATAGAATGATCTGTCTGAACCTTGGCCCAAACTTATATTGGGCTCTCGCCAAGGTTGCCTCTGCCATGGTTCTTTTCTTTACAAGCTATTTTTTGCACTGGTTTTGCTGCCATTACTGGTTTTGGTGTCACACTCACACCCCCCAGTTTTCCATACTCAAGTCTACTCAACAAGATCAAATTTCATATTGTTCATGATCGACGTGATCAACCACAAAGAAAAGGTAATGCACAGTGAGCAAAAGAGCACTTGGGAATCACTCAAACACAAGAAAGATTGTTTGCACACAAGAACAGAAGAAATGGGCAAATGTGCTGTTCTTTCTTTTGTATTTGCATATATATCACACATTGGAAGGCACAAGTTTCAACTTCAATCCAAATGTAATAATTACAACTCACATTGAGAGGTGGACACTCAACTATCCACTCTTCTCACTTCACAACAAACATCATCATTCTGCCTTTCTTTCTTACATTCATTCATTCCTTTTGCTGGCTGGCCAGCTGCAGCTGTCACCCCACCACATCTGACCAAAATGGGCCACCTTTAGAGCCTGAGTGAAGCTCTACAAATCTAATCATTCTATATTTCCGAAAAAGAAAGGTAAAAAAGGAAAACTTGCTCCTATCTTCTCATATAATACAGACTTACAGACTCACAAACTCTTACTTTTGCTGGTTTATGGGTTTTCTACATCATTTATTGTATGGCGGTTTCCTTCCCTTGCATCAGCAGCAGGAGGGCCTACTGCAGATGAATTCACGGGTATTGGAACTCTTCCTGCCATCAGATTGTTCCCAAGCTGTTGTTCTGATCCTCTATTCCGCCGCCATCTTCTTCTCCATCTCAAGAACTCGATTATGATCGAACTTGCACTCATTGATACTCCAGACCCAGCAAATGTTGCCAGCAGGATTGACAGCACAGCTTGCACTCCAACCTAATTAACCCCAAGAGAAACATACATAGTTCAGTTCCATGACTAGATTGTTCGTCTGTATATGCTGGCATTATCTATTGTTGTTTCTTTGCAAATATCATGAAGAGAGGTTTGCCTACTTACCACTGAGTAAAAAATGTGAGCAAAGATAACCACCAAAGCAAATTGGATTGCCGCATAAACCCAAACGAATCGTCTCTTCACTGCACATAAGAGACACTGGAGGGTAAGGTGAAAGAAAGAATCCACAGCAAAAGGTTATCCTAGTTTATTGTTTCTTCTACTTGTCTTCAATCTATCAGTCCAGTCAAGAACAAGCGTACCCATAGTCGAGGAGATCATGGACGAAAGGAGACCCAAGACACAAGAAAATGGAAGGGATAGAGCAATTGCACCAGTTCCCATATTCCCCACCTAGAAATAGAAGACACACATATTAGGATAGAGGTAAAAGAGTAGCAGAGTTGCAATCAAATTTGGGTGAACAAGAACTTGTATTCTACTACTTCACTAACCAGAAGCTGCTCCAGGAAACAAAAGTAGGCTAGCATGCTAACAATCACCAGCACTGGTACTTCTTGCCACACCCTGATGTGGTACAACTAGTTAGTCTCAACCAAATGATGTGAAAAAAGTAGATTTAAGCTAAAAGAATTTTTGTAACTTGCCTATAACCATTGGGATCAGCTAGTTCACCTCTACCAAATCCAGCGAGCCCATTATGCACGCTTTGTATTCGTAACAAGGTAACAGGCAAATTCTGTACTTCTTGCTTGCACACATCACAAGTCTTGTTCCCTTTGATGGTAAACCATTTCACTGCACATTCTTGATGTGCCAAAGCAAGTTCACCTTTGCAACTGCATTCCATCTTAAGTGTCTCCCCTCCTTCACAGAGTTCCACCAGACAAATTCTACAAACAGCTTCTTCTTCAGGTATATCTTCTCCATCATCATCAATGGTTTCTGAATCCACAAAACAATGGTGACAATAAGTGCAAAAGTAAACGAAAATGTAGCATAGTTTAGAATCTCAATAGGGACTTCCTTTAGAGAGCTATGAGAGGGAAAACTATATACCAGCAGAAACACTTGGGGGAGATGCATGAGCTGTTAGTATCTCTCCTACTTCTTTTGCTCTAGGAGTCGTAGGGACCACACGAAAGAACGAATCCACTCTCCGTATGCTTCCTTCTTTGTTGATGACCGGGACCGAGAGTGATCGTGCGATCTTTCGCGGTGGAGCTTCTCTCTGGATAGAAATGACTGACCTTAGATGATCATAAATAACAAGTTGTACTACCCAGTCAACAAACATGTACAAGGAACTTACACTTGGATTGAGAGGGCCACTAACGCTTTCACTATGCGGTTGAGAATTCGCAATGGGTGTCACAGGGAGTGATGATGTCCTCTTCATCCTAGGAGTGAAAAGCTTAGTGAGTGACAGTGACCTTGGGATGGAGGGCCTATCTTGCTGTGGAGTTGCAGGTTCCGGTAGAAGATTATGGGCCGGCGGCTTATCAGCAGCATTTAACGTGGCAATTCGAGACTTGAAGCTAAGTTTAGGCAACAAGCTCTTCAAAGAAGACCTCCCCTTGGATGGAGTGGGAGCTGGGGATCCACTGGTGGTGGCTGCCCTTGGATCAGCAGAAGTAGGGGTCAAATTGAAATTGACCTTCCTGGGAGTTTGGCTTGGTGTTGGTGGCATCTTAATCACTACACTATCTCCTTGTGGAGTTGTTGGTTCCATTGTTCTTGAAGGTATCTCTAGAAATAGATTTCTCTTCTTCCAGTTGCCATGACTGTTGCCTTCTTCCACTATCCCACTTGAGTCTTCAGCCTGTTTAAGCAACAGACACAAATCAACTCACTCAGTCACTCGATTTCCATATCAAGGAAAAACCAGATAGCATGTTTCAGCTACTATATTGCGAGATCAGACAAAGAAGAGTAAAAACAAGCGTGTGGTTTTGTATCATCAAATTTCCTGAAGGTGTTTTTACCACTAATAAACAATTAGGATTTGAAAGTTCTGGTAGCCATAGCCCATATGGGAAAACGATTTCAAAAATCACACCATAAAGGCTAGACCATGAAAAGTGAAGCCTAAGGATTTCCAATAAAAGCAAAACTCATATCACTCTCTTCACTCCACGACACCAGATCAGAATTTCAGCAGAAAGCTCAGATTTTTCGGAAGCAGGCTAAATGAAATTCATTCCTTCTCAAAAGAGGAAGATCACAAATGAAAAAAAGCGATGCTTGCAGTCGGAAAAGGAAAAAAAACAGTGAAGAAAAAGAAGGAATCAATTCAACAAACACCTGGTGGACAGGAGTACTAGGCGAAGCAGAAGCAGCTGCAGCAGCGGATTGGCTAGTACCCACATCACCCTTCATCTCACTCAAAAGCTTCTCCTCCATTTCCATCCAAATCCCAAACCAGAAAGTGGAAAAGCTTCAATCTTTATAACGACCCAGCAGCAACCCAAAGCAAAGGAAGGACCAGCCGTTGTACCCAAAAGCGGAAAGAGAGGATAAAAGCAAAGCAAAGCTCTGCTCTTTTCTTCTTCTTTTGACTTTGCTAGAGAGGTGAGTTAAATTCTGTGAGCATGGGATTGGGAGATGATCAGAAGAAGGAATAATAATGGTGGGATTGGGTGAAAGAGTGGGCAGAGAAAAGATTAATGGGATTGGGAGGAGGTTATGGTGTGGTCAGTTTCAGAGCTTCCTCTTCTCCATAGTGTCATTAATTACAAAAGTTGGTAGGAAGCCTGCCACACTACTACTACTTACAACAAGTTACAACTTCCCTTGATAAGCCACCTATGATCCTTTCCCTTCCTTCCCTTTTTATGTTGTATCAAAATCCTCAAGTCTCTTACCTTCTTCTGCCAAATTCTTTCCACTTGAGCATAATGATCCAAATTTCCTTTCTTTTTCTCTTCTTCCCTTTAATTAAAGCAAAAACCCAAAGAGGGAAAAGATGACATGAAAGTCTTTTCAGTTGGGGTCATGCTATATGCACCCCTACTTGCTTAGCCCACTTTCCCATCCCTCCTCCTCTCTGTCTCTTTCTTAGAATTTGTCCGCAACCGCGCGATGAAGTCGTTCAACGTAAGCTGATATCGCGTCGAATTGTTTACGCACGATCTCAACGGTTACGATCACATGTATCGAACGAAAAAAATGGCACAACGTAACGGTGTCCACCTGTACCAAAAGTCCAAAACATAAACCAGATTCAGCATGCTAACTGGATTACTGCCCTTTTTGTCTTTTTCCAACTTTACCTAATTACCTCTCCTCCCCATTTGCTACTATAGTAACTGTCCATAAATGGGTGAAGTGAAGCACACAAGGTAAATTCCTATTCTCGTACTTCCATAGTTAACCAAACCAAATGTCTGGTTATTTGTTGATTTTAGTATGCTGTTTGCTTGTCAGTTAGTCAGTCTCTTCTAATTTTACTTTCCTTGTTGCAGGAAAAAAGCCTCTCTACAGCGTAGCCTCCACTTCAAGTCTTTTTTATGAGTACTCTGCCTTCCTTTTTCCCTTCAACGAATTCTGCACTTTTTGGGTCATTACTCATGAATTGTAACCCACGATTAAAAATACTAAGATCATCTGCAACGGCTTCCACTTCTCTATTTCATTTTGACGTGGCAGTTTGTCTTTCCCATTTCATGGATGTACAGCCTATTTCACAAGGTGGAAGATTTCACTAGAGTCGTTTGGGAGTTGCGATTGTTTTGTTGAGATTGTCATTATGCATGTATTGTTTACAATGCATCGTTTTTTTGTTTTTTTAGTGATTGTTATATCTCAACTTTTAGTTGTGATTGTTGAGATAGTTGAGTTGAGATTGTTTTGTCTCAGTTTTTAGCTGATGCGACATACACAATCACACATACCAAACGTTGTATTCTACAATGCATCAAATTCGACAATACATGTATAATATTATACATGCATTCTCAACAATACATCTATTTAACAATCGCAACTTCCAAACGACCCCTAAATGAAATAGTAGATGACATAGTGAGTGGGTCGGAAGTGGACCTCTTCCCACTTTTTGCTCCTTCGTTATTTTTTTTTATAATTTTTTTGATTATTTGAATTGAAATTGTGTTCTTTTGTTTTTAACTACTATTTATTCTTTGTTAATTATAATTTAAGACAATTTTTTTATTATACAGATAAATTTATTAATTTTTTATTAATTAATTTTTTGAATTACGAAAGCGTAATACGAAATCAAATACACATACACATAGTATCGATTTGGAGACGATCAGAAGATGAGAAGTACGATGATTAATCTATTATCGTTTCTATGTATTTTTATTACATGTGTTTATATGAAATAGTAATTGCGTTATGCACGTGTGTTTATTTGAAATTGTGATTGTGTTATGTAATTTGTCATTCTGCAATTGTGATTGTGTTATGTAATTATTTGATACCACTTAAATTGGTAAAATAATATAGGTTAGATAAAAATGTATAGTTGTATTAAAAAATAAGTTGGGTCCACCATATGAAATAGATAGTGAATTTCATTGATGTTGACTAGATGGAAGTGATATGTAATGGAACAAAAAAAGTTGATGATGTGACGGTAGGAGCCACATATGAAATAGAAATGGTATTTCATGTACGTGGATGGTCTGAAACACAAACAAATCAAAAGCCACGTATGCAGACACGTGGGACCCTGTGGCTCGGACACGTGGCGAGGAAGACAGCAGACAGCAAGGTGGCAGTGAGGGATCGAGCCAAGAGAAGAGCTAAATGATGAATCAAAATGTTTGGTGTTTTTGTCGTTAAGGTTGTTGCTATGGAACCACGTACTACGTTGATCATTAATCCTCTCCTTAATTGTACCACCTTTGCCCTACCAAGTCGACAGTACTCAGATAATATATATACACATGTATTATGTGACATGATCATTCTTTGTTTTCATGTTCATCAATGTAATGTTTGTACGTGGATGGACTGTTATTCAGGACTTTGTTTTCATGATGTCTTTTGAGTACAACTGAAGTTGTGGGTGGATAGAGATGGAGATGACCCACGATACGACACTCTAACGTTTAGGTAGATGAGTGTATATGATAGAATCCCGATGGATTGAATTTTTGGCTATCATAATCGGGGCCGGAAGGAAGAGAATCGAATGAGTTATGGATTGAGATATAATTAGAGGCTGAGAAGAGAATCGGGGAAGAACAAGAAATGAGGATTATGGATTTAGAAGATGAAATTGGACGGAAGAGGGAAGTATGGTCGGCAACCTTAAGAAGAGGAGAGTCGAGATTCATAGAATTGAGAGAAACATAAATTAGGATTCGGGATAATTCTTTCTACCGTTCCGTCTAATGATCATAAAGGAATATCAACGTAAATATATAATAAGAAAATATGCCAGTACAAAACATGGACTTTAGAACGAAGATAGAATACCAAGGAAAATAGAGACACAATTAAGAACCAAAATCAAGATGCATGCATGAGCATGGCCTCTAGTTTCCCTAAACCAATTCCACTTAATCTCCAACACTAATCATTCTTAATGGAAAGTCTTAAAAAGAGGATTATTGTTAATATAGCTTAGCTAGATGCTTCTTTGATTGCGACTTGTATGAGTTGAGAGAATTCCTTTGCCACGAAGATAATAAAAATGATTTCCTGCTTTATTAATTTTGAGCTCTCAACGTCGTTATTAATTTGTTTTGCTGTGTAGGCTAAAATCCAAACCACTAAAGAGCAACTTAAAAGAGGAAACGTGGGCGGTGGATAATTAAATAAAGTTTCCAGCAAATGAATACGTGTAATTATAATTTCATATATTTTACAAATAAAAAAAATGGTCTTTGATAATTTGTCAGTGAAATTTTGAAAATTATTTTTAGAGTGGTTTGCCATCTAAATCTCTAAATCGTAAACAATTCAAAAAAAGTTAATTTTATGGGTCGTTGAAAAAATATTTTAAAATATTCATTGTTTGGTAACCGTGACGATTAAAATTCAATCTAAAATAATCATTTTAATTATTTACCAAATGATATTTATTCTTAACTAAAAGAATACAAGTGATTCGAGAAATATTAAGATTTAAATTGATAAGTGAATATGGAGGGATAAATGAAAAGGGAACGGATAAAAGCAGAAGGAGAAAAATATCATAAACCAAGAAATAGAATCACTCTGATTACGAGAGATGTGATACTCAATTTTAGATATTCTGAATCTCTAAAACTAAAATACGTGATACAAAAGACAGCAAAATAACATAATTTTCTTTTAAAAATATCTATCAATTCAAAGAATCCATATTCTAAATCTTTTCCCTCAAATGACCCCTTAGTCAAACACACATCGTAGCATAGGAGAACTGAAATGAAAAAAGTGTATTATAATGATGAGGTTGTACGAATTCATGTATAATCAAAAGGTCGTAGTTAGTCACAGTTGATCCAAAATTCCATTAGTACTTATACTGCAATTTCCCCCACCCAAACTCTAATCAAATCAAACCAATATGACCATTTCAGCTCTCCTTTGAACTAACAATTAAAATTCCCCATGTACCCAATTACTACAAAGTACAAACCTTCAATTCCCACCCTCCCACCCATTTCAGTGCTTGACTGAATCTGACTTGACTTTGACTATGCCCAACATCCTTAATGACACAGTCTAATTACATTGTATTCTCCCCACCTCCATTAATTATCGATTAGCATTTCATTAATTAGCTTATTAATTAATCAAGATTGCATTAAGATATGCCACCTCCACATTGCACTAACGATGGCCTAATCCAGTAATCTTTCCCACCCCTGCCGACTTCCTATTTGCTACCACAAAAAGGGAGATCGATATCAGTAAACCCGAACCCTTTCCCACTTCCATTGTTATTGGGAAAGTGGATGATTAGTGGAGCAATTAGAGCTGTCGCTTTATTCCCCTCATTCGAAACATTCATCTTTTACTCCTCTTAGATTGATATTACGTGCGATAGACTCATAATGTGGATTCAAACAATGTATCGAGTCATCAGACTTATAGGCGTTGCATGTACGGTAACCAAATCAAATTACTAACGACGATCTTATCCACAACGCACCTCGTCTCATTCAGTGGAGTTGAAAAATTACTTTAATGTTTTACTCCTCTTTACCATGTCGATGATGAAGGGAGACAAATATGCATAAACTCACACCTTTCGACGAGCTCAATTGTTGGAAAGACGACGTGGATGGCATTCTTACAAACATTCCTACAACATGGGTTCATACGTTGCCGGGCCCCATAGTTATGATAGGCGTTGTCTGTATAGTAACCGAATCGAATTCCAAGAACAGTCAACCCATAGGCCACACACACGCCGCGTTTCATTCGGTGGAGTTAATACTTAGGCTGAAAAAGGATGTATGTTTCATTCAAAACCCTACAAACACCAAAAAGATGAGATAACCAACTCAATCCATATTGAAAGTCCAAAAATACTCAAAAAGTACAGAAAACCCAAAAGGCCAAAAGAGATATGAGAGCAATCATAACCATCAATAAGCGTATTAGTGAAGCTGGAATAATCACAACAGCAACGTAAAATTGGGTAGGCCTTATCTCTCACTATCATCATCATCATCATGTAACATTATCACCACTTTGCCTTCTCTTTTGACAAAACAGACCCGTCTTTTCTTCCTATCTTTCAGTGAGTGAGTGACGGGTTAAAAGTTGCTGCTGCTGCTGGCTGGCTGGCTGGTAACGGTAGGTAGGCTGACGACAGGGCTTCTTCTGTCTGTAATAAGGTACTGCAACTGGACTCTACTGAAAGACCAGACAGTTGAGAGAGCTAGAGGTAAGTTTGGCAGAGAAAGAGAGAGAGTGGGAGTAGAATGGTCACACACATGGTTTCCATGGTGAAGATAGATGCACAACATCGAAGGCCAACCCTGATAGCTGACCAAGTGACCATTATGGTGAAAGCACTGAAGTCAACAGAAGTTAGGCAAAAACTGAGTCAGACCTCACATGGCTTTCCATAACAAATCTCAGCCAAACATTCCTAATTAACAGTCTGTTTGGAACCAGTTCCGTCGGAATGAAAACTCGAGTCACCGTTCTTGTTCTTCGTCTCTATAGACTTCCATTTCGTATACTTTGCTGTCGTTCCAAACATTGGAATCATCACATAAAGGGTGTTACAAGATGAAACGTCATGGATTTGCTGTTACTATCGAAGTACCCTGTAGTTACCGCCGTTTGTAAAAGCAATCATCGAGAGCAAACCGAAGAAAACAATTGTTCGTATTGAAATGAACAATCTGAGCAGTGTCAAAAGCAGCTACCTAGCAAAACTTTTGCTTTGTCGTAAGGGAGAAAGATTCTTACAGCGCAGTAAATTATCCAACCTAACAGAAAGGCACGTCTTTTACCTCTCGAGGAGCATCACCAGTTCACAGTGTGGAGTGTGAGGGAAGAGGTCAACAGCCATGGCTTTAACTGGTCGAAAAGGTTCGGAGATGGGCATCGACTTGGCTCTGTGGCGTGCCAGTCCTGCGCTGCTCATGTTCCTCCAGGCACGGTTGTTCTTATTCCCTTTCTCGACTGTCTCGGGGGATGGTGTGCACAGCTCGATTGCATTCGCCACTAGTGTCTCGGGATTGCAGGAAATGTAACTACAGAACATCCACAAACAAACACAATGTCAATACTTGCACTTATCATTACAATTAACTTAAACGTTCAAAAGAGAGAAGGGAACTAACACGAGACGTCGCAGGCCTGAATGAGTCCTCAGTGCTTTGATAACCTACATGAGAAACCAAAAGTGTAGCAATCAGGCTTTGAATTCAACAGAACATCTCTATAAAACAAACAAATGTAAATTTATCCTGTAACACCAGATGAATACCAGCATCATAATCCTTGGAATTAGGACCCCAGGATTTAGCTGGTATATTCACACATGAGACGAGGAAAAGGTCTTTGTTTCTTGTAGCTGAAATTTTATGCAGAAGGAACAAGAAGAAAGAGCATATGGCCAAAATTAAGGGAGCGTGTAACTTGTACAGTTGTACTTACAATTGGATGGAGTCCATTGCGAGGAGGATCAACAATGGCAACAACGTTTTTGAATTGCGTAGTTGAAGAAGAGGTCCCATCTTCTACTGCAGAGCAACTGCTCTGAGGTTGGCCTTCAACTTCTTTACCATTTTCAGAATCCTTAGTAGCATCTAAGCTGTCAACAAGCTCGACTCTGGGATTCTTCTCATCAACACCATCCTCGTTCCCATCAGAAGTAGTAACGGCTTTGTCAGTTGTTTCAGAAGAATTTGGTAATTCATCTTCTTTCTTCTCGGGCACAATCAGGTATTCTTGTAACAGAGAACCAATGACATGTTCTGCCTATTTTCAGATAAGAATTATCAACAAAATCCAAGTACCATTAGCAGATAAAGCAAACATCAAGGAAGAAGGAAAAGGTGAAAGCAATAGTACAACAATATTTTCGCAAGGATAGTTTGAGGCAAAATATGCCAACATTTCAAGGCAATTGCATCAACGAGTAACAATTTATACACATCAACAATGTAGCAGGGTTTGTAGTGCGAAACTTACCTTCCCAGCAACGAATCTACAGTTCTTTATGCCGTTGAGTTCAGCATTTCGATTAGCATCTGAAACGGCTGAAGCATTCATCTCAATCCCGACAACCTGGACAGTCCCAAAAAAAAAAAGATGAATTTACAGCCACGAGATTAAGGACCCAAAAGATGAATTCAACGCTGTGTGATTTCGTTTACGTATCCTCATCCTGAATTTAATTAATTTATATATTAAAAAAAATGATGATTCAATGCAGGGAAAACAGGAAAGGAAAGGAAGACGAAAGCAACAGCAGAAGCTATTACCATGCCAACACGGTGTGCTAAAGTTAGGCCAATGGTTCCGGTACCACAGCATACATCAAATAACAGTGTATCTGGACCCAAATCAGCCCAATCGCCAGCAAGTGCATATAGTTTCTCTGCAGCAAGGGTGTTGACCTGCAGTAGCAACCATTTATAAGATCCTCCGACACAAAAAAAACTGAGTAACTTTTCAACGACAGCAAGCAAAAACATGCAAACCTGGAAAAATGCAGTTGGTGATATAGAGAACCGAAGGTTACTTATATAGTCATGAATTCTGGGTTCTGCAGTATTATCAGCCTTGTCGACCGCCGAAGTACCATTTTCTGCATTAGTAGAACGCAGCATTCGCAGTGGGGCATCAGATGGTGCAACATTTGATATTCCTTGATGATCCTACATCAGTCAAATATAGCAATTGCTGTCAAATTATGGAACAACATACTGCAGCATAACTATTAAATGCTCCAAAGCAGAATCTTCAAATCAGAATGGCAGGAACATAAATCAGATGTGAAATCATGCTTCCAGAGTTATGTTCCAGTTTTCAATATAGGAAGAAAACAAAGTTACAAATTTGTTTTCCATAAGCAAACTTAACTGTTTTCACTAGATAAACAAAAATAATGAACCGAACAAGACAATACCTGAAGAACCAAAGCTGTTAAAGGCAAAGGAGGAGAATTTGCTGCAGCTCCATTGGTAAATGAAAGTGTCAATCTCTCAAGCTCACTGGTTACGATTGCATCATCGAAACCCTTAGTGGATACCTAAGTTATAAAGGTGGGGCAATGGAATGTGAATAAGAAACAATATCAAGCTACAGATCAGGAAGAGGTTATCTGCATTTCTAATTAATATGTTGCAATACAAAAATAAGAAAGAAAAAACACTAAGCACGAACCTGAACCATAAGCATAACCTCCGATATGTTTGCCTCTGGGTGTTCGGTATTAGTTGGCTTTCCTGGTAGTCTACCTTCTCGGACCTTGGGCCAAAATGAAGGTAATGACAAAATATTTAGTTACTGACAACTCTTTCTACATCAAAACTAACTGAACAGTTGAAGACGAAGAATCTTATCACCGATCTCCACATAAAACATACAGTGAGCTGACGCCAGAAACCAGTGTTCTTAAATCTGTTCCACATAGGCAAACTCGACTGTTGCAAGAACTCTTGAAAGATCAAAGCATACTTTAAAGCAATACTAGAAACGTTTGGGCAATCCACTGGTTCGTCTACTGCTGTCACACCCGCCCTGAAAATGGCACTCCACATTTTATTTTTTGATATTACTCAAAAATATCAAGAACTAACTACCATAATGATAAGTGATACCTGAAATTTCCCAGCATAAACCCTACAGTAGGTTTTCCTCCAAGAGAATGCCCCACTGAGAACTCGCACTTGTTCCGATATCCATTGACCAGTGGTGACTCAAGTATGCCCTCTAGTTTGCATGGGAGATTACCTGCAGAATGCAAGCCCATAAAATGGTGACCCAGAAGGAACTCTGAATCAGTGCCGAAGTAAGAATTAAACCACATAATAACCTCTATACGAAACGTTGACTCGAGGCCCTACCTATTTCCCTTGCTTTCAAAATCCATTCAGGTAGAGAAACCCCAGTAGGACATGCTTTTCGTGTGTTTCTAGTCTGCCAAGCAAAATGAAAGTGATTCAGTTCATCTGCATACATTATGTCAAGCTGATAACAGCCGTGTAAAAAAAAAAAGAATGACATTAGGCGCAGCTACTAACAAGCTTTATCAACATCTGAGCAACAGACTTCTTCTTCTGCTCCAACTGGTCTCCATAAGACATATGAGCAAGGGGAGTCACAGCATCCCGAGCACATTTCGCCTTGGAGTTCGAACCATCATCCACACCTAAACTTTCACCATCCGCTGTAGCAGTACCATCTGAAGATTTAGACACAGCAGCATTCTCTCCCTCATCCATCGCAGTCTTAATGTTCTTGTCGTACGATCGAGGAAGGACATTCGCTACCTTTATCTTCTTGTTGCCAACAGATTTCTCCTCTAACTCCTACCACATTACAAAAACAAGCAAGGAAAACAATAAAGCAAACCATCCAGAGCTTCCCCTAAGTTATATATCATGAAGCTCCAGCACTAATCAAAGTAAACCATTTTACCGGCACTGCAGCTGCCAGTTGCTCCAAATTCTCAAAAGTCACAAACCCCACAGTCATGCCTTTCTTCTTCTTCGCCAATTTGAACGAAACGCCCTGTAAACACCAACCCAAAAAGACAATCACTTCAACAGAGAAGAAATAGACACCAAACCCCTATGGCGACAGCAGCGAAAGACGTACACTTTCACTGAGAAACTTCTTCAAGTTATCAGTGGTCCACCTCCTAGGCAAATGCACGAGGCATTTGCTCAGCTCGACATCCAAACAACCTCCATTGGCATCGCCTTCATCAGCAATCATATCAGTCATCATGATTTCATCCTCTTTCTCCTCCTCCTCCTCCTCCTCTTCTTCCTTCCCCGCATCATCGCCTTCCTTTTCCAATTTCAACGCCTTCTTGGCGCGCTCGGAGGTCGGGTCCCAGGAATTATCAGGCCGCGGACGGAGCTCTCCCTCGCTGTGAGCGTACCGGCAAGTGCTGCCGTGGGCGCAGGAGCCCGAGTTCCGCCTGAAGTAGGAACAGAGGGAGGTTTTGTACCAGGGTTGGGATGACGGGTCGGGCTTCGTTTCGGGCTCTGGGTTTTCTTCGTCTCGCTTGCGCTTGGCGCCGGTGGAGTCGGATTCTGGCGAAGGATCGACGGTTTTCTCGGCGGTTTCAGGAACGGTTTCTTCGGCGGCGGCGGAGATTGGAGCGGGAGTAGGGTTAGGGGCTTGTTGGGGAGACGATGGCGGGAGTTGGTCGAGTGAAGAATGCGGCGACGCCATTGCTGCTGCAGAGATTTGAGGGTTGCAGTGATTGTCAAATGCGAATAGTATACTGAAAGCAAAAACCCCGGCCCTAAGTTACGCCGGCGGCTGCGGGGAATGGTGTATCGTCGTGGGTTTAGTGGTAAACTGGAACTCCTTCCCCCGCGAGGCCACGACCAAATAATTTTTCCTATGTATTTTCTTTTCTTTTAGGTGAAATATTCTGATTTTGATTTATATTTTGATTTTAATATCTTTTAGAATGTTAATGGTTTTGACTTCGACTGAACCCGAAAAATCAATAAGAACTGATAATAGATTACCCTTTTAATAGTGTTGGTTTTGAGAATTTGCCTGATCTTGTTTGTTATTTTTCATGCTTAATGACTTGGTTAGCCGAGCGACAATTCTGCTTATAGGCACTTGTTTTATTCGATTTTCTTAATTTGAAAGATCTTATCTACCACTCTAAATTTCTATCTTAGAAAAAAAAATTGACTCTACTAAATCTATTCGAAAGCTGAGACGAAATAGTGCCAAATATATCATTTTTGTTTGGGTTAATACCCTAGTTTGGCCCGAAGTTTGGCATTAGTGACAGTTCTGGCCTTATTTTTCAAATAAGACATTTATGACCTACTTTTGGAACTATTGGACTAATTTGGCCCAAAATTTTCTTTGACCGTTAATATTAACGGTCAAACACTATTCCGTTAGTGACTCAACACAAAATCGCTGATGTGACATGCCACGTCATTAAATAATAATATTTTAATTTTATAATTCAATTAAAATAAAAATTAAGAAATTCCAATTCCAACCCTCCAAACCCTAAACTGAATTAAACATCCTCATGGAAGCCCATTTTAAATTTGTCTCCTTCACCTTCAGATCGGAAACCCATTTTCTTCCTAACTATATTAAGAATTTGTCTCGTTCACCTTCATATCAGAATTAAACATCCTCGTGGAAGCCCATTTTCAAAAATGACGACTCAAACGCTCACCGAACTGCTAAGCGCGTCGCCCATGAGTTTCCCGACCGCCACGCCCCGTCCCATTTGTTTTCGGCAAACTCGATCTCACCCACGCTCGCCTCGATAAACTCGTGGAACGAGTTGCCTCTCGCCTAGCCGCGGTCGGCATCGTGTTCGCGCTCACTTTCCCCAACACCGTGATTCGAGTCAGAGCAACAACGGCGCCGCTCAACGCCGCCTGCACGGCGAAGGAATTCGAGTTCTACCTATCGGACTCGGAATCCAAGCGATTGCTCACTTTGTGCGAGGGAAACACGGCGTCCGAATCCGCCGCTTCGAAGCTCCAAATTCGTCACGCCACTGCAGCTCTCTCCGCAGAAGATTCTAAGCTCGCGCTCTCTCTTCCTCCTCCGTCTGCGTCAAGAGCCAGCTCGCCGGACCGAAGTAGCAAGAGGGAGGCGCCTCCTGTTGACGATGATGTTTGATTCAGTTTAGGGGTTTGGATTTGGGGCCAAGGGATTTTGGGATGATAACAGGGGAATTGGAATTTCTTAATTTTTATTTTAAATTAAAATAATATTATTTAATGATGTGGCATGTCACATCAGCGATTTTTTGCTGAGTCACTAACAGAATAGTGTTTAATCGTTAATATTAACGGTCAAAGAAAATTTTGGGCCAAATTCGTCCAATAGTTTCAAAATTAGGCCATGAATGTCTTATTTGAAAAATGGAGCCAGAACTGTCACTTACCCTAAACTTCGAGCCAAATTAGGGTATTAACCCTTTTTGTTTCACAAATTGACAATACAACGAAATATGAATTATAAGGAAACTCACACATAAATTGAAATTGACAACTATTGTATTCAAAATTCAGTAACTTTAGGGTGAGTAATAATGAGTAACCAAATCTGAACTCTTCTTTTAAGTGACTGCAGATCTAAGGGTGGAGAATTAAAAGAATTTATTTTCCCTAGTTTTCTTAATTGGATCATATCTTCTTCATTCTAACTCGGATTTCAAAAAAATTTGCACAGATGAAACGAGTTCATTGTGCTCTACAAAATGATATCCATTTTCAATATTTTTTGAGAAAAAAAATTTCATCCCTCTCTTTACCGACTCCATACCATGTGGTATCTCCTTCGTTGTTTAGTCATTTTCGGAAATTTTTGCACAAAAGTAACGATTTAATCATGATCTATTGGATTTCAAAATTTTCTGGGGGAAAAATTACATACCTCTCGTTACCAACTCCATACCATACTATACCACCCTGGTATGAGGTAGTATTTTTCATACCATATGTTATGCTATTATTTAATACTAGGGATGGCAATGGGTCGGGTTGGGTCGGGTTTTGCCAAACCCAAACCCATGGGTTTATCCGTGAAAAAAACCCGGGGTAAAACCCACTGGGTTTGAAAAACTCAAACCCAACCCAACCCGCTGGGTATCCGTGGGTTCATGGGTACCCACGGGTTTTTGTCGTAAAAAATTTACAATTACAAGTTCCTATCACAATTAAAGTCAAATATCAATCTCTCAATACAAATTATCCATATATAATACACCATTCTAGAAAATTCAAGCAAATCACAAATTAACTATACAAATTGTTCAACACCAATCTAGAAAACTAAAGAAAATTGAAGCAAATCACAAATTATCCATAAATAACATGATTAATTGAAAGCTTCTTCCTTTCAATTAAGTTTCTTCACTCTCCACTCGATAACATCAACTTCATTTTACACAATTTGAAAGAAAAAATTAGACATGTCTCCACAAACATAAATAAAATTATTGTTTAGAATATTAAATATACCCAGAAAATTAACTATATGGGTGTGAGCAGGTACCCATGGGTCGGGTTTACCTAAACCCAAACCCAACCCGGTGAATAGTGAACGGGTTTAAATCCAAACCCGGCCCAAAATCCGTCAACACGGATCGGGTCGGGTGGGTACCCGTGGGTTTGGGTTTTGTTGTCATCCCTATTTAATACCAATCAATACCATATGGTATTTGACTATACCATATGGTATTGACTGGTAATAATTGACAGATTTTTTTTGTTCAAAAAAATATCAAAGTGGATATCATTTTGAAGAGCACAATTAATCTGATCTAACTGTGCAAAAAAAAAAAATTAAATTCCGAGTTAAAACGAGTGAGAAATCGTCCGTTAATGATTAAGAGAAAGAAAATTAATGATTTTTCCTGGACGGAGAAGGAGGCGCTGATGTAGCATATTCATATTGGGTTATGCATGGGGTTACTCACCACAAGGTTACTCACCGGATCTGCTCCGCTGATAATGAACCCATTAATGGATACGCAGTCCGTCACTAATCTACAATCACATCAAAACATAACTAGATTAATAAGAAAAATCATCCTTGCCCAACAATCCGCACCAAGTAAGGAATCCATTCTGACAATGGGAAATCATCAAAGCTAGTTCTGCAATCACAATCGAGCTTTGATCTTCGACGCCCACTAATCGAGCTTGATCTTCGTCGAACCAGAAGCAGAAGCACTCACAATCCATGCTCGTCCAGACTTACGATCCACCTCCACCGTCACACCACCACCCCACAGTTCATCAGGCACATCAACAGTCCCCTGAATCCCCAATTCACCCACCACCTGCTGGTTCTCACCATTCCCCTCCATCAAATTCCTCATTGCCCAAATCCCCCACTCCCTCAAAAACGGATTATCATCATCATCATCATCAACAACAACATTACACTGCTGCAGCACAAGCAGGATCCCATCACATTTCCTGATCCGGTCCTGCACATGCTTCCTTCTGTAAGCACAGCTGCCTACCGTCGCCACCACGTCCCTCCTGAACCCAATGTAAGGGCACAGCGTCGTCGTCGTCGCTGTCGCTTCCCCTTTCCTTATCGCGCTTGGTCGAAGAAGCCCCACGAGGGTCTCCATCAGCCCGCGCGACAAGAGCAAAGAAACAACGTCGTCTTCCTCTTCTTCTGCTGAGGCGGCAGAGTCACATAAGTGCTTTAGAATGGTGAGGGAGTATCCGAGCACGTCGACCGAGGCGTCCCCGGTTGGAAAATGACTGCATTTGCCTCCTGAGACATGATCATGAACATAAGCAGCAGCAGCGGCAGAGTCATCGAGTATACCAAGCACGCAGAGCGCGAAATCGACCGAGGCGGTTCGTGCATCCTTCATCCCCTCGCGGAAGATCTCCACCACCGTAGCCAAGAGGTAAGCTTGCTCGGACGAGAACTTATCGTCGTCGGCGACAACGGCCTTGCCCTTGTAATCAGCATCGGGGCCGCGAATGCGGTGCAGTCGTAGGAACAAGAAGTTCAATTGGCCACCTTCATCGAGGCAGATCATGGACAGGATTCGCTTGAACCAGTCTCCACCCTCGTAACCAACCAAAGAGACCGTCTTCACAATCTCAGCAACAATGGCGATTCCTTCCTCCGCAAGGAGTTGCGAGAAAAGGGCCGGGATTCGATAGCAGCAAGTGTACAGAATCATACACAGAGGATCGGAAACCTCCCTGCTTCTGACTCTGGCAAGGGCAAGAAACAATGTAGGGAAGAACCCATCCCATATAGCCAGCCGGTGTGGTTCGCCGGCCTGCGAGACAACGGCCAGAACTTGCAATCCGGCCCCGATGATGGCGGGGTCGGGGTCGGGGTAAAGCCCCACAGAGATCAGAACCGCCGAAACAACCCCGTCGCCGTCGAAATCGATGAAGGCGGACTGATTGGCGGTCTCTCCGGCGACCAGGCTCCGCAAAAGTTTCAGAGACAGAAGGAGGTATTCAGGAGGAGGGAGAGATTGCACGAACCGGAGGACGTCGGGGAGGAGATTGCCGTCGGAGACTAGGTTCGACAGGCCGGAATCCGAACTCGCCCACGAGGTAAGAACTCGCAATGCTACTTCAGGGTTGGAGGATCTAGCAGCGGCCAGCAGCGGCACGAGAAGAAGGCGGTGCTGGGGCGAGAGCTTGCTGGGGCGAGGGTCAGTAGCTTGTTCTTGAGAAGATGGAGGGAGTTGCTCGGTTGAAGATCGCGACGACGACGCCGCCATTGCTGCTCTGAATCGGCTTATGGAGAATGCTGTTTCGTTGTGGGTTTTACATGTGATGAAACCATTGCTATTTATAGAATACAAAATCCTTATTATCTCAGGTTAGGAGTCCGGCTAAACTACTATTACTGTTAGATTAATTGTTACTTGTCCGGCAAGGAAAAGGAATAGATATAAATTCACTTCCCGACGTTTGCCAGCAGTAGTGAAATTGCTAGTATTTAACTATTTATCTCTTCCGTCTTTATTACCATAATCCAAGTTCACATCAACAGAGCTTGGCATAAACTCCGACGACGACACGCCGTTGGATCCATGCTTTTGATAATTGGAATGCAAATTTCTTGAGAAGCGTAAGGTAAGAGGAATACAGTTTAAATCACAAGAGAAACTTCATTGATAGGGTTAAGGAGAGAAGAACCCAGCCAGCATAATACATGTATGTATCCACACAATTCATGCTCGAGATTTGCATTTACAGCACAGTGAAAAAAAGGGTATGAAAGTACCTTTTTCCTTCTTTATATACACACCCCACGTAAATCGCCTTGTGGAGAATCATCGAGAAAACAGAACGTGTTCCTCAAATCACACAGCAAAAGAAGATAGAGATCTTCGTAGCTTTACAACTACAATTCCACTGGATTGTTTGCTTGTCGGAAGGGTAACGGGGTCATAAACTAGCATTTCCTGGTTCCTCGACTCTCTGGCACGACATCATTCACTTTGATCTCCAGGAACCGCTCCACCGGTTGCCTGCATATTGGGCACTTTGTCGTCTGGAACTGCAAAAGCTTCGCGCATCCACTGCACATGCACTGCCATACCACCCATACCATAACATAATCAGATACAAGCAGAGAAGAGGACACTGTCTGTATATTGCAAACCAAAACTACAGCATGTATGTTATGTAATGATTCGGGTTCATTAGCAAGCATTCAGATGCCATTAGTAGGCATTTCTCCCTACGGGGTCATTTGTAAACATTTGGGCATCGATTAGTTAGCAAATATACACTTGCTAGCAGCAATTAAATAGTAATGTTATGATTCATTACAGTCATTAGTAACGTATTATGAGTTAGTGATCACTCAGCCGTTTTGAGCAATCATTGAAGGAAGTATTATTACTCTTTAAGTTGTTATGTTAGTAAGCATTACTGGGGGTCGATTACTAAACTCTATCAGCACCTGATCAGTAAGCATTGAAAAAAGATGATGGTAGTATTAGTGATCATTATGTTAGCAAGTAGTACGTGGTCGATAAGCAAACTTCGCCATCGGATTATCAGTGAGCATTCTAGGAGATTAGTAAACTATTCAGGGGGGGATCACCATTTACTAATCTACATTTCTTCCTATTCAAGCAACCAAGCAAAAACTCCAGGCAGTAATGCAAAACAATAGTAAAGATGCAATGGAGCTTACCATGTGGCGGCAAGGCAGAACGGTGGTGTCACGAGGTTCCGTCAAGCAGATAACACATTCTTTCCCACTCTCGTCGCCATCGGACTCAACTTCCACCGAATTCCCAATCCCATAAATCTCCTGCAACTCGTATCTAGTATTGCTCACCCACAGAATCTGCTTCATTACTCTCACGCGGTAACCATCGCCTTTCTCCTTCCAATCGAAGATGGCCAATGTGATCTGTGAATTGCCATTCTTGTCACTACCTTCTGACCCCTCGGTGGTGGCCGGCAGCGACAGGCACGCCTCAGCCTTCAGCACCAAAGGGTAGACCCCTTCATCGCTCGCCTTCTTCAACTGCGCCTCCTCAAACTTTGAGAATTCGATTCCAGTCCCACAAGGTTGCTTGAATTTCTGCCCCAGTCCTTGCTCAAACGACATTGTCACCGGCTTGTCGTCCCTCGTCGCTACCAGATTGCAGTCCTCGCTCTCCTTCGCAAAGAACAGCACCGTAATGCTGAGATTAAAATCAATTGCAATCAAAATTGGAGTGAGGTGAACGAGAAGAGGAAGGGGAAAAGGAACAGAGAATTGAAATTGCTTACCTGCAGGGAGCGGTGGCGTCGAAGGTGAACGCGACGAGGAAACTACCGGGATTCTCCTCATCCTCCTCGATCCGAATCGTCTCCTTCTTGACGTTGACGTCGTTCCTGATCGTGACGGCCTTCTGGTGCTCGACGTACGGCGCGGCCGGCAGGGGAGCGGGGAGCTGAGGTGGCGGCGGCGGCGGGGGGTAATAGCCGTGATGAGATTGAGGAGGAGGAGGATGGCGGTGGTGGTGGTGGGGATAGTAGGGAGGCGGTGGCGGCAAATTAGGGTTCGGATACTGAGACGGTGCCGCGAAGACGTATTGGCTTGTGGTGACCTGAGACGGCGGCGGTGGAGGAGGATGGTGGCGGCGATTGGAATGATGGTGGTGGTGGTGGTGGTGGTGATGTTGCCGCCGGTTGATGCTTCCGGCGTTTCCCATGATCGTCGCTCTTTCCTTTTTCTTTGGGTTCTCTTTTTCTTCTCCACGACAGAAAAAAAGAATCGAGGGGAAGGAATAACGTTATCTCCCACTCAACGATTGGAATTTTGGAACCGAAAAATAAATTAATAAAATTTTCATACGAATTTATTCTCTTTCTTAAATTCCTTAATTATGCAAAATCTTCAACTAGCCCCTAAACTTCTTCGTATTGGTCATATGAGTCCCTCAACCTTATTGAGAATCCACCAAGGTTCCAAAACTAAATTAATAGTTAATACAATGGTATGACTATGTATGGATGCCAAATTTCGACCCGACCTGTAATGTCTGATCTACTTTGAAAGCGCAGCGCATAACAAAAATGCGACCACTTGCCATCTCGTCCTACTTTGCTTTGTTCCACTCCATCTCCATCCATCTCACCTAACTAGAAGGGTCGCGTGACCTACCACACGCGTTTAAGACAAAATTATCAAGGTTCAGAAAATCGTATCGGAGATTTTACCGGAAAAAAATGAACGATAGAATATTTTGTACTAAAATCTCCTATCGTTTTTTCCGGTCCGTCCGACCGATACGGTAGAGTTTTCTAAGCCCTGCAAAATACCCTAACCCCCAGCTTACCTGCCTCCAACCTTAGCTCCACTGTCACTCCGAACTAGTCCAATATAAGTATTGTAGTTGACCATCAAACACTGCCACATGGCGATGACACGTCAACTGCGGTACCATGTCATCTCCACACGAGTCAACCTAAATTATATTAATATAGTCGTATAGTCGTATACATACATTAACAGGTCGTTTGGAAGTTGCGATTGTTTTGTTGAGATTGTCATTATGCATGTATTGTTTACAATGCATCGTTTTTTTTGTTTTTTTAGCAGAAACAATACATGGATTGTTTCTATGATGTGACAGAAACTATCACTCATTTCGAGTGATTGTTATATCTCAACTTTTAGTTGTGATTGTTGAGATAGTTGAGTTGAGATTGTTTTGTCTCAGCTTTTAGTTGATGCGACATACACAATTACACATACCAAACGTTGTATTCTACAATGCATCAAATTCAACAATACATCTATAATATTATACATGCATTCTCAACAATACATATATTTAACAATATCCACTTGCAAACGACCTCTAAGTCTATCAATTGCTCTCTTGATCGGAGAGGGATGGCGCGCGTTGTGGTGGCAACTTTAACGGTCGTGATTATGGAGATGGGCAGGCCATCGGGAGTTGTGTTTTTCTCCGGCCGGCAAAACTGAACTGGACGGCTGGTGGCACGTGGGGGGTATCATTATTATTCAGTGTGGCAACTTCGCCGGCCTGCTCCTCACGGTGGCGGTGGACGGTGGTGGTTGCCCACTGCATGTAGATGAAATGAAAGGGCTCTGTTTTTCTTCAATGCAGCAGATGAGCAGGATAAAAGAAATGTTAATAGACCAGGTATCGTAGGGCTGCAATTGAGCCGAGCCGAGTTGAGTTTTACCCCAGCTTGAGCTCGGCTCGTTAATGTAGGGCTGCAATTGAGCCGAGCCGAGTTGAGTTTTACCCCAGCTTGAGCTCGGCTCGTTAATAAACGAGTCGAGCTCGAGCTCAGCTTGTTTATTAACGAGTTGAGTCGAGTCGAGTTCGAGCTAGCTTGTTTACTAAAATCTTAATTTTTTTTGGGTACTTCATTTTGTATATCATTATACACATGATTTATTTTGTTGGCTAATATCATATTATACTTTGTTGGTATCATATATCATTTAGTCAATAAATTTTAACTACTCCAAATCATGTTATTTCATAGTAACGAAGCAATTTATGATACATAATTTTTTTTAAAGTAGATAATAAGATATAGTTGCTCACATACTCAACGTTTTAAACTTTATATACGATGAAATATATAATTTAACAACCATATGAATTAAAAACATAAGATATATATTGATTCGTCCATAAGTCAGTAATCGAGTTAGCTCTCTAGCCACATGTTGAGACATATCATGAGCTCTAAACGAGCCAGCTCACGAGTTTAGTTCAACAAGCCACCGAGTCGAGCTAGCTCGCGAGCTTCACGAGCTCAAGAAAGTTTAGCTCATGTTAGGCTCATTTATTAACGAGCCGAGTTTCGAACGAGCTTTTCTCGAGTCAAACACCGAGCCGCTCGCGAACAGCTCGGCTCATTTGCAGCCCTAAGTTGTATGTGCCACATCATCCTGATTGCTAAGCTGTCGACGGCCGATAGGTCATTTCGATGCGTCAGATGCAATCTCCGCTCCATAGGTGACTGAGGAGGTCGGATGCAACCCTTAATGGCAGTGATCACTAAAAAAGGGTTTCCTAATCAGCTACGAAAAATCGCACGCGAAAGTATATCATGTCAACCTTATACCTTACGATTACAGAGTCGCGAATCGACGCTTTAATAATTATCTTCATCTGTCTCTACTCACGACATGATATAAACCTAATCACGTATATAATTCGAGCATCATGATTAAGATTACCAATAATTACCAAAAGACAAATTAGGATTAGGTCCACAATGGATGCCAAAAGGCAAGGCCCCTCCCCTTTATTTCTAACATTTCTAAGAGAGAATGGGCTGCCGACACAATGAGAAGTGGTTGAGCTTAAGTTATGTCCCAAAATGGGCACTTCCCCCACCGCAAAAGCAAAAGGGAAACTAATCATGGTTAAGGTTAGCCAACAGAAACATGATAATTACCAACATCCAACCACAACTAACAACAACAACAACAACAAAAGCCAAAGTGGATTCCAACCCCACACCATGAAAATGCCCCCAACGATTTCGATTGATGCATTCCAAACAACAATACACCAATCTTCTGCACGAAATCCCATTCCCAGCAAATGCAACCCCACTTAATCAGCAAGCAAACCTTTCCCTCATCATCTATAAACCCAACTCATCATCAATCTCATTCGAGTTCACGCGAGCTGATACCGTCGGATCATATGTGGTTCGCGCAGTCTCGGTCTCATAGGATGTACGAGTTAAACACACACGCGTACACCCGATGATTTGAGACAGCGTGGTACATATGATCCGACAACAGCAGCACGCGCTGATACACATGTAGCCTAATTGGAATCCAAACAGCATCAGCACCAGAACTGTAGAGAATACAGTAAGCATAGTACAGGGCAGCAATCTCATTCCAATACGAGATGGGAAAGTGGTGGCCAACAGAAAGACACAAGAAGATGATGAGAACGTGTGTCCTTGAGCTGGAACAACCAGGAAACAAGCAACCGATACATAAGTACCAATCAATATAAGAGAGGATTGAATCTGTAGCAAAGTACCAGTAAAACCCCTATTTGATTGCTGTTGGAAAGCAGCAAAGGAAATTTGCAGAATCACGGTTGAGAGACAACAACACATGTATTTAGGTACAGACATGGTTATCAATGGAGGAGGGGAGGAAGGAAGAAGGCAAATGGAGTAAAAATGAAATGAGAGTAAAAAAAGAGAGATGAGAAGGCCTATTTCTCTTCTTCTCAGTGACAATTAATTCATTCTAGTTAAAATCAAACAATTGTTGCAGCAGGCAATCCTGAATCTCCCCCCCAACCCTCTCTATTATGCAATGAAAAGAAACCCTTCTTCTATCCCCCCAAGCTCCTCCCCAAAAAGTGAGTTATAAATCACAAATCCTATCAACACCCAACAACAGCACAGTTGTAAACAAACACCCCAACATTCTCCTTCACACCAATTACCTTCCAATCCAAGGTACCATTGGTCACCCCAGACTCGGGATGCCACGAGTTGAGAACAATACCTTCGCCTTCGGGTCCCCTCTGCCCGCCCACAACCAGCAGCTGCTCGCCACAAGCCTTGAAAGCCAGACCCCAGCCGTTGGACGAATCTGCTCTCACCGGAAGCCTCCCAAGGACGTTCCAAGCGTTCTTCTCCTTATCGTATCTCTTCACCATGTTAGTTAGATACTCAACTGCGTACAGCTGGTTATTCACGACTGCGACTAAGGGAGGTGCCTGAGCTGCCCTATTGACATTAGGATACATCCCTTCGATCTTCCTCCATTTTCTGGTCTCCAGGTCATACTCCTCCCCACAGGTCAGTGACACGGTGGGGGCAGACATCCCTCCGATCACATAGAACTTGCCGTCCATAAAAAAACCTGAGCAGAGCCTACGTGGCGAGTGCATGTTGGGGAGCATCTCCCATTTGCCGGTCGAGGAGTCGTACAGCTCAGCGGATTGCAAGATCTTGCCGTTCTTGTCACTGCCGCCTGCAACAACAGCGAGCGAGCCAAAGCTGCCCGATCCGAACAGACAACGAGGTCGGTTCATTCCATCGCACTTGGCCCAGACGCGGCTGACCGAGCTGTACTTCCAAATGGCAAAGTCGAACAACTCACGACCGAAAACCAGCAGCTCATTGCCTACTGCCAATGATTCTTTGTCAGCATGGTTGAAACACTCGTCGCAAGGTATCTTTGGAAGTGCCATCCATTTTTGCCTCGTGGGGTCGAATGCCTCCCATCCCCTTGGATCACAAACCAAGTATACCCAGTGCTCAGTGATCCCCAAGTGTTTCCTCAGCCCGTATAGATACCCCGTCTTGATCAACTTATGAAACCTCTTATTTATGCATGACAAAGAGGAATGGTCTGATCTGCAAGTGTATGCCAGACAGTTCAATGCTACATCGTCGATTAGCCCCGGGAAGAGTGAGTCACTTGATCCGAATCTCAATCGACCATCATTTACTCCTTCCCGACTCCTTATTCTTTTCACCCTTTGTTCTTCTCCCCCCTCCATCGATCAAAATAATTTATCCGAAACAAACCTCTCCTGTGTTTCTTTCTTTCTGGTAATGTTAAAACAAAATCAAGCAAAATCTTCCAAACAATCAAACAAACACCAAGAAGTGTTATCAAACTATGGTACAGCTCTTGAGCAAGCCCCCTTCAAAACCCGTGTAAAGAAATCCCCAAGCTTTGTACGCAATCAATTTCCATCTGTCGACTATACCCACCAATTCAACGAATCAATACTACTCCCACCAATCCTTGATTCGATTCCAACACACACAGAATCAAAAGACCCCATCTTTAGTAACGTTTTTCACCCCAAACAACAGCTCATGATTATGGGACTCTATGTTCAGAGTAAATCGAGGAGAAACAAACCAAACCACCGCCGATTGAGATGAAACAGGAATTCGAGCCCCCAAGCAACCAATTACCGAGATTCCCCGAGAAAATTTCTGATTCCGACAGAACTATCACCTGAAACAATCCACCGGAAAAAACGAACGGCAGCCAACATCAGAACCATATCATGTAGAAACGTTATGAGATTGGTGAAAGACTCTTTTCAAATTCCATTAGCAAATGAAGAGAATCGATGGGATACAACAACTCAGATCGATATTTTCTCATGCTCGATCCTAATTCGAATCAATCTAACGCGATTCCGATCCTCTATCGGGCGCCTCTTATGGATCTCGGCACATAGATAGACACACTTCTACGATTAAGCGGCAGTCTCGCAGAGATAAGTAAGAGGGAAATTTCTGCGACAATAACGGTAGACAATATCTCAGTATAAAAACGTACCAGATCTCGAGCAAAGAATTAGGAGAGAACTGCCGGGGAATCTTTCGCCGTCGACCATGTCGCCGGATTCCGGCGATATATAGAGAGAGGGAGGGAAAGAGAGATAGAGGGAGAGAGAGAGAACGGAGCTGAAGGAAACTGACAAAAGAGAAAGAAGAGGGAGAGTTAAAATAAAAACTGAAAACGCGGTGGCGTTTCTTTGCAATTATGCCCCCCAAGTGTTTTATATTCCCAGAAAGGTCCAAATGTTATTTTCACTTTCCATTTCTCCCACCTACACTTTTTTCTTTCCCCCTCTTTCCGGTTTGCTTCATCCAAGGGGTGGAAATTTCGCCCGAGGCCACTTGAAAATGACATTAACGGTACCCACAAAGAAAAAAGATGGCATATTTGGTCAACAGGAAAAACGATCTCGAACGATCAGAAGTACTTAACAGGAGTTCTCGGATGATGCTTGTGTTTTCGCCAAGCAAATGGATGTTCACATAGATGTAGATGAGTGATCGGGGCACAGATAATTATGCTTTTTGGACCAATGACGTGCTGGTAGCACGAAATCATACCACGCTTTGGAAATTCGCGACACCTCTCAGGGTTTGATTTACTGTTAAGCATAGTCTTTTTTTGTTTGTTTCGCCGCTTGTTTCTTTTGTGAAAATAGTTGATTTCTTATGTTAATATGCACATGTAGCAACTTTCAACATTTTCGAGATACATAGCGATGAAGATATGTTCAGCGTAATGTTGACACTACTATTCGAGATTTCTTCTATTCGTCGTTCACAGCTTGGCTGGAAATCTACATTCGGACAACTGACATCACTGTCGGGATCCAACTCTTATCACAATACAATAACTTAAACTTGTTCAAAACACGAACATACTCATGAAACCGACAAGCACTCTATCCATCAAACCTTTTTCTCCGTCACTCTCATTGTTAAACGAAGACCCGAAACTGGCAAGCACAAGAAATTACAGGCGCTAAAGCGAAATTGATTCGACTATAATTGCACGAGTTTGGATTTAGCAGAGAGTTAGGCTGTTTGTTTGTAATGAAAATGTCTTCTTGGTATGTGCTTTAAATGAGAAGAGAGGGATAGAGAAGGGAAATGATGGAGAACAGCTCATGGCAACGAGACAAGCCAAAGAGGAGAGGAGGCCCAACACATCTCCAATCCTCCCTACTTGTTGTACTTGTAATGATCTGATAAGTGATAAGCTATAATACAACTTGCCTTCGTAAATCACAAAAATTTGAAAGCTATATTGAAAAAGTTAGTGATATACTATTTCGTATTAAAATGATGGTTTTACTGTTTCCTAGTTCGTATTGTTATAATCACCTACTCGTTTGGAGTCGATACTCGAAATTTTCCTACTATGTGATTAAGCTGAGCAGTTTTTTTTTTCCAGAGACATTCCGAGAGGAATAGCAAGGTACGAGAATATACAAGACCGAAAGGTCAGGACAAAGAAAAAAGAGCAAAACGATGGTCAACAAGTTGCTTATCCATCGATGAGAGGGCCTTTTTCGCCACGGTATGGGCAGCCCTGTTATACCTACGCGGGGCGAAATGAAACGATGCACGCGAGAGAGATGTTCGCAACACCTGAAGCTGAGCAGCTTGCTTGTTGCGCTATCGAGTAGTTGTGATGGCTACATTTTGGATTCAACAATTTTGAAAAACATAGCTCATAATGTGTAACCTTGCCATTCATCTTAGCCTTTGGTAAGGTTATATAACTTCGATCACTACAATAACAACATCGTATCATTATGATAAGAGTCGTATCGCAGTTCTGATAAAGAAGATATGACGTTATACGGATCGGGATTGTACAGGAGAACTCAAACCACGATAAGGCACCCATAAGAAACTTTTATTTATTTATTTAATTATTTTGATGATGGATCTTTTTAGTTCTTACGTACAAACTTGAGATGACTGCTAGCTACATAATACTGTTGTTAGCCAATCATTTTCGCCTCTGATTAAGATAATTGTTGACTTTAACAATGATCATCATATGCAAGAAGAACAACAACTTTTTTTTTTCTTAATCAATCTCCCATCCCATGAATTCACTCATGATAAGACATCATTTTCAACAGTAACATAAGCCTAACTGATGATCAAACCAATATCACCACATACATGCTCATTAGAGATTGAACATTGAACGAACAGCTAGAAAAAAAAATATATATATATGATAAATATGAAAACATAAAGCAACGGAGAAAATTAAATCAGGGTTAAGAGACAGATATACATATCTACTTTGTGAAATTGAAAAGGTTAAATTAGGAGAACCTAACATCGGAGATGGGCTCGTTTGGAGAATTGGAGTCTAAATCTCTAGATTCTAGACAATCCAAAGATTTTAACTCTCTGGATTGTTGAAAAAAGATTTGAAAATGTTCATTGTTTGGTAACTATGATTGTTAACATCCAATGAAAAAAGAAATTCTAATTTTTTTTTATCACTTAACATGTTTATCCTTAACCAAAATAATTAGATTGACTCGAAAAATATTGAGAATTTATTGGTAAGGGTATTTAGTGGGATAAATTAAAAAAAACAAGTGATATAATAGGAGGGAGAAAATCTCAAAAATCAAGATATAGAATCTCTCTAATTATGAGAGATTTGATATCTCTAGATTTTATAGATTTAAAATTTCTGAAGTTACAATCCACGATACAAAAAGTAGCAAAAAAAACATAACATTTTGCTAAATCTATGGATTCAATAAATCCACGATCCAAATCTTGTTTTCCATAAAAATAGTTTATTAGTCCCGGCTCTATGTCTCGAACTTGAAATTGGTCTCTGTTTTGAACTTTTCGTTTGTGTTACATTTTCCTTTTGAACTCATTGCCTTCTTCTAATTCTTTGGTCAGAACCTGGAGGAGGAAAGGAAACGGCAAAGGCTGAAAAGAATGATCAACAAACTGCACTTCTTCTCCTTTCCTTTCCTTTTTCCTTCCACCAGCAGCAGCTCCCACTTTCAGTCCAATCACCTGTTTTAGATTATTGTTATTACTAGCCTTATAACCCGGCCAATTGGCCGGAATAATCATATTTAATTATTTATATTTTATGTTACGTTTAAGCTAATCAACTGGTTAAATTTTATTGACAATTCTTCGATCGAGATGATACATAAAGAAAGAATATATATGTCTAACATTCAGAGAAATACCATATCATTTAAGAAAAAAAAAATATAATTTATCAATAATTCCATTTTCATAATGATAATTAAGCTCTTATTAAAATGCTATTGATTAGTTGATTGTCAAGAAAGAGAGTATAAAAGCTCAGTGAAATTCCACATGACTCATAGATAGTTTGAAACTAAATCTTAAACCTCACAATCCTACATAAGGTTTTAATGCGCTCCTTTTATGAACAATATGCCACTAATCAAAAAGAAATGGAGAGTTGTTGATTCAAGTCAACTATATACTAACAACTCAGCTAATAGGAGACCATCAAAACTTGAGAGCAAACGACAAAATTAGGGTTATCTCCAACATACTAATAGACTCAATCAAAGTAATAAGGCACAAAATTAAACACTCATGGTTTATCAGTTCCGGTAGGTTGAATAAAGAATCGACATACTTCAATAAATCATCAATGATTCCTCCTTTTAAGATAGAAATAGGTTGTGATAGATATAAAAACCATAAATATAAAGATCCAATAGCCACCACTCTTCGTTGTACAACCAAATTTTTATCTCAAGAGACATATATTTCAACCAAAATTTCAATTTCTAATCCTCCTCCTGCAACTCCATTATTTATTAAACTCTTTTACTTGCCCAACTTAAAACCCAACAATAAAACCGACGTGCCAAAAGATACCAGATGATTGATTTTCAAAGGAGGCCTTGTACTGAGAAGTGAAAGGGGTGCAAACTATTGTACGATGGAGGGAATTTTTGAGGAAGTTAGAAAGAGATAAGAACAAAGATAAAAACCACAAAATTTAAATTGAAAATTGCAAGGACACAACACCTAGTGACAAAATTAGTTTTTTCCATGTTAGCCAATTACCAATTTACCTTTAGCAAAAATTAAAGAGAGAGAAATAATTTTAAAATTGAGAAAGTACATGAAACTCTACAATGAAAATTGAAGTATCAAGCACCATAAAAATACATTACGGTATACTTAGTGGGCTTGCTAATCATGATGGAAAGTACTGCGATTCTCAGAGAGTTGAACTTCGTGTATATTTTGTATTCAAAAAGACACAACAAATTTGTTCAGTGTAAATGGTTGTGATTGTTGTCTTTGTTTGAAGAGACCCGAGTTCAAATCCTAATGTTGATATTTTTTATGTGAGATAAATAATTAATTGTAAAGACAAAAATATCCTTCCTACTTTCACTCTCATTGCACGAAATTTGAAATGGAGAAAAGTACACAAAAGTGTAATATATATTATTGGAGGATTAACATTCTCTATTTTTCTTTTTTTCCGTCGTATTCTCGCCGGCCGTTAAGTCGGGCCGTTGACGCCGCCACAGCTTCCACCCGCCATCTCTCATCCACATTCACATCGGCTGTGTCGACGTGGATCGCCGTCCATTTCCCTGATGAATACATTAGGTATCGGATTCGAGTCTGGGGAACTGTCATATTTTTGTTTTATAATTAATCGCGACAAAACGATAATGTCCATCTCTAAACTCTCTAAATATCGGAGATGATAATTTCGATCGAATTCATTATGTACAACATGTTTTAAGAGTCGGTGTGGATACAACGAGACATCCATTGATTTCGATTTAAATAAATAAATTCACCCCTTTCTCAATTCGTTTTGTCTTGAATATATTTATACTTTTACTAGAGCTGTAACTACCCTTTTATTTTTATTAACTAATATCTTTGAACAACTCAAAACCTCCATTTCTCGAATTATTGTAACTTCATTTATCGTGTTCATGATCATTTTTTCTTTTTCCCGAGTAGTGGTTGTTTTTTATATTATTTGTAAAAATTTCAAATGCATATACTTTCACGTGTCGATCCATTTCGATCCGCCTCGAGTCCTCACTGCACAATACTAATTATGTGGATCCAACTTGCTGCGAAGTGAGTATGAGTATTGAAACATTTACCAACATGATCTCGTTGTCATTTCAAGCCCGAACCACTATTAGGGCTGAAAATTGCCCTGACACATCACTGACTCGGTTTGACCCGTCCCTAAAGGGTCAAGATGTATAACTGACCCGTCCTGTCCCTATCTCCTTCCTGATCTTGTCTGACCCTCAAGGGACGAGACGTGTCGGCCCTAATCTACACACAACTTTTTTTTACAAATTACGTTTTGGTATCCAAACTTATTTTTCTTACAATTTAGTACCTAAAATTTATTTTTTACGATTAAGTCCTTAAATTTTGATGGTGAAATTACATTTTGGTACCCATTTTTTTCAATTTAGTACCTGAACTTTTAAAAATTTTACAAAAATGTCCAATGTGGTATGAGATATTTGTTGTTGCTAAAATTTACAGGGTCAAAAGTGACCCGTCCCGGCCTTTATAGAGTCAAAAGTTGACCCGTCCCTAAACTGACCTTATAGACAAACTGACTCGTCCCGACCCTCTGGGACGGGACAGGTCGGGGCGAATTAATGGGTTTTTACTTTTTAGGGTCTAAGCGTACCACTATGATAGAACTTGTCTACGTGTTAACAAGAATCCGAACTTATTGTCTATGACGAATTTCTACTAAAGCAATGGAAAGAAAAGCAAAGGTTATCTATTATCATGCCACGTGACTCCAATGGTTACTTTTTTACCTTTGATTTCTTTTTTACTGTTAATGGGTGATTATCTTAATCAAGATTTGGACATCGAACATCGGAGAATGTCGACATTGCGATTTGCGTGTCGTCTTAGGATAATTAAATTAATTAAGTACCGTTTAAAAGGTCAAAAAGGCATGCAGAGCATGCGCATCACAAACAATTAGATATTATTTACATTGTGATCAGTGTTCACTAATTATTTTTTTAATTTTGTTATTGTTGCTAAATATGGACAATACAGCTGCCGGCTTTCCCTTAATGCCCGAAAGTACTTACACCATAAAGATTAACAAATGGAAAATGGAGGTATAAGTAATACCAAGTTAGGGTTACAAATGCGAAGTAGGAGAGATCTTACTTTTTTCCATTATTGTATTGGACGTGAGGCTACCCAACTTGCAATTTTAATTAGTTTTGTTGTTCCACGGTGGTTAGTCATATGAACATAACAAGCAAGCACGTGAACTACAGATCACTGTTTCAATAAATAAGTGAAACGTATTAGCTGTCCATCCCCAGGTGGGGAGGTGAGGATCGAAGAAATGTAATAACTTCTTTTTAAAATAAGTATTCTTAAGACCAAAGAATGGGTTGAAAGGGGGGGGGGGGGGGGGGGGGGGGGGGGGGGGAAGCTAGCTAACTCTCCATTGAATCTCGATCCTATGTGTTGATGCTCGTGATTTCGATTATCATACCGGTGATTTGGAGGAGATTTCTCGAAAAGTGTATATAGTGTTCATTTCGGTCAACATGGCAAAGTAGAGATTGAGAGCGAGGACAGAATAGACTAGATAGCTGATGCACGCAACAAAGATTCAAACACAAGAGAACAAATGCAAACAACAGAAATTGTGATGATCACCATACATAAGATCATGTATAGATAGTTTGATATTATAGCGAGTGACATATACTGTTGTTGGTGGCGGAGCCACGTGTAGAGGAGAGGGGTCGGTAAAAAATTGGGCAACAAAACCCTTTAGTCTTTAGATATGTAAGGTTTAGTATGATCTTTTTTATTCAGGACCCCATACTTATGTTGATGTTAGCTCATCTAAGTACGCTAATCAACTCAAAAAGTTCATTAGATACACAAACTAAAACATTTTAAAAAATTTAAGGACTGCAGTCAAATTCTAAGTCTGGTTACGCCACTGCATCTGCTATTATTCCGTTTCGTATATTTCTCGTACAATTACACAGATCAGACTAACACCCTAAATGAAAAACACTAGTAATATCAAATCGATAACATTAAGCTTCCTATGCATCCATGCAGTATTTTTAGTTACACCCTTCCAAGTATGAATTGGATAATATTTTTTTAGAATGGCAAAGAAGATCATCAACTTTAGGCGTGAATGCCATTTTAGGTCTCTCTCTCAAGCTAGTACAAATTGACAATGGGAAGCAAAAAAAAAGGGAAAAGGCCGCCGCAAGCAAGGTTCCCGTCCGTATACAAAACTACTTTACGACCATTGGCTGGCTGGCTGCGCATGGAATGGAGAAAACAAGAAAAGTAAAAAGAAAGAAGAGAGAATAGGATTAGGAGAAGAGGGAGAGACGTGCACAGCTTCTTATCCAGTTTGGTTGAAACTTCAAACCTCTCTTATTCCTCATCCACTTTCCAGTTGTTTGCTTGCTTCTTTGGTATATTATTATTCAATACCACCCACTTGCAGTAAAAGGCTTCCTATAAGAACACGCTCAGAAATGGCGAAAGACTTCATGATTCACGTGTAGTTTGGATGCATATGAATTGAGATAGACAGCAAGCATGTCGATCGGTTTTCATTTGAAACGCACAGTGCAGGCGAGAGCGAGACGAGGAAATGAAAAGAGTCACGACGACGATGGTACATTCACGTTCACTTTTGAAGAGGCGGGAACATGAATCCCCTTTCTTTCGGTTTTTAAATTGTTACATAACAGAACGGGTTCAAATTGTCATCTTGGAGAAGGTGCAAAACCATTGATGTCTATACTCTTTATTTCAACTTGAAAGGAGGATAAGGATGAAAGGGTCAAACAAAGGGCAACCCATTTTAGTTTCATTTCTTTGTAATGATAAATAAACAGCTTATGGTTTCATATCACTGTCAAAAAGAACATCAAAGAAAAATTCTGTATTCCTAATCTTCAACCAACTACTACAAGATAAGATCTGCATAACATGACCCTACCACTTCCAAAGGCCATTTTTAAAATTCAACTCTTTCTTTCACAACCCTTCTTTCTATACCCTCAAATTATAAGAGAGTTCCTTCCATCATCCCCTGAATCATAAGGACAGTCGAAAAGGCTCAAAAGGATTCTCAATGGGATGTATGACAGGTTCTTCCGCTGTACATTAAGGACACAATAAAACACCATATCATTCAACGAACTCAAAAAAAGAAAGGCAAGTTGGAGATGGAGTGACTTTGAGTCAGTGAAGATCAGGTGAGTTTGTGTTGTTGTTGGCTTCATTCTCAGCGGATTCGTCGCTGATGCTGTTGTTATCTCTGCTGCTGCTCCCGTCAGAACGTTCTTCTCGCTCCGGCCTGATACGTTTGCACCAACACGAGTAGTCCGGGATAGGACCGTCTTCTCCGACAACCCAAGGATGGTTCGATACAGCGTCCAAAGTCAGCCTTTGCTCGGGGTCTATACATGCAATTGACAATTATATCAGCAAAGGAAATTGGGTTACGAGAGAGGTAGAGGAAAACTAGTGGCAATTCCTCACTCACCTTTACAAAGAAGCCCTTGGAGTAAGTCCTTCAGCTGAGGATTCATTCTATTAGGTAGCACTAAGGGGTTATTGACGATCTAAAAAGGAAAAGAAACCCGAAACTCTTAGTTAAAACATAATTATGACGGACAAGAGAAGGGGAAAAAAGCAAAGCTTGCTTGCCTTGTCATAGGTGTCCTGCAATGTTTCACCAAGAAAAGGGTACTCTCCCAGTATCATACAGTATAACGTTACTCCAACTGCCCAAGTGTCCGCCAATTTGCCATGATATGTTAAACCTGTTGGATGGAGCGGCAACGGTTGTTAAAGAATGTTGATATCCTCACTAATAATAATCAAAGTCACAGAATAATTCTCACCTAGACAGCACTCTGGAGCAGTGAACACCGGGGTTCCGGGAGACCTACGGAGTTCGTCATTATCATCCTGTAGTCGTGGTAAAGATAGTATCAATGTCAATCATGAACAAGTATTGTACTAGCATCTATAAAATTAAAATAGCCCAACCACAACTAAAAGGGTAACACTGAATGTCTTAGGAATAATTCTTGAAATGTCAAATTTCTCGAAACAAATGGAGTTGGCAAAAAAGGATGAAATGGAAATTTATAGCATCCTTTTACCTACAAAATTAATGCTAAAATCAACGCAATACAGGTGCACACAATTAGCCGGAAGTGATAAAAACTTGGAGGTTTCAATTGTATAATCTCTTATTAAGTTACTAAGCAAAATTTGACCATGACCTCATGTTCGTTCCTACCATGGACTAGACAGAATTAGACATAGGAAGCTGAAATGGGAAGGGTTCTGATATCGATAAAATAAACAAAGGTAGGTATTGCATTATGATTATCTTCCATTCGTTCAACATTAGAACATTGCTTGGTTGACAATTTAATCATGAAACAGCAATGAACCCACAAATACATATAAACTACTTATACTGATTCAGACAGCTTTCAGAAGTACAAATGATTTCAACCACGAATACAGAAAGCTGCTGATTTACCTCAAATACTTGGCTGACACTAAAATCTCCAATTTTAACAACTCCAGTGCTGGTAACCAATAAGTTATCTGGTTTGATGTCGCCATGTACTATATTCTGTTGTAAGATCAAAAGAAGAGAAATTAAACAAATGTCAAATAACGTTCATACCAGCATGCAAGATTAATGAACTATCAAGCTTCTGAGAATCGAGAAAGACTAAAGAGGATGCCCCAAAATCAACAATGCCATAGCTATAAATGAAGAAG